TTTATTTGGTCCGGTCACAGGATGTAGCTCTACGTTCGGCCGCCAGTAGAATCGCGCCACACGTTTTCATTATTTACCACGCGCCCCGACAACCAGACCCAAAACGGACACAAGATTGCTCGGTATTGCTAGGTATTGGTCGATTTTGCTCGGCAATAACCAATATCGAGCAAATACCGAGTTGTACCGAGTTTTTTCTAGCAATATCGAGCAAATCCCTAGCAATCCCGAGCAAATACTGACTTGTACCGAGTTGTAGAAAAACTCGGTACAACTCGGTATTTGCATGGTGTTGGTCTTCACAAAGCGGTATTTCTCGTTTTTGCAAAGCAATACCGAGAAAATCGCGAACATAGCATTCCCGGGTTCTGGTCCAGGTCAAATCGTCAGGCCGCACGATAAAGAGTAAGAGCACGTGGCGACATATTGTTGGCGGCCGAACGTAGTTCTACGTCCGGTCAGAGGACGTAATATTTGTTCCATGAAAAGACACCTCTCACATTATAAATATTAATATTAGTGATATTCTTATATGATTTAAGGATTTATATCTTATACAAATAAATATCAAAATTTAGATGTTATATATTCAAGTACATAAGAATTGTGCCGTATCTATGTGAATCTCCATGTATTGCATATGCATTATATGATTTGTTTGGTATTGTATGGGGGCTTATTTATCTTGAATTTCGACTAAATTAAATGGCTGAAAATGTTTCTAGGCTTGGCCACAATATTCCAATTAAAATTTAAATATTCATGGTTATTAATCTATTCTTAGGGTAATATCTTAAATGATGGTACATTACCAAATTAATACTAAAAATAAATGAAAAATCACCTATTCAAACGGGTTGTTAAGTTATTATTTTTCTTGATGTGAAATATTTAGGGGATTAAAGAATTATTATTATACTAAATTAATAAATAAAGAAATCAACTTTTAATGAGGTGAATGATAAGAACACATCTTAAATAAACATTTATCATCTTCTCTCCCTGTTTTTGTTAATTTAGGAGGTCCGTTTGACACGGCTGTAATTTTTTGTAAAGGTGAGTGTAAAGTTTTTTTTAAGGGAAAATTAGTGACAGATATCCAATTGAATATTTATTCTTAATAAAATATCAGCTGTTTTCAAATCCCCACGAATAGCCAACCAAGCAAAAGTTGAATATCCGAAGGCATGATGTTTATGCCAAACATAAATTTGCTAATCATATTTAACATCATCCTTGAAAATTTTCAAATAATAATATTTAAATGAATCACCAGCAAAATTATCCCAAAGAAGACACTTGGAACTAAGTTCATGAATAGGGAGAGAGTAAATGAACTGTCTAAATAGAGAACTAAAGGTAATCAATAAGTCCTAACTATTAACAACAATCAATAGAAAAGGAGGAGCGGAACTATGGTATAAATTCAAGATAGATTGCTCTAAATAAAGATCAGAAATGGATGAACCCTTACAGTAGTGGTCCCAACACAAAAAAATTGGACTTTCAGAGTTAACCTCAAAATATAACTTAGATTTAACCTCTGTAGCAGTGCAATAGAGGTTTTTCTAGAAAGCAAAGGAGTTGGTGTTGGGAGGCTTCCAAGGAGATGTGTATCTACCTGATAACCACATGTTGAAAGGGGAGGATTCATTATAAAACCTAGTGATAAGGGAGCAATTACATGCAAATATGAGAGCTTGGAATGTAGGAATCCCCGAACCTCCCATGCTTTTAGGTTTGTAGGTATTAACCTAGGGATAATAGATGTAATTTCTTGGCATGAATATCTCCATAATGCAAAAAATTGGAGCACATTTTTCCCATGATGTTACAAGTAGACTTAGGTATAATAAATTCATGTATCCAAAATGCAATAGTATTGCAAATTGTATGCTTTAAGAACTACAACCCACCTTCAAAAGAAAGAAGTCTAGCTTTCCAACCAAATAAATGGTTAGTAAATTTCTCCATGAAAGGAGAGAAATCAAATACTCTAGGTATCTTGGGACATACGAGAAGTCCAAAATAAGTGAATTTGGTGCAAGAGCTATGTATTTTAAGAGTATTATAAATTTTAGTAGAGAATGGAGTGTTTGGGGAAATAATAAGATGAGTAGCAAAAATATTTTGGATTTCCATGAAAATGTTGTAATTTTAGACATTTGCTTTACCAAATACCAAAAGATCATATGTATAGAGTAGGTGAGAGATGTTGAAGCTATCCATGCTAAATCCCTCAAAGCTAAGGGTGGGATCATGCCCATCAATATGGCAAGAAAATGCATCCATGATAATATAAAGAGATAAGGACTCAATGAGCACCCCTTCCTAATGCCAGAAGAAGAAGGGAAGAATTCTTCTAAAGCTCCATCAATACACAGGAAAATTAACATTTGAAATACAAGCTTTAATGCATCTAATAAAAGGAGATAAACCATTCTAAGCCAACCTTGAGAGAATAAACCCCTAAAAATAGTATCAAATGTCTTCCTTATGTCAAATTTTGCACATATGAACTTTTGCTTAACATTTTTTTTAGAAGGTCCAAAATTTTAGAAGTTAAAATATTATTATCAGTGGATAAGTGATATTTAATGAAACCAATCTGACTAGAATGAATAATGGTGGGCATGATGGGCTTGAATCGAGAGGTAAGGATTTTAACAATAATCTTATAAAAAATATTACATAAGAAGATTGGCTTGAAGTCCGAAAGGTTATTAACATTAGATATTTTGGTAATCAAAGCTAAAGCAATTGCTTCAACACACTTGGGAGATAGCTTTAAGAAAAAAAAGGGACTTAACAACTTTGCATATATAGGGTCCCATAATTTGCAAACTTTTTTTTTTTTTTGTAAAATTCAAAGTTAAAGCCATATGATCTAGGAAAATAATAAGAGGAATCAGAGAAAACATGTAACTTTATTTCATCATCCGACACAAACCCAATCAAGGAAACTAAAAGGTGCTGGTTAATGGTCTTTCCAGGAGGGGAATGTCACGACCCGACCCGCGATCCTGATTTCGTCCAGACGAACCATACAGCCAAAACTGATTTTCTGCACAACCTGTACCGATCGTCCCGGACGATCCAACTTCGTCCCGGACGAACCTGGAGCAAAAACTGATATTACAGGGAAGATCTGGGGTTTGAGTATGAGGGAGAAGGGGAGTTATATAGACCTTTAAAATGGTTGAGGATAACATCCTCAACAACATGATGCATATGTGAAGAACTAGCCAAAGGTACAAATATATATTTCCTATTATAATAACCCCTTCTACGAATTTAAGAATGCAAGAATTTTAAAACTTCTTCTCCATTCAAGAGCTAATTGACTTTAGATCTTTGGATTGTTCGAGAGGATCAAGCAAAAGCACATTGAACAATACAACAATAATAACAACAACAACATCATGTCTTTATCCCCCTATGTGGGGTCGGCTACATGAATCCCTTTTCTACATTGTGTCATATTAAAAGTTAAATTCCATTTAAATATAATAAAGAAAAGTCATTTATAATATTTTATAACCAAGTTTTTTTAGGTCTACCTCTGCCTTTCTTAACATAGGTCAAATCTAATACGTTTACTTTCCTAACCGGGTCATCGGAAGGCCGCCGTTTTATATGACCAAACCATCAAATGTGTCTCTCCCTAATCTTATCTTCCACTAGAGCTACTCTAACATTTTCACGTACATGCTCATTTCGTACCATGTCTCTAAGAATATATCCACTCATCCACCCGAGGATCCTAATCTCTATAACACTTAATATATGTTTCTCTTTTAAAGACCAATATTCTACACCATAAAACATTACAAGTATAACCATCATCTTATAGAATTTTTGAGTTAATTTGATTGAGATTCGTGCATAATGTAGAATTAAGAGGATCCAAATCCAATTGAACTTGACATGCCTGTTGTTGGGAATGTAGATCAGCAAATCCAGCCCCAATAGAATTAGATGCACCCCAGCTCTTAGTCTTAATAGTGGCTTTGAGCGTGAGCTTATGATAAAGATCAACAATATGATTGCCTTGCATATGACGAGCAAAAACAAATATTAGTGTGTCTCAATAATCATCATTGTTTGCTCGATAACTTTTATATGAAAATTTATGACTATAGATAGGTTGATCTTTAGATTTGGGAATTATAGGTTAATGGTTTGAACAAGAGTATTGAAGCACTTAATAGAAAGAGCGAGGGAAAGTTTCCAAATAGGATTAATTAACTAAAACCCTATCTAGCTTTATATGAATGGGGTTATAGCTCTTCGATTAAAGCATGTAAACAAATTCCCAATATACACAAGATCAAGAAGATTGGCTTGAAAAATTAGAGAATTAAAAGGTCCAAGCCTGCTACTATGAATAGCATTGCCACCTATTTTTTCAAATTGAAATATGCAATAATTGAAGTCCCACATTACAACCCAAGGCATGACATTGGTTGGATTAGTATTCCTCAAATCCTTCCATCAGAGGCGGCGTTCTTCAAAAGAATTAGAAGCGTAACTTATAGATAATAAAAAAGACTGAGACCCTGCATTGATCAACCCATAAATCATCTGACTATAAATAAAATACGAAGCAAAACTTATTTTTTCACAATTCCATTTAATATAGATTATCCCAAATTTTGAATAATCAAAATTTTGGCAACTTTATTTATACTAAAAAAAATTGTGAGTGTTCTACAAAAGACATCATATCCTTAAAAAAATTGTGAACTAGCAATATTAAATGCTATAAAGCACAGTTTTCCAACATAATTTTATTTTAAATAATAATTAAATATAAATTATGATTGATATCTTAAAAACAAACAAATAAGAAACCAAACAGATCTTAATCGAATAAAAGGCTGAATCAATAATTCAGTTCTGTTTGCATTTGCTTGACCAGCAATAGTAAAAGCTTATTTCTTCGCCAATAAGTCTTGCTTGAAATAGCAGCGACTTCCCTATTGACGCCAAAAGGTCTTCTCGTGAAATTTTGTTCTTTGGGCCGCTCGGGAATTTCACTCGCCCTAAAAAAGGAAACTTGATTCCTTCTCGACGACGCGTACTCTGAAAGCCTCTCCTTTTGAATAAACTCACTCGCCCGTGAGCACAAAGAGACGCTCACCTCCTCTCGTATTGCTTGTCCATCCAATTATTAATCGATGGTAACTTTGAGTCCGTTCAGTGTATCATCTGCGCCGTACGTGGAGTGGGGGGTGCGTACTGATCCCAGCTTTTATAAAAGTTCCACTTTTGCTTTCGGAAAACATAAGTAGCTCATCAACTCTTCTTGATGTTGCCCTGTGCGAATGCTGAGAATTAAACTGTCAAAATTTCTTGTCTATCAGCGCAGGTTGTGTTAGGGTTTTGTTGATCGCCCTCCTGGAATAAGATTCTTTGATGGTTCTTTTGTTGATCGGATTCTCTTCTTATTTTGCAGCGGATAAGAACGTGGTTGGAAGTTCTGGTCAGTTTCTTCTATAGCGATCCTTGCTTTTTAGGAGGATTTCGGTGTGCATTTGAGGTTTTAATTGTTTATTGTAAATCGAGGCATTGGCATGATGATGCGCCACCCGGAAGGTACTTTCTTTTCCGTCTTCTCTATGTCATTCTATTTTTTTCTTTGAGTTTTTTTCCTCGATTTGTTTTGATGGATATTGCTCTATAAGTTGGGCAGTTCTTGTCTGTTTGATTGTGATTTGTTATGGTTTGGTGGCAAGAGGACGTTCTTGTTTGGAAGAGAAATTTTGCTTGTCCTTCCCAAGGGAGCTTTATTTTGCATATTTTATTGGAAATATTGCACGCAGACCATCCAAATATTTATTATTTATATATCTAATAGAAAAAGAAATAAAAAGAAAAAGAAAAGATGTATATGAATGTCACGACAAAAAGATTGAGACTTTAATGAAATTGAAAAATTAATATTATAATTTTGTTATGTTCTTCAATATTTGGGTGATATTATTAAAACTAGAAATATTTGGGTTCCAATTTTATAAATAATTAAGATTTAGGTATTATATAAGAAATTGTTCCTATTTTTTATTTGCGTATATGGTGCTCATTTTTGCTAGCTTTGTTTGTTAGGATTTGTTTAGTTCAATGTCTTAGCTATCAGGTGTAACTTTATAGTCAATGTTAACAATGTAATTTTGGAAAGATCATTGATAATATTTATCTTTTAGTTTTTTTTTTCTTTAGATAGCTTGACAGTTGATGTTGGTAGATTTGACCATCTAGATTCCATCGGATCATTTGTATGCATCTCTTATATTTAAAATTTTGATTTTTCTTACTTTCGATTGAGATTTGTAACATTCAAAGACTCAAAGTAGTTGTTCCAACAAAATTTACAATAAAAATAATAGTAAGAAATGCATTCAAGTTCTATCTTCTATCAATAGCCACAATATGAGATCATCTCCAACTAAAAAACTCATTTACCACTCCAAAATACAATAATTCATTCCAAACCGAACTCTATTTTTTAACACAAAAAAGAATATACCATGTATATTCTTTCTCAAACACACGCACTAGCCTTTCTCCCCTCCGCTTTCTTTATTTCCGCAAAAAATGCGTTTTTGACGCAAATATTATCGTCACATTGTTTACAAACGAGATAATGATGCACCTTTTGTTGTTCGATTACGAAGTTCACGGGCGCCAAACAGGGGTATGGAGTTCGGTCCAATCTTATGTCCTTTTTACGAGGAATAATGACATTCAATTAAACTAAAACTCAGATCGCAGACGGTCTAGAACGATGAGCTATAACATCATCCACTTGCAGAAGTTTATTAAAAAATGAGCCCATGGAGTGTAAAGTGGATTAGTTGAAATGTTGTAAATGAAGTTGATGAATAACAATCCAAACTTGAGTGATAGGTGATTCCTCGAAAGAGTCAAAGTGTGGGACCATTTTAGCTTACACTTTAGCTAGCTATTGACATGATAGGATCATCAAGAAAAGAATATATTGTAATTTACTTCCAAAGATAGTCTTGTTGATATTATGAGAATGAATGAGCTTAACGAAGAAGTCACCAACCAAAAGTGACAGACTTGTAAACGATTTTCAAAGTGGGATTATGTAAAGGAAGCTTGCCCACAAAATAAAAAAGAATAAAATTGCAAGCTTTGATATATTTTATTCAATAAAAATGAATGTATGTTGCTTTCAAAAGTAGAGGGTTGCTTTTGTCGAGTTGATGTTGAATCTTGCTGAAAAAAATAAAGGGAAATGGATGGATTAAGATTGATAGGAAGTCTTCAATCGCACAATAACTTTTTTGAAGAATCGAGATGTCATGATCCGACTCGGAGACTTGAATTAATGAGGGAACAGATGGTCAGACGATTCACTAAATTTTTAATTACTAACTATTTCTAACAAGCACAAAGAGCCACTAAAACACTTAAAGCAAAATACATTCATCCTCCGTAATAGTTTGTAGAGGTGAAAAAATACAAATATCACTTCAGCTCACAAAGAGCTAATGTTTGGTTGGGAATATTACTATGTTCATTATTAAACAATATTTTACCAATAAGGACGTGACACATGTCCTCTAATTGGTGGTTTTGTCGCCAAATGACACTATTGGTAAACGATTATGACTGGGGCCATCTGAACTGAGTGGTTTGCTGCTAAATGATACCACTAAATTACGGTTATGGTCAGAGCCCGTAAGCTCCCCAATGACACTAAATCCTTGAGATATGAATCAATATGATATAATCGATAGGGCACAAAGCCCTCTGTCAGCTAAGGTGGATTCAATTTGTTCCCTTAAACAAAATCCACCCCAGGTCTACAGGTACCCTTGGACAATGCAACACATGGCTGCCGACAATGATCCTTCTGTCAAGTTGGGTTGATGACCTCCTCTGACTAAGTAAACTATGCACCATGATGACCCGGGACGACGGAACCATGTGATCTTGATAGGGCTCATCATCACTTCCCCCATCATTCGCTTTAAGCGCAGGGTGACAAATTTCCAAATTTAATATCAACTCTCAAATATCCAAACCCATGCTGCTACTATATGCCATATAACATGTATCTCTACTTATCTGATCGATGGCTAGTCTTAATCGGAAGTTCTCTCTCTTTGTCGGGAGGGGTAATTAACTATAGGGGCTTGCACCTATAGGAAACCATAACTTAAATCATAAAGTCCTTGCAAAATGAGGGAGAAATCTCTGGGTAGTGTCTTATCTACAAACCTAATATGCCTTCTGAAAATTTACCTCGGAACTTAATTCGTTAAAACTCATCAAAAGAAGGGGAGGCCGGGGAACGAATTTTCGGAGCCCACAAAGATGCAATTGATTTGCTATTCGAGAGGTAGATCAACTCCCCCACAAACCCTAGATGTCGCTAGGAACTCACGACGAGCACTATGAAAATAAACTCAACAATCTCATCCCTAAACCTTAGACAAACTCTCCCTTAAATAGTCCTAGAACACCATAACATAATTAGAACTTTTCTAATAAGAATAAACAAAATTTTAGAAACTTTTCTAAATAAATAGAGCCTTCCTAAGCAACATAAACATAATTTAGAAACCTTCCTAAAATGAAACATGATTTAGGAAATATTTCTAAACAATTAAACATGATTTAAGAGATCTTCCTAAACAATTAAACATATTTTAGAAAACTTTCCTAAACAATTAAACACTTCTTAAACAACATAAACACAATTAGGAAACTTTTCTAAACAACTCTCTTGATTATGAACCTTCATAAATAATTCCCTCTTCCTGATTCCCCCCCCCCCCTCCCCCAAAAAAAAAATCCAAAAAAAAAAAAAAAACGTAACATATAAAAGGCTAAAAAAAATTTGTTCCCTGAATTAGAAATTGAATATCTTTTACAACAAACAATTGAATAAAGGATAAGCTTCCTTGTTATAATTGTCTCGTAACTTTATTCTTTTTGTAAACAATTCATATATAGATTGAATATTTCTCAATTTGTAAAATTTTTAAACTTACAACCCAATTCGCAACAAAATAACATTAAAATGCATTTTTATCTCAAAATTATATTTCCTCATATAAACATCGAATCCTACTACTTTAGTTCAAACTCAATTTCTTGGAGAAATAACCAAAAATTGGACTTTTCTTACTAGCCCTGTCTCTTTTTTTCTCTTCTTAAATTCTTGCCCTTTGATTCAATTAGATCTCGCAGGGATGGAGCTAGGATTTTTTTTGTGGGGTACAAATTTTCGTTCTTAATTCAATATTTGTAGCAATATAACAAAAATATACTAGTTGAATTTATTAATATTATAATCTATTCAATAAAAAATATGATAATTTTAATATAAATATTTTAACTTCTTCGGAAGGAAGATTGCAATCCTCTTTCGATAATGTACAAGAATGTAATTTATTTACTTCATTTTCAAACAATTCCTAAACACTGTAATATATTTACTTCAATTTAAAAAAATTCTTATGAAAGAGATTTAAAGTTCTCAAATTAAAAAAAAAAAAAATTTAATGACATCTTCAATTTTTAAATTGAAAAAATATAAATTTACAAGAAAGAGAGAAAAAATGAGAAAGTAAAAAGTACAAAATAAATTTAGATTAACTGGCTAGAGATAACAAGACCGTTGGAAATAAAAAAGAAATATTGTCCTGGATAGAGAATGATCAAGAAGGAAAAAAAAGGGAAAAACCTTGTAACCTGTTGTCATGGCGAAACTGGACTCACAGTAGATTAAGAAGGGAGAGAAGAGGAGTGAGAGAGTTAGAGATCACTTAATAGAAAGAGATATATAAAGAGAGAGGGGGGAAGACGATGGTTGTCGAGTGGAGTGCCGCCGGCGAGGTATACAGACACCGGGCAAGGATTTTGTAAGAAAGGTGTTAGATTTTTTTTTTTAATCTGCAATGTGATTTGGCGTTTTAAGAGAGAAAAACATAGAAATATGAAAAGAACTTATGCTTTCTAAATAATATATTTTCTATTATAAATTTCCTCTTTTTTTATTATATATATATATATATCAAACTGATCATGATAAAATATAGGATTTTATTAAAAATACATTTAAACATTTTTGTGAGGTACGAAAAGTGGATAAAAATTTTAAGTCTTCTTAACTTTTTATTTGCAAATTTTTTAGTCTTATAATTCTTCCTTTCTGACTAGAATTTTATCCTGAAATTGGTTTATTTCATAATAAACTTAACAAATGAATGAATTACGGTCGAACTGTAGCAGCATGCCCGAGAGATATATTATTATTGTGTGCATGACTTTCTATGAGAGCAGACTTCTATGTTAATCTTTTTCATCCAATAAAAATAAAAAAAAATTGTTAACAGTGTCTTATGGTCCAGAAGATGTGCTTTATACTGCTCATAATACTTACTGGCACAGCTAATAACTTTTAACTATTCTGTGAAGCAATAAACAACAGCATGATTCTTCTGTACTTATTTTGGTTGCACTGCTTCATTTCCCAACTATGACTAAGGCTATGAAAAAGGAGGGGTTTTATCTCTTCATATAAATGATATGGAAAGTTTAATAGGCAAATTTTGGCGCCTGACTTTGACTTGTTACTTTATGCCTTTACTAAGCAAAATGTTATTGTTTGAATTTAAAATCAGTGCTTTGGGTTCTAGTTGTTTCTATTAATTGAACCCGAACATTGTCACTTCAGCTTCAAAATCAGGAGGTAAAACAATTCAGGTTTCTGGTTTCCCTCTTAATACCACGGCTCTTCAAGTAACAGAGTTTTTGGAGAAATTTACGGGAGAGGGATCTGTGTTTGCATTGAAGCTTCGACATCCCAAAATTATAAAAGCGACGTCAAAAGCATTTGCTATTGTGCAGTTTGTAAGCAGCGCGGGAGCTATAGATATAAAAAATATGATTTGTCTGCGGCGCTTGTGGTTTCAAGGCTATTACTTGACATCTAAAGATGTTGATCATGACATAGTACCCAAGCCTAGTACTTCGTCACATGTTATGGAGGATGTTATAGTGCATTTTGGTTGCCAAATTGCTGAAAATAAGTTATATATTCTCTGGACAGTGAAGGATGTCAGAATTGAGTTCGGATTTAACTTGAGGAAGATATGCCTTTTCATATCATATAAAGATTGCTTATATAAGCTTGAACTTTTTTATGAAAGCATTTGGGAGATCCAGCTATGCCATTCTGTTACTCAACGTTGCCAGTTTCTCCAAATCCAGGTTGGTATTGAATATATGATCCAACACAGGTTGTCTTTGCTGGTAAATCGTGTTTATGCATGACTATATAAGATAACTGTTTCTTTTCGTTAATAGTTGACAAGTGTACCATCAATGTAATACTTACCAAATCCAACCTTTTCTTTTTTATTCAGAAGTAATTATGGATGGAAGAAACAAGTTGGTAAAAAAAAAAAGAAATTTCAAACATATTTCATGCTGAATTGAATTAATATTTAGCTAGTCATCTTCTAGTCATAAGTAAATTGATCACAATTTTGACTAGGAAGTTCAGCCAATTATTGAACTAGTTTTGAGTGCTGGACATTATCAGCTCTAGGATCGACTATTTCACTCTACAATTAGGCTAACCGATGAACATAATCTGAAATTAATAACGTGCAATTTTATAGTCTTGGGGAAAATAAGCGGAAGGTCAAGTACTAGACTTGACCGCACCTTGAAAAAAAAAAAACTTTCATGATGTTTCTTCAGCTCTTGGTGATCTACCTTGGACTTGGAGTCATCTCTAAAAGTGACCTAAATTTTTTATATTTCAAATGTTGGTTTTAAATTGTAATGGTATGATATGATGACAGGCATTTGGCTATAATGTAAGCAATTTGTTTGAGCTTACTTGCCAGTGATAAAGCTTTATCATATTTATAGATAGCATGGACCAAATGTATTTGTACATTATTTACTATTTGACATGAGCATTGAACCTATCTCTAATGTCGCAAATCCATTACCTGGTTTAGGCACCTTAGAGCCTATAATACTTGTTCCTACTAATACAAATGGAGTATGGAGTTTGTGTAGATCATGGAGCATCTTTTCTTGAATGTATTTTTGTGCGTGTGTTGACTTGTGCTATGATACACATCTATTGAATTATATATTAAATCATTGACTGTGTATCTAAGCATTTATACTTCTTTGTGAAATCATGAGCTCATGAACATATGGATGCAATCATGCACATCAGCAATTTGTTGTTGTACATAAATTATTTGCATGCATATATTGACTGTTTTTGGGATTGTCCTGTTGTACATATATTCAATTTTGGCTCATTAAAATATTTTATCGTATTTTCCTAAGTGCTTTAACATTAGAAGCTTTATTATGTTTATCTCAACATGATTTATGTGATATGCGTGATCATTAAGATTCATATGATGTAGGATGCTTAGGATGTAGGGTTCTTAATGCAATTAGGACAATTTAATGAATGTAGATCAAGCATAAACATTATAATTCACATTCCAAAGAGGAATAAATTCATAGTAAATTGCTTTCTTGAGGTTTAAACTCAAATGTTGCTCCCTAAAATACAATCAATGACAAATGCGGGGACATCCAACAAGGTCGACATTAAACTAACATAGAGCCGAGTGGGTTTGACGTGCCCTGACACTATTCAAATTTACTATTAAAAGTATCCATTTGCAAGACAAATAAAACGAATAGCATTGACGTATTCATTATTTCAAAATCACTAAAGAGGCGCCCTTTTGTGTGCAACTCAAGTGAACACTGAACAACGAAAATGACAAATTAGGAATGTGACATCGTGCAAACTTATTAGAATGATCTTTGATTGTGACATGGACAAGGATGTTGTGTTCAAAATTTCAAAATTATCCAAGACAGACCCCTCACGATTAAATCAAGCAAAAGCAGTTGAAATGACAAATCACGTGTGCCACATTGCACGTAATCATCCAAACGGCCTTCGTTCGTGAAACAGACCACGCCATCACATTCAAAATGCAGAAAAATATATCCATATTGGCTGGGTGCCCGCACGCAAAAATCTTTAAAAAATTTCACCTACTTGTGAAACAAGGTGAAATTTAGTGTGTGCGAGCGATGAAAAATCAGCAGCGAGCCAAATAGCCAATACAACAACAACATCATCAAGCCTTAATGCCACTATGTGGAGTTTGCTAGATGAATATTTTTTCTCGATTGTGCTATGTTAAAAGTCTGGTCATAGATTTTCTTACTAGACATTTGCAAGAGGTTGTATCTTGGTGCATACTTTTTGCTGATGATATTCTTCTTGTTGATATGACTAGAGAGGGAGTTGAAGGTAAGCTTGAATTATGGAGGTCAACCTTAGAGTCTAAAGGTTTTTGTTTGAGTAGATGATAGATCTTTGAATATATGGAGTGCAATTTTAGTATTAATAGATCTAGTGGGGGGATTGTGACTTTGGGCGATCTAGCCATTAATAAGATTTAAATTCTTTTTTAAATCTTATAAAAAAGTCAAATTTAAAATAAAATTTTATTTATTATTCGAATAAATTTTTAAATTTTAATTTAAGATTTAAATTTAAACATTTTTAAATATTAAAAAATAAATATAAAAATTAAAAATTGAATTTTTTGGAATTTAAAAGTACAAGGTGTTGCAAATCTGAGTTTATGGAATCGATCAAGGTTCTCTGCCTGTTTCAGGAGGAAGCAAAAGGAGTCGGGTTCTCTGCCTCGCCGGGGTTGGCGGAAAGGAGGTTTTTGTAAGGGCTTCTCCGCCTTGCTGTGGGAGCAAAAGGAGAGTCACGTTTGTTGTGCAATACCCGGAGGGCGCACGTAGGTCGAGTTGACCGAACCACTATAAATCTCTGTGTTCTATTTCTACTGCTTTCGCGTTTATTTATTTTTTTCGCACTTTGATTTCTGTGGTGATTTTGGTTTGTGATTGTACTTTGGTTTAAGGAATTTTTTAAAAATACAAATTCACCCCCCTCTTGGTTAGCCTCGGGCTAGTTCTTAAGGGCTTAATATCCCTAATGAACTTTCACAATGAACCCTGTCCCCTCTTAAAGATGGATAATCCTCTAATAACTCATTTTCTCTCGGTTGCAACGTCGTGGGCGTACCCTGATAGCTACACACTAACATGACGAGTAGAACCCTATACATATTTTTCTTCATGTGGTAGGATGAACCTCGTTAGCGGCTTATGCAACATGATTGGGTATTGTTTACCTAACCCAAGTTTTTTCATGTAGCTATCCTATACACCTTTCTCGGCATTGTAGGATTCTTAGAATTCATATCGTGGTATTGTAATACATCGATTATACACGTCTTTCTTGACTTGATGGGTAGACTCAGACTCTTTGTAGAACCCCCTACATGAGGGGAGGCATTGGGAGGCTGCTAAAATTCTAACTAAATTGAACCTAAAACTTGCACTATATGGAATTTATGCTTGCTAAAGTTCAAGTAATCTAAGTAATAAATATATAAACTAAGTGCTTAAAAAGTAATACAAGCAACATAAAATAGACAAAATGTAAACAAGGAACAAAGTGCAAAACTTACAAGGAACTAGAAAGAACTTGTAAGCTTGCCCAAGCAGAACTGAACTTCACAAAAAAAAAAATCCTAAAATTCAAGCAAAAGACTTAATACAGTTCTCGAATTAATGAAGTAGAAATAGATGGTCAGACAGTTAATACAATTTCTTTCAATAACATAAAATACTTAACAAATTAGTATATAAAATATAATTGAAAAGACACTAAAATAAAATTTTCAATTTGAATATATAATAAACCAATTCTTACTTATTACCATTTGATCCCCTTCTTATATACACAATTTTTTTCTTTTAGCCATTTAGTTCTAAGAGGATTTACCTAAAATTTCAATTTAAATTTTCAGAATAAACTCAGTCCATAATTACAGTTCAGAGCCTGACAAATAAAAATGTATGCAAGTAGTCGTGTTCATTTGTCAACCTTTTCATTAGTTTCATATGTGTGAAAATTTATGTAATCGAAGATTTAAGTTCTATCATTTAAGTAGTATATATTTTCTATTTCTTGTTCCTTTCCCATTTTATTTATCATAGGAGCATCGTCAAAATTTGAACCACTGAAAGTACAATAATATTCATTTCCTTTTCAATTTAATGTATACGGTATATTTTGTCCTCACTTAGTATCATAAGAGGGTAAACTCCTGTATTTGCATGCATATATCTTTTCTCTTGTTATACTTTTTAATTACCTGTTAATATTAATTTCATTCATTTTATTTTTCCATAACATATATATATATATATATATATTAATTTGCACAACCATCTCTCTCTCTCTCGCGCGCGCCCACACACACATGTGCATGATATTAACATATACATGTATGTATATTGTGAACATTGATCGTTCAATTATGAGACATTTAAACTTTAGCACGTACATGTGCATGATATAATATTCAATAATTGTAATGAAAAAAAGAAAATTGAATTTGTTTTAATCAAATGTAATCACCTACTTTGCTTTTTCTTAATTTGATTCATTTTATACATTAAATATTCAATTCACATATATGCTAGCTTATTCAATAATTGCAAACAAGAAATTGTAATTACTATAAAACTATTGTAATTACCTACTTTAATTGCTTTCATTCGTTCAATTTTCTTCCAAATGCTCGAGCTTTGAAATAGCCCTTAATGCAGCACCTAACTTCTTTCAAGAACTTTTGCAGACTTCCCTTGTCCAAAATTAACATTAAATATCACTACATATAATGTTGGACACTTCACATTAGCAATTCAATTTCAAACTCCTTGAAGATTATCTGACATTATATTTAAATAGTTTTTATGGTTTACCTAAAAAATTATTCTCCTTTGCGGAGCTAAAATCATATGAATTGCGGCCTATTATTTCTTACTTCGTAATGAATAAAACAATAATTTGCTTAGTAAAAAAATATTAGAAAATTTTAATTCCTCGTAAAAAAAAATTTTCTTACTCTTTCTCCTTTCTCTCTCGAGCACATGAATAATTCTTCCCTCCAACTTTCTCGTCTTACAAGCCCAATATTCTTCTTCTTCACTGGAGTTCTTTTCTTTCTCTGCCAGTTTCCTCTTCTCCCTCTCTATTGCAGCCTCTTCTCGATCACAATCTCTTTCATTCGTGCAGTTCCACTAGAGTGAGTAAAATAACTTCTCTCATGAAAAGTCGCATAAGTTCGCTCACAATCGTATCGATTCCACATTTTCCTGAACCGTTGTCGCTCGCTCTCCTGTTTGCTTGATTGACTTTGCCTGCTTGCGTGATCGAGTCCACCCACTGGCCTCGCCTGCTATTAAATTATGATGGATCGATTTGGTTGAACCAGTCCATCCAGTTCTTATAATCTCCCTTTATTAAAAAAAAATTCCACGAAATTTAAATTAAAAAAAGATGCGCCTTAATTTAATAAATATGGATTTGGAGCTCTCATATCTGATTCTTTTCCGGCTTCTCTTTCTGTTCCATGCTTTCAAAAAATCTGCACAAATGATCTTTCAATTCCTTAGTCATTTTATATCACATTCCAATACTCTTTCAGGTTATTCTACGAATCTCAAATCAAACTGTGATTCAATTGATTATGACAAAATCCTTTTTGACTCATCTGATATATATTTTCGAAATCAGATATATGAAAAATATTTTGCATTCCATGCATATGCACTGTTAAAGCCAACCTATAAGCTATATTTCCAATCCTTTCAATAATTTCAAAAGATCCAATAAGTTATGAGCTCAATTTTCTTGTCTTTTCAAAACGCTGCACACCTTTCATTAGACTAACTTTGATAAAAATAAATTCACCAACTTTAAATTTAACTAACATGTACTTTGTATCATAATATTTTTGCTTTTTATCTTGTACTTCATTCAATTTGTTTTTGATTAATCTAATTTATTAATGACATCATTCACCAATTTAGTATCAATCACTTTTCTTTCCTCGATCTCTGGCCAGCATAAAGGTGTCCTAGATTTTCTCCAATATAAAACTTCATATGTGCCATTCTGATACTGGATTAAAAATTGTTATTAAAGATGGATAAAGTTTCAATTTCCACCCTAAACTTTGATAAAAATAAATTCACGAATTTTAAATTCAACTAACATGTACTTTGCATCATAATATTTTTGCTTTTTATCTTGTACTTCCTTCAATTTGTCTATGATTAATCTAATTTATTAGTGACATAATTCACCAGTTCAGTATCAATCACTTTTCTTTCCCCGATTTCTGTCCAGCATAAAGGTGTCCTACATTTTCTCCTATATAAACTTCATTTGTGTCATTTCGATACTGGATTAAAAATTGTTATTAAAGATAGATGAAATTTCAATTTCCACCAAAATTCAATATATATAACCAAAATAAATCCTCCAAAATTTGAATCATCTTTTCTGATATTGAGGATGAAATGCGATGCTAATTGTCAATCTGGTACCCAAGGCTTCTTAAATTTTCTTCGTAAACTTATTTCTCATGAGGAGTCATGTAGGTTCGCTCACGATCTCTCCCAAGCCCGTGTTGCCCGAGCCGCTACCGCGTGCTTGCCTGTTCGCTCGCTAGCGTGATCGAGCCCGGCCTCTCGGCTATGCCTTCTATTAAATTATGATGGACTGGTTCGATTAAACCATTCCATCCGGTTCTTACAATAATCATGAGCTCATGAACACATGGATGCAATCATGCACAAATATATATATATATATATATAAATATAATCATGCACAAATATGCATAAGCATATCGTTGTATGTGCATTATGTGCATGTATATATTTCCAATCTTTGGCATTGTCCTTATGGTGTATATTTTGTCATGTTTTGTCTGATTAATATTTTCACTCATTTTTTCTTAACTGCTTGAAACATGAGAAGATCATTACGCATGTTGAGTGTTACGTTTTGCCAACATGATTTATTTGATATGAATAATTAGTTAAATGCATGTGACACAGGACGCTTAACGGTCAATGGTTCTGAATGCAACTGATTGAAAGGAAAAAAACTGAGACTTTATTGATAAAAAAATTGTTTCATGAATGTCAAAATAATTATGTATAAACTTTTCTCATGACTCATAGGATTTCTCGGGTTCAAGAGGCAAATCATAAAAATCCCGCACAAGGAGCAGCCAACAGAAGCTACAAGAATCCAATGAAGCAAAATCTGAACAAGCATATGGCGAGGGTGGAAGGGAGGAAAAACTAATTCAATAATAGGAAAATGTTACGTACACCTTTGCCCTTAAGGTAATTGTCATATGTATGTCCAAAATACTTAGAATAAAATTAACTTATTAAAATAAACTTACTCAAATAGGGAAGGAGGGAGGGAAAACTAACTAAACAATAGGAAAATCTAGAGAACATATATTGTTCTCAGTATTCTTTCATCATAGGTATATCCAAAATACTTAAATTAAAATTTAAATAAACCTATTAAAATAAACTTACTCAGATCAATTAAAGATTAGCTATTTTTTGTCATGTGTAAACAAAGAAAACCCACCATCAGGGGATGGGTTATTTAATTGGGATGGGTTATTATCCAATTATTTTTATTTGCTTGAAGCACGAAAAATAGCTATTAAACCTTTTCCTTGTTTAAACATCCATATTTGACTCATTATTTTTTTTTTATATATGTATAAATTTTTTATATTTGACTCATTGTTCCTAATATGGTTGGCAATACTTATAGGTCCAAGCTGCTCCAAAAGTTTATGTGATGCCTCCACAAAATTCCTATGCTATGCATGAAGGTCCAGATTTTAATTATTTCAAGCATTCTACTGATGACCAGTGGATAAGAACAACAGATTTCACTCCATCATGTAGCATTGGGCAATCTTCAACAATTTGTTTACAACTACCCTATCAGTATGATCTTCCAAACATAAAGGATAACTTTGTTTACTTCCGAGAAGATTATTGTCATCTTGATTTGGTGAAAGGCTCTTCATACTCGTATGATTTAGGTCTTGTGCCTATTGTGAGACCTCCCCATGGTTTCAGAGTTCCATATAAAATTCTCTTTAAGATTAATCATTTAGTGCAAAATGGAACACTCATTGGGCCAACTCTCGATGAAAACTTTTTCAAGTTGGTCAATCCTTCTTCTGTAGACAATGATTTGGTTGAAAGGGCCTTAGAAAAGATGTCATATTTGAAAAGTTCTTGTTTTCGCCCTGCTAAATGGCTTCAAGAGCAGTATGGAAAACTCCAAAGATTAAAAAATCGTTCAATCTCAGCTTCTATTTCATTGGATGATGGCTTGGTATACGTTCACAGAGTTCAAGTAACACCTACAAAAGTGTACTTCTATGGACCTGAAATCAATGTTTCAAACCGTGTGGTGCGTAATTACACTGAAGAAATTAATAACTTTATAAGGGTCTCCTTTGTTGATGAGGATGAAGAAAAAATGCGTTCAATTGATTTATTGTCTCGTTCTGGAGGTGCTAGCAGCAGTAGGCGTACCGAAATCTATCAGAGGATATTGTCAACACTTAGAAATGGTATAACCATTGGTGATAAGAAATTTGAATTCCTTGCTTTCTCAGCTAGCCAATTGAGGGAAAATTCTGCCTGGATGTTTGCTTCAAGCAATGGTGTAACAGCTGCTGGCATCAGAAATTGGATGGGAAATTTTAGCAGAATAAGAAATGTTGCTAAATATGCTGCCAGGTTGGGCCAATCTTTTGGCAGCTCCACAGAAACTTTAACTGTTAGTAGAGATGAGGTTGAATTTATTCGGGACATTGAAAATTCAGCGGGCTACATCTTTTCCGATGGCATAGGTAAGATTTCCTCCAAGTTTGCTAGAAGAGTAGCTATAAAATGTGGCTTAAAAAGTTCAACACCTTCAGCATTCCAGATAAGGTATGGTGGTTACAAAGGCGTTGTGGCTGTTGATCCAATGTCAGTTAGAAAGTTATCCCTGCGGGATAGCATGTGTAAGTATGAATCTGAAAACATTAAATTGGATGTCCTTGCATATAGCAAATATCAACCTTGCTTTCTCAATAGACAGTTGATAACTCTTCTTTCTACTCTTGGAGTTCGTGATAATGTTTTTGAGAAGAAGCAAGATGAGGTTGTTAATCAATTGGATGATATTTTAAGTGATGCTGATAGTGCAAAGGTGGCCATTGAGATAATGGCACCTGGAGAAATAACCAATGTTTTGAAGGAAATGCTAATGTGTGGTTATAAACCGGATGCAGAGCCATTCCTTTCAATGATGTTACAGACATATAGGGCCTCAAAATTGTTTGAATTGAGAACTAAATCGAGGATATATGTTCCAAAAGGCAGAGCAATGATGGGATGCTTGGATGAAACTAGGATATTGGAGTATGGTGAAGTTTTTGTTCAGGTTTCGTACATTGGAAACACATTGTATCATCTTAATGGCCTTCATACATTCCCTGCGAGGGAAACTGATCAACGTACTGTGGTGGTGAAAGGGAAAGTTGTTGTCGCTAAAAACCCATGCCTTCATCCTGGTGATGTCCGCATTTTGAGTGCTGTTGATGTCCCAGATCTTTATCACATGGTTGACTGTGTTGTTTTTCCTCAGAAAGGTGAAAGGTAAGATATTCTTATTTAAATTTGAAGTGCTTATTAGTACTCTAGTTTACTTTCAACACTGTTTTTTATCATGCACAAACAAGTTGTATGAAATATCCTAGGAAGTCCTATTGCATGTAGTTTTTTTTTAAATGAAAAGATGGACCTTGCCCTATTTTTCTTGGGATCTAGATTTAATGCCTAGGTCAAGTTTGAAGCTCGTATGGACTGGTGAGATGTTTTGGCTGTTAAATTTTCATTTATGAGCATGGTCATCTATCATTGCAAAATATGATCATTTCGATCATTTCATTTCATGGTTTGGTCAATTTTTATGCATATAAAAAATGTCATCTATGAGTTACATCTTTTAAATATGGTTTTCTCCAATAAATGTTTGGCTTTTTTGTCTTGAAGAAGGGGAAACTTATTCATTCATTTTCTATATTGACGTCTCCAAATGGGATATATTTATTGACTTATGATGCATTAAGAAAATTATCCATCCTAATTAATTAATTATTAAATTTAAAATAAATCATAAGCAGATTCATAGCATTACTGCCCTTATGAGAACAACCTTGCCCTTAAGGTTGAAATTTCAAGTTGATCTAAGGGAGGCAATAGCTATCTATTTAGCCACAATCTCTTAAGTACTCTCTCTGTCTCTGCACGAGATATAAAATGAGGTCGCCAAATTGAGCATAGATGGTTAGGCGTTAGAGGAACTTGATCAGCACATCAAAAGAACTAAGTGTGGATGTTTGCACCACACCATCATAAATTATATTAATGACCATTATGCACTTGGTTTCAAAAATACTTTCAAGACTTCATCGATAAAAGAAACCTTCTTGTTGGATTTTTCCTGAACTTCACTAAAATAAGATATGATATGTTGTGTCATGTAATTTGCTTGCATAGCCTGAGCGATCGTGGAATTGGCTGATCCAAAATTTTATGTTAAAGGTAGAATCGTGGGTGGAGAATCTGTTGGTGCTTTGAATGATGATGCTTCTCAGTATTTGCTAATCACAAGCTGATTTACTTAAATATCACAAAGTTAAGCACTACCTTTTCATTCATCTGTATCTCGTCGTTGAACTTACCAATTCTTGCACAACAAAACTCAATTATACAATTCTGAACCTTCATTAAAAAAAAATGTTTTGGAATCCACAAAATTAGTGAGCAGTATCTTGAGATATGAATGCATCTAGTATGGCTTTGGTGAGATTGAAAAATTGAAGGTAATAAAATATCTCGAGTTTCTTAAATGGCGATGTGTTCAGCTATGACAGCAGCATTTTGCATAAGCAGGAATTATGAAAAGTGTTAGCATAGATTCAAGATCTAGGAATAAAAGGTTCATCCATATTTAATGGCCTGTAGATTTGGTGTTATTTGAAAGTGAAATGGATATTGAAGGTTGGACCTTGATGGGTTTCTTGGCGGAATAAAGTAGGTTGTTATAAGATTAGAGATCTATGTGGGAATCAAATCTTCTACACCGAAGCATGCAGATTTAGGTGGAATATTAGCGATAGGAAAGGACTACTGAGGGATTTCTTAAAACGTTAACTCTGGGAAGGGTGCTGGCATGGACGAGAAGCAGATCCTATGGTGTAGATCATGAGTAGTTGTCACATCTCAGGCCCGGAAGGCGATACTCTCTGGCAAATTGGGTCACGATGAAGGGATATAAATACCTGTTTTGTACTTACAAGAAGAAAAGTGCATAAACATGTGATTTAATGGAATATGTCAGGGTAAATAATAGAAGAGTAGGTGAACTTTCACTTTATTCTTATGAGTTCAAATAACAATACACCAAATCAATATTACTACTATAAGTAAAATAATATCTTAGTTGCCTACGAGTGCTGAAGGTCAACACACAATGGGCGTGATGAATGGACTGATGTGCCTTCAATTGCTACAATTGTTAGTTCAAGGTAGTGGCCGTTGATTTTGAAAATATAGGGCATCAAGAATGACACAATCATCCAAGGTTGAAACGATTGATTATTTATTTAAGCTAACACCAAAAAAATGATGATGAAAACATCATTAGGTAGTTGCCTATTAATTTCTACACGAGTTCTAGGAAGAGAAAGCCAGATCAAATCATTATTTTTAAAGATGGAATGAGTGAGTATCAATTTAACTAGGTTTTGAACATTGAGTTGGATAAGATTATTGAGGCTTGCAAGCTTCTTGGTGAACAGCCATCGTGAACTCAACATGTCACTTATGAAAAAATATCGAAGCACTACGACAAATGCAAATTTCTACGAGCTGTCGTAGAAAACCTTTCATACACCATGTGTGCATCCATAAGCAAAATACAAAGTGACTATATCAGGTGTAAATGCCTACGAGTTACTATAGAAAACTTATCATGTATAAAACAGGACATCTATAAGCATCTACAAATGCAAAGCAGGAGATTCGTTAGTGTACAACAATCCACCTGCAAAAGTAGAAAGTAGTGCACGAAACTCTACATGTATAAAATGGGTCAATGCAGAAGGACCACAAAAGACACAAACATATACGAGCCGCCGTAGAAGACCCGTTAATACTATAAAAATACGCAACCACTGCCCCACATGTGCACAACAATTTGTATACACAAACACCAAGAAATGCACGTACAATCATACACTCGCAAGGGCCTCGATGAGCGTGTTATAGGCATACACGTGATGTCTAATGATGTTGTGCGGGTCAATAATAAACTCAAGTTCGAGCTTGATTCTTTTATGATGACATATAAGAGTCGACACAGCTTGAACCATCAAATAAAAATACGGTCACAGTATCGACCAGGATATTTGTTTTACACATTTATATAAGGCCTTCAAGACTGATAATCAAGAAAATCAATTCACAAAGACATAAATTTTACAAGGAACTCGATCCTCTATCGACAGCTTGACAGAGTCGACAATGTTCAATCCACAAATGCAAATAACTTCATACACCTCGATGATAGCCGTACTGAACATTTATTTCAACCGAAGAGGTCCTACCTTTTCAAATACTCTTAAATTTTCACAAAATACAAAAACATGAATGACCCTATATACCCCAATGGTGGTCGTGTTGATAGAAAATTTCAATATGAGGGGTTTACTTCAAATATTTCAAGTGCTACCCAAAATATCTAAAATCCAAAAATTTCAAAAATCATCCAAGTCTAGAATATTAAAATTGAAATAATCCATCAAATCACTTAAAGCAAAACTCATCCACCCTCCGTAACAGTCTGCTAAAGTGGACAAATTAAAAAATACTTCAGCTCATAAAGAGTTAATGTCTGATCGAGAATATCACTAAAATTCATTCTCAAATAATCTCCTGCAGTAAGGATGTGACAAGTGTCCTCTAACTGGTGGTTTGCCGCCAAATGACACGACAAGTAAACAGTTATGACCGGGCCCTCTGAACTGGGTGGTTTGCCTCCAAATGACATCACTAAATTACAGTTATGGCCAGAGAATGACATCAAATCTTTGAGATATGAATCAATATGATATAATCGATAGGGCATAAAGTTCTCTGTTAGCTAATGTGGATTCAAATTTATCTCCTTAGACAAATACCCACCTCAGGTATACAAGGTACCCTTAGACGAAACAACCCATGGTTGCCGACAAGGTTCTTTATGTCAGGTTGGTTCGACTGCCTCCTCTGACTAAATAGAATAGGGACATGATAGCCCGAGATGATGGAACCATGAGATCTTGATCGGGCCCATCATTCATTCCCCCGCCATCCGCTTTAAGTGCAAGATGATGAAATTTTCAATTTTTAATATCAAATATTCAAACTTCCAACATCCAAGCCCATGCTTCTATTATATGCCAGATGCACATATTTGGTTGATGAGTAGCCTTAATCGGAAGTTCTCTCTCATGATCGGGAGGGATAATTAACTATAGGGGCTTGCGCCTATAGGAAACCAGAACTCAGATCATAAACTTCTCACAAAATGAGGGAGAAATCTCTGGATGGTGTCTTATCTACAAACCTATCTGCCTTTTTAAAATTTATTCCAGAACTTATTCCGTTAAAACTCCCCTAAAAAAGCAACGGGGAGATTGGGGCCGAATTTTTGGAGCCCACATTATTGTGTTGTTTTCACTCCCAAATCGTATCAGAAGACTAAATAAATAAATAAAGATGCAACTTGATGAAATTTTTTAACGAAGCTCTCCGTTTGGCCCTTTTGGATACCTATATTTTCCCTTTAACAGTCAAAGCACCAACATTTCAATCCTTTATAGATTAAGGCACATGCTGGTTTTCCTCTTTCTATGCTTGAACTTTATGTTATTCAAGTTAGGATGACGTACTGAAGAAAATAGGAATTTTGATAAACAGTTTCAACCGAGATTTATTGCTTAGGTATTTTATTTTGTAACTGCATTTATTTATTTATTTTATTGTGTATCAATGCATTCTCTAATATGTCTTATTCTACTTTGGCTTGCATATTTGTGGCAAATGATTATTATTTGTAGGCCACACCCAAATGAGTGTTCAGGAAGTGACTTGGATGGAGATATATACTTTGTCTGTTGGGACCCGGAGCTTATTCCGCCTCGTCAAGCTTCACCTATGGAATATACAGCTGCCCCATCTGAAACTCTTGATCATGATGTTCAAATTGAGGTAATGTTTTTGGCAGAAACCTGCTTATTCCTATCGTGTTAAATTATTGCATCTTTTCTCACATCCATGAGATTTCTTATTTGCACCTAATAGAGGCTAAAAGAAAGCAGTTTAAAGAATGTCATGGTTAAGTGATCCGGCTTATTATTCATTAAGTTGGGACTCCAGCTCTTGCTGTAACAGTAGAATAGTGCATTCCTATGGAAACCATTGTCGTTAATTTTGGTATCCTCATGTAACATATTTTCACTAATGTATGTGTATATAGTAAATTTTTAAGATGATAATAAGTTCTCTAGAGGTCCATTATGCAGGAAGTCCAGGAGTACTTCACAAATTACATCATCAATGACAGTTTAGGTGTCATTTCAAATGCTCACACGGTCTTCGCTGACAGAGAACCTATGATGGCACATAGCCCGCCTTGCATCGAGCTCGCAGAACTCTTCTCTATTGCTGTGGACTTCCCCAAGACTGGCGTTCCAGCTGAAATTCCTCCTCATCTTTATGTCAAGGAGTACCCTGACTTCATGGAAAAGCCTGACAAAGCAACCTACATTTCAAAGGGAGTGATTGGGAAGCTCTTTAGGGCGGTGAAGGACCATTTGCCCCCAGGGTACCTTATAAAATCCTTCGCAAAGGAGGTAGCAAAAAGGTCCTATGACCCAGACATGGAGGTTGATGGCTTCATGGATTATATTGATGATGCCATATTTTTCAAGGAAAACTATGATTTCAAGCTCGGAAATCTGATGGAACACTACGGCATGATGAATGAAGCGGAACTCCTTACTGGGAACTTGATGAAGGTGTCCAGGAAGTTCAACAAGTACAGAGATGGTGAAGCAGTCAGACTAGCTGTGAAGTCCTTGAGGAAAGAAGTAAGGTCATGGCTTGATGAAGACAATGATGGGGGCAAGAGTGCAGCTTCATATGCGAAGGCATCAGCTTGTTATCATGTGACATATCACGAGGATTATTGGGGAACATATAATGAAGGTTTAAAGAGGCTTCATTTTATTAGCTTTCCGTGGTGTGCATATGATAAGCTCATTACTATAAAAAAGCAGAACATGACTAGAAGGAGAGTTGCTTGTCTCGAAGAAGAGCGTCTGAGCCACCAAATGGAGCAAAGATTGAGATTCTTATAATGTTAAAGAAATGTGGGTGTATATAGCAATATGCTAGACTTTCTATATTTATGCGTTTAGTTTCTGAAACCTTTGAAACAATTTGAGCTTATTTATGTTAGAAACTCAAGTATTTGCATGCAATGTTTTGTTTGTGTATTTGATTTGAAGGCAGTGAAGTAAACTTCACTTTTTGTTCAAATGTACTGTAAACTAAATGCTTTCAATCTGAAAATATCTATTTAGCAGAGTTAAACTTTGGATACATTTTTTTTTGCAGTAGACCAAACAATCTTTTGGTGATAATATTGTTATATGATTGCAGCTATCTATGAGACTTTTAGGAAATTATTGATTGGATAAACCATCTTGCTTAAATAAAATATAGTGTTATATAGGATGATCAGTGGAGATGATTTTTTTTTATTATGTTTAGAAATTTGATCAACATGTAGATGCATCAAAATAAGATTTTAAATGCATATATGAAATTTTTATTTAAAATCTTCATTAAGTTACAGTTGATATATATATTAATGACATAATATTATGTAACAGATATTTATGAATCAAACAATCTCTAAAACAAACCAACTAGCTATTGTTCTACACAGGCTGAAAACCTTGTTTGATGCACTTTATTTTGAAGTTTTTCAGTTGTTGAGATGTTTCATGATTCTCTATCTTGCTGTATTTTTTATTTAGTTTAGGGCTGTGTGGTTGGTTGTAAAGTGAATATATTGTAAAGTAAATATTTGGGGCTATTTGGTTGCCTATAAAGTGAATGCAAGGGAATTATTTTTTCTGTTTGGTTAGGTGAATGTAAAGTAAAATCAGAGGCTCGTTTGGATGAGACATTCAATTTAGCAACTAGTGTGCCTTCCTAAACAATTATTTGATATATTGAAGTCCCCTAATTAATCACCAGTCAATTTAACATTCTCAGAAAATCAAACACATAAGACACACCTTGTGTCTCTAGGTTGTCGGACGAGGTGGTCTGGTCATCCTGTGGCTTTAGGTTTCTGCACGGAGTGGCATACATTGTGTTTCTTAGAAGCGATAAGGCATTCCTCGGAGCAATGAAGGAGCATCTCATCCAAATTGGTACTTCGATCAAACTAGCCCCATCCGCCACTTTGAAGCAAATACAGGCGAATCAAAAGAATTGTGTGGATCGTCAGGCCCTTGGGTGCGCAACAGAACGAACAAAAGAGGAATTGTGTGATTTCACTGGCTAAAGATAGCATAGTCGAACAAGAACGATGGACATGAATGGATCTTCCTGTGTTCGAAGTTGATAAGCAACGATGAATCTTCCTGCGTGCAAAGTCGAACAACAACGATGGAGTCGTGGAGGAAAAAACAAAGATGTGTTCCGCGGGCTGCTCTCTCTCGTCCACGGAATTCCTTTTTGGCTTGGTTTTGAGCGGATTCGTTTTACACATAAAATAAACTAATGCGGGGAGTTTTGAATACATCACGAATTTTCTTTACTTAGCGACTGATCAAACACCAAAAAGTGAAAAAGCAAAGCATTCACTATACTTGGCATTCATTTTTCCTCCAACCAAACAACCCCTAATCTTTTATTGATTATGAACCTTTCTCCATTTCCTTAAGTTATGCATGGAGAAGTTAAAAGCACCAGGAAATCTCTTAGGGTCCATTTGTGACAACTATGACATTTTTTAAATGTGATTGTAGCATTCATGAGGATTGTAATTTTTAGGAAGTTATTATAGATATTATAAATGTATTTTTAAATTGAATAAATTTTTTATAAGTATCCACATCAGTAAATTTCTTTATAAAAAATATTTTTTCATCATAAAAAATTCTAAAAAAAATAGTTAAATAAAAAAATGATCACAAAAAAATTATCCCAAAGTCCCTTAATATCTTATCATAACAACAACAAATGGAATTTTGGGAGTTCGGAAAGGTCATATATATGCGGAAGTAAGGATACATTGGCTAAGCATTCTCTCTTAGGTTTCATTGAGTAATTCAAAAATTAAAAATCATATTTTAAAATTATGACAAAATTTATTAAACTAACCATCTGTTTGGATGTAATAGATATCTACGTACATTAATTTCAAACTTTTTAGCTTTTTTTTTTTTCTCAAAAACATAACTTAATTCACTTTTTAGTGAAATTAAATTCATTTTGAGAGAAATATCTAAAATAATAATAATAATAGTCTTTATCTAAAACATATATCTTATTTACAAAAAATAATAATAATAATAGTTAAAAAAAAAAAAAAAACTTATGAGGCCTTAGAGGAACTAGTGAACATGCACATACATTAAGTTTTAGCTATATTATTTTCAAATTTATGTATTTATAACTTATTATATACAAAACCATCAAATTTTTATCCCATTATGTGAGGTCGGTTATATGAATCATTTTTCTTAATTGTGTCCTAATAAGAGTCCAATTCTCATTTAAATTTAATAAAAAAAATTATTTTTAATACTTTTTATTCAATTTTTTTTAGGTCTATCTCTACCAGCTTCTTTATGAATCTAATATATCTACTCTCCTAAGAAAATAATGATGTTTTATGTGACCAAACAATCTAAGGCGACTTGATTAGAAATTATATGAATCTATAATATTATCAAATAAGAAATAATAACTAATATTGAAAAAAATCTCACATTATATTAGTGTGATGAAACTTTATATCTAAAATATGAGATATTACAAAATTTGCTAAAAATATTATCAATTTTGTTAAAAGTTTGAATATAATCAATTGATAATAAATTAAAGCTATAATGTTCTAATATTATCATTTATTTAATCATGCTTAAATCATTCACTCTTGTCAATGTTTATTTATATTCATAATCATTATACAAATATATGTAATTTATTTTTAGTGAATTAAATTGTAGTTTTATGCAAAGTATGATTAAATTGTAGATAAATGATAAATATCAGTGGGAAGGTTAGTAACTTCTCAAAATGAATTGATCAACCCAACAATATTATTTATCATTTGTCTTAGTTAAAAAATATTATATTGATTCCTATATTACTGCGTTTTCTTGTGCATTTGAGTTATTGGTTTAGTTCTTGCATTATTTATAGCTTTTGGGTAATTTTGTATTTTCAAATTATTAACCCTCCCATCATATTATTAAGAAAGGTTTTAATTAGCTAAAAGTAATATTTTTATATGCACCAATTCATCTCCTGATTGGTGTGTCATTGAACTATCAACGACTGTCCTATTAGATCTAAGGTTGTTTGGAGTGACACCCAATCTTACTAGCAGCAAGCTTAAGAGAATATGACCCTAGAAATGAAGATTAAGAGAATATGACTCCGAGCAATGAGGATTCGCTCGAGAGTCATCAATCCTCAACTTGGTAGAATAAGCAGATGAGCGTTGGCTCCCACGGGAAAGCCGATGGTTCACACAAACTACACAAATTGAGACTAACCCTTAGGCGATAAGAGCTAACATAGGCGCTTGCCGCCACATGGAATGAAATGCCATCAATGGGAATCATTTATCCAAGCTATCGAGGGAAGGATCTTCTCGAGAAGGTTCTTGTTCACCCATCACAGTCAGCTGACCAACCCAGAGCAATGAGGATTCGCTTAAGAGTCATCAATCCCCAACTGGTTAGAATAAGCAGATGAGCATTGACTGCCACGGGAAAGCAGATGGTTCACACAAACTACTCAAATTGGGACTAACCCTTAGGCGATAAGAGCCAACAAAGGCACTCGTCACCACCTGGAATAAAATGCCATCAATGGGAATCATTTATCCAAGCTATCGAGGGAAGGATCTTCTTGAGAGGGTTCTTGCTCACCCATCACAGTCAGCTGACTAAGGAGCCTAATGTAATAATCCAAATTTTTAAAAACAATTGAAAAAAAAAATCAGAATTCATGTTTAAATTATAGCAAAGAAGAGAGAAAGAGAATTTTGAATTTTTTTGCCTCAGAATCAATTTGTCACTTTTACAAAAATTGTTCAGATCGAGATAGGTGATTTTGATCTTACCTTTATTTTCAAATATTTTAATTTTAATTGTTTGATTCTTCCCATAATTGATTTTATTATATTTTTCTTAAATTTGTTGAACTTTTACTTCGTAACTTTTTATATGATATGTACTAATTATTTTAGAGATTTTGACTATAAAATTTCTGAATCACATCGTAAAATAGAAGTTATTGAATTTTACATGATTTTTTTTAATAGAAGCAAGTAATTTTATTTAAGCATACTATTAATACAAATATTATGAATGCATATAGACATGTGGTTGAGTATTAACTGGCCGTTATTATTGTTACAAAAAAAGCGATATTATTATGTGTGAAAAACATGTAAAAAACTGGTTTCACTTATGTTGACCGGAGACTTACTGACCTGTATAGAATGGTGAGTCGACAAACTTTCTTTTAAACATACGGTTTGGTGTTATCCTCGACTGATTCATGTGATACTAATTGTAAGTTAAAAGGATTTATTTATGTGCTGACGGATAAAGAGTGATGATGTTGTTTACTGAGCCAACGGTTACTAACTGCGGATTACTGATACTGGATAACACCGTTTAAGTTAGGACTTCTTACTTAATTAATATGATTACTGAAATACATATTATTGATTCATTATTACTATACGGCTTTACTATTTAATGTTTACGGGTTTATTGTCACTATATGAATTTACTGTTACTAATGAGTGTTTATCAATATAGGTACGAATATCGATACTATTACTGACAACATTGTTTATTAATTTACTGTACTATACTAATATTATCACCGACACTGATACATATGCTAATACTTGTAGAATGTTTTTATTACTACTATTGCTATTGACTATTTTACTGTTTACCAACTCTACTGCTATTGTATGCGAGTTTTATTATTTCTGCACCGATTCAGTTGACTGTGATTGAGGGGCGTTGCTGGTTTGGAGAGAAAAAATCACAAGTTTTTCGATCATTAAAGAGAAGAAAATATTGACTAGATGAAACATGATTGGGGATTGTATGAAGAGTTGGGCTGGTTCAACTTTGCACATATTTAGGATAGTGACAAAAATAATGTTGATGTGAAATGAAAAGATATGCCCAAATGGAAAATTATTATTTTGTCACCACCATGCAATTGAATCAAATGGAAGAATTGAAAATATTTATTTAAGGAAATATATTGTGGGTGCCAAGAACCCAAACTTGTTATATGGTTAGGGTTGCATTCAAATCAAGTTTAATTAAGGCTTCGTTTTGAACAGCTTTCTTACCGCTTTTTAAAATAGATTTTTAGTACAAAATTTTTTATTTTAAAATTTTTTTAACTAGAATCTGCTTTAGAAAAAAAAAAGTTCCAAATAAAACCTAAATATCAAAGCTAGCACACTCCTAATAAAATATTGAGATAGTAATATGTCCTATAAAATATCAAGCTTACATATAAACTAAGTGATCATATTTAGAGTTATTATTTGAAGCATGTATGGATCCCTACAATAACTTAGGCTTCGTTTGGGACGGCTTTTTCATTGCTATTTTTGTACTAAAACTCTGTTTTAGAAAGCAATAAAAAGCTGTCCTAAACGAACCCTTAATTTTTTCTATTGCTCCAATATGAGAGATTCAATTTGACTCACACAAGAAGAAAAGGTGAAGAAATAAAGATCTACTTAATATTATTATTTTCAATAAATTAGCATTTAATTATTCATGTTTTCATAAGTTAACAAAATGTAAAGATTTAATTTAAAAAATTTGAAGGTGGATTTCGTAAATGGCCAGGATTTTATTTTTATAAAACTTTAACAGCAAAGTATGTAATTCAATTGCGATTCTCTAACTTGACCCATGACACGAAAATGACACCACATTGGCCAGGTCCAAACGAGCAATCGTATATCGATCGATCGAGAGAGAGAGAGAGAGAGAGAGAGAGAGAGAGGCAAACGCAACCAGTGTGCGATCTCCGAATCCGGCTCCTAGATTTGATATCTCTGCAGAATCGACTAAAGTCGTCTCATGCCATCAAAGGATTGCTTCGATCCGAGTAAGTAGCCCTGATCGCATTCGGAAAATCAAATTTATGTCGGCTTCCATCATCCTCCGCAGGAATCGTAGTAATTGCGCAAAACCCTCTCCTGATCCGCAAACACTCTAATTGCCAGACGGGGTGATCCGTTGGGTGATTGAATTCTTCAAAAAAACCTCATCTTACTATTATGCTCTTTTTCTTGATGATTAATGGAGGGAGTATCCGAGTGGGGCGCCTCTCCAAATCCTTCCGATGAATTTTCTCCCCGGCCGGATCGCTGCTCCGACGCTGATTTTGGTGATTCTTCGCTGGCTTCGTCCAATTTTTCCTCTTGTGACGGATCGGAGTTTGAGCGGTACTGTAGCGCGAATTCTGTGTTGGGGAGTGCGAGCATCTGCAGTTCGATCGGGAATTACAGTGGGATTGGAGAGGAATTTCTTTCGGAGGGTTGCAACTCGAAAAGGAAGTTCCTGAGAAGTCGTTGGAATGGATGCGAATGTTTGTCAGATGGAGGTGCTGATACTCCTAGGGCTAATGGTTGTTATGAGAATGCCTTGGCCAGAATGAGTAAAAACTCTAGATTGCTTCACGGATCCACAGAGAGCTCCTCATTATGCTATGGCACATGTGGAGAAGATAATACTGAAAATTTACGGTTACCATGCTTTGCCAAGGGCAAAGAGCCATCTGCATTTTCTTCGGTTAATTGTTCGTCTGAGGGAACTGATGGTGATGGGTATTCAGAGAAACAAGAAGACGAGTGTGGTTTGAATGAAAATTTATGGAACATACAAAATGAAGCTCATTTGAATCTTGAAGTTGGGACTGTAATAAATCCTGAAGCAAATGAAGATGCATTTTGTATATCAAAGCTTTCAGAAATTGATGATTCAATGCTAGATTATGGAACTGATAATGAAGGTAGTATTCAATTTTGTGAAAGGAGCTTTAAACTTGTTGAGAAAACTAAGCACGAGGATGAGAATCCACTTTTTATAAGTTCTTCCGTGGCTTTTGGTTCCAATGATTGGGACGAGTTTGTGCAAGACACAGAAGGAGGAGGTCTGGCTTCACTCTCATTGCTCCTGGAACAATCTTCTCAGCATCAAGATAAGCATATTGCAAGAGAATTTGAGGAAAAGGTGGAAGATAGAGCCGTAGCTAGTTTTGAAGTTGAGAATCTAAGTGTTAAGGATGTGGAAGATGGTGATTTTGTATCAGCAATCAATCATGAGGCACAAGCTATCGATATACAGACCGGGGTTAGTGGTGGTAGATATAGTACACTAAACAGACATGAAGCGGATGCTGTTGATCCAGCTACAAAAAATTCAGAATTTGCTATTGCTCTTGGTTTGCAAAATACTCTATCTGAAGGCAATGAAGTGAAATGCTATTTAAATACTCCATGTGATACCGCTGCAAGGAAAATTCATTTATCACTTGGCGGGGACAATGGTGTCCAAGGCGTACATGAAGCTTCTGAAAAAAATTTTATAGGTGAATCAGATGATATGCTAATGCAGTATCATTACGGATTTAATGGTGCAGGAGGAGAAATTAATAGAGCTGAACTTGGTAATAATAGTAGCGCACTGGCTATGAGCAATATTGGTGATGGTTCCATCATACAAAAGGTTCAGGGGAATGATCCAAGCTATCCTCGTTTAGCTGAAGCAAACAAAGAGAGTGAGGTCAGTAAAACTGCCAGCCTTCTTGATAATTTAAAATCATTCAATCAGTTTATATACTTTTTATTGGTGGCTGGTGGTGCCTTCTAGTTCTTGAATCTCCGCATATTATTCATTAATATGGTATGCTTTATTTCCCCGGTTTTATGGTGTCTTCTGTGCTTCTATGCTCAATCGTTTTTATACTTGCCTTTATGCAACAACATACTTTGTGCTACTGCTGATTTTATACTTCCTGTTGATTTTATTGGCCATTATTTTCCGTATGTCATTGTGCATAATTCTCACGATTTAACTTTAATTGGTGAATAGAACATTGAAGATAGGTTAGTTGAGCTGATATTGGCCACCATAAAAATGATTTTTAACCTTTTTCCAGAGGCTTGTTTGCTCATTAAAACTGAGATTTTTGTCTGGGTTTTGATCATCAAAATGTTGGAAACTACCATTTAGCCTATAAATCTTTCTTTCTTTGGCTTTCTTGTCTTTCAAGTGTTACTAGCAAGTGTTTAGAAGAGATAGAATAGGCTTTAAGTAAAATAACTTACTTAATTCTAAGTGTTTATTCAAAATTTGTTGACAATTTTATTCTAACTTTGCATCTATAAATCCTTATTCCTCTGCTTACCTCTCTTCATGAGTCACTAAGAAATATTAAGCTGATTATATAATAGATTTAAGTGAAGCCACTTATATGGAATTCTGTTTTTTGTTCATTGTTGTATTTCTTTTGTCTTAAGTTCCCTTTGATTTACCTTTTGGATAGATATGTTAAATTCAAAAATATCTATAGCACCAATTCATCGGCATTGAATGGTGAATATCATAAGGAATGCAGCAGTTTTATCTTCCCTGGCTGGAATTTTTATTGCCTCAGGTTACCTAACGTAAAGATACATCAGGTAGCCTATAATATATCGCCACGTGCTCTTTCTCTTTACCGTGCTGCCTGACGACCCAACCCGAAACGAATATGCGCGGTATTTGCTCGGTATTGCTAGGTACTACTCGGTATTTGCTCTCTATTTGCTCGGTACTTGCTCGGAAAAGGAAGAAATGGCAGCCCCCCTCAACCCTTCTTCCTCCAAGCTCTGTCCGTCTCTTCTCCCTCCCATCAACCAAGCTTCACGTAAACCACTGAAATGCTTTGCTTCGTCTTCCAGCACCCGTCCATCTTCTCATCCCGCCTCTTTAGTGCTCCGTTCAAATCCTCCGAGCAATACGCGAACATAGTAATCCCGGATTCGTTCCGGGTTGGGTCGTCGGGCCGCACGGTAAAGAGTAAGAGCACGTGGCGATATATTATAGGCTACCTGATGTATCTCTACGTCAGGTAACCTGAGGCAATAAAAATTCCCCTGGCTGGGCCCCTTAATGCAAGAAAAGACTAGGCCTTTGCCTTGTACTTTGTGCATTATTTAATCACTTGATGCTTACATGTTCCGTGCTTTCAGACATTCATTTTAATTAAGCTATTTCAAGCCTGCTAATTCCAAAATGTATCTACTTGTAAGGATGGTTCAAACATGTATGCATCCATGGACAACCATAATCAGTTAAGTTGTCAACGTGAACTACAATGTTGTACAGTTTTCAATTCAACAATCAATGCACATCTATTTCAAGAATAATCAAAACTAAAAGGGCATGCTTAGTGCACGAAATTCCAACAATGTGGGGTCCAGGGATTATGCAATGCAAGAAAATTATTAATAAATATAGATTTTTTTTAAAAAAATTTTTTGGGATTTTGCGGGCTCCAAAAATTCGCGCCCTGGCCTCTCCGTAGACCCCCCCCCCCTCTTTCTTTTGTTTCAAGGTCATCGAGGAGAGTTTTAACGAGTAGGTTTCGAGGCAAAATTTTAGAAGGCATATTGGGTTTTAAATAAGACACTACCCAAAGATTTCGCTCTCATTTTGCGAGTACTTTATAATATGAGTTCAGGTTTCCTATAGGCGCAAGCCCCTATAGTTGATTACCCCTTTCGATAACGAGAGAGAACTTTTGATTAAGGCTAGTCGTCAAACAAATACGAAGTATTTGGCATATAGTAGCATTATGATTTGATATTTGAATATTTAATATTTAAAATTAAAAAATTCACCATCTTATACTTAAAACGGATGGTGGGGGGAATGATGATGAGCCCGATCAAGACCCCATGGTTCTATCGTCCCGGACCATCATAGTCCCTAGTCTACTTGAGCAGGGAGGTAGTTGATCCAACCTAACCAAAGGATCCTTGTCGGTAGTCGTGGCTTGCTTCGTCTAATAGTACCTTGTAAACTTGGGGTGTATGTTTGTCTAAGGGGACAAATTTGAATCCACCTTAGCTAACATAGGGCTTAATGCCCTATCGATTATATACTATTGATTCATATCTAAAGGATTTGAAGTTATCGGGGAACATGCGAGCTTTGACCATGACCACAATTTAGTTGTGCAATTTGGCGACAAAATCATATGGTTCAAAGGGTCCTAGTCATAACTATTTACATGTGGTCTATTTGGCGGCGAACAATCGGTTAGAGGACACGTGCAACGTCCTTACTGGAAAGAGATTGATTGAGAAAGAATCATAGTAATATTTTCGACTAGACATTGGCTCTTTGTGAGTTGAAGTAATTTTCAAATTTGTCCATCTCGGCAAATAATTGCGGAGGGAAGATGTGTATTTGTGATGTGAAACCAGGAATTGTTTCCAAGAAATTAATAAAGTTTTGTTAGAGTTATGATAATACGATTTAATGCGTCTCAAATTTGACAATTCAATAAAGATCTTGGAAGTTAACCGAGTCTAGGCAAGTCGTTACAACTAACTTTGCAAGATCTATAAAATAACAACCTCAATTAAAAGTAATGAAAATGATTAGCCAACTAGAATCTGGTGGTTAACAAAGCGATTGTCTCACCTTGAGGCTTAAGATCACTCTTCTATGTCTAGGGTTATTGGAGGAAGAAGAACCACACAATAAATGAGATCACTCCGAGGTAGACGGCACCGACGATCCGTAGAGGTGGAGAGGGAGGCGTAGGAGGTGGAGGTGGCAAAGAATGACGACCTTCGATGATCCACTCGTAGTCCGCAAATTGTCCGTCTATGACGTGCACAAGAGTGGAGAGGATTCGCTCCAAGTAATCTCCCACTGTATCGTCGTCGTGGTCAAACCCCGCGTCAAAGAATGGGGATCGAAGTACGTGAATATTCCCGTAGACGTCAAACACAAGTCCTCCTTCAAGCTACGGGTCCGCCATGCATGTTGGGATTGAGTAGGGGAGACAAAGCAAGGAGGTGAGAGAGCTAGCCGTGAGCTAGGGAGAGAGGGGAGGGGGTCACGGTTTTGAGAGGAGAGAGGGGGCGGGTGTGGCCTTTGGGAAATAATCACAAATCTGAATTTTAATTCAGATTTCCAAGTTTAGGAGGTTTTAATTTCAGTTTTGAATTTCAAAATTGAAATTAATGTGAGAGGGAAAGAAATTAGGAGTAATTAAAGAGGTTTAATAGGGAAGAAAGAAGAGAGAGGGACCGGCCATGTAAGGTGGTGAGGTGGCTTGAGGATTTGAATAGGTGGGGACCACATAGAAGTAAATTAATATAATCAAAATTCTGATTTTAATTTCAGAATTAATTATATTAAGTAACTCCCAAACTCATATGAAAATAGGAGGGAATTGAAATTTGAATTTCAAATCAAGTGTAACTCCTATTAATCAACTTTCCAAATTTGCTAGGGCTTGATTAGGAAAGTAATTAAGAGGGGGAAAATTCAAAATCCACAAGGATGAAACTAGGGGAAGGAGGCGGCGGCAAGGGAGGAGCCGGCGGGCTGGCCGGTGGCTGCTGGCCGGTTGTGGGGCTGCAGGCCGACGGCCTGGGCTGTCCAGGAGGGACGGCGGCAGGGAGCAAGGGGAAGAAGGTTGTAGGGAGAATTTCTAGGGATCCAAAGAATAAGATTCCAATCCCCCACAAGTGTCTTCAATCCGAATCTCCGCAACGACGACTTAAACAAGAGAAAGAAAAGAAAATATAAGGAAAAAAAACCTAGAACTCACAAAGAGATCTAGTTTCTCCTACGAACTCACTAAGAGATCGAGGAGGTTTGCACTCACAAAGAGAACATGAAATGTAACTTTTTCATTCATCCAAAAACTAATAAGCAAATATAATGATAAAGCCTATATATAAGCTAACCGAAAATAAAAGTCAAAAGACAACATTGCCCTTGGGCTACAATAAACACTAACTCCCTCATAGGGGTACAAATGGAAAAACATGAAATAAAAATTGCATGAATAAAATAAAACATCAAAAATAAAGACTCTGAATCATGGCCGTCGCTCGACAACCCCTCCGATGGTACGTGTGCTGAAATCTTCTATGGATGTCCTCATCATTTTGCTTTAAGTATTTTGATATTTTTTATTTCAATTTTAAATGTTTAGATTTTGATGATTTTGAGTTTGAGTTTTCATGAGGATTTGTGAGATATTTTTGGATATTTGTAGTTCCATTCGGTTGGATTTTCTATCACATGACCATCATCATGGCATGTGAACAATTTTATTTTATTAGTTAAATCTTGTCGACTCTGTCAACTTGTCAATAGAAGATCGGACTCATTGTAGGTTTTAGATCTTTATCAATGCATTTTTCTTGTTATAGACCTTGAAGTCCTAATATGAATATATAAAACAAATATCCCAGTCAACACCATAATCGTATATTTATTTGATGGTTAGAACCATGTCAAATCCTATGCATTCATGTATAAGGATCAGGTTCGAACTTAAGTTCATTTCTTGACCCGCGCAACATCCTCATATCTCACGTGTATACCTGTAACATACTTGCCGGGGCCCATGTGAGTATATATTCTTATATGCAATTTGCATGATGACGTGTCTTATATTTTACAATGTGTATATGCATGATATAACTATATTGATGTGTATTTCAATGCATAGGGGGTTCTTTTCAATAATCAGCTATGGAAATGGTTGTCATTGAACAGTGCGTGGGGTTTCATTTAGGAGTTTAAAAATGCCTTCTGTCCACTTATATGCATGTTGCAAATCCGATGACGTTATTTAGCAGCGTGTTGGGCCTTATTTGTCGCGCATCTGCAATGCAATTTAGTTCACTTCCTCGTCTTCATATTATTATCTTTTCGGTATTCAACCCGTGGGAGTGTACTTCATCCTGCAGGCGAGCTGCACATCGTATCGTGAGTCTTTAACCTATTGTTTGCATGCGAGCCGATTCATCTGATGTGATAGCCTGACGTTGCAAATTTACTACCTCAGTTTACCAGCGGCCAGTAATTTTTACTACGAATTTTCTACTTTTTCTTACAGGTGAATTGTAGTGTTGTGCTGCATATCATTTTTTACTTTATGCAGGTCTTCTAGTGTTGCCCGTAGGTTGACTGTTGTATGCATGATGGGTTATCTGCTATTGCTTGCAAATATTCTATGGATCACTTACTACTTTCTACATACACTATGTCGTGCATCGCGAGCTTTGTTGAATATGTTTGTGAGTCATCAATGGATATTCAGAAATCACGAGCTCAGCTTGTAGGGGATCAATGTGTTTTGCCTAACATTGAATGGTGATTGACTGTAAGGTTGTCGTAACATCCACCATTCGTTGTTGATTACCACTCGTTGGCATATTACTGTGCATACGACAAGTCTTCTATCATTGCCAGCAAGTATTTGTATTCATCGTATGATGTACTGTGTATGTTTTTAAGAGATTTTGTTGTTGCAGGTGAGTGAATGTGCTCATTTATGTGTTGATATATTATGTTGGGTGAACTGCATTCACCACTAATTTATTCATACATATTAGTTAGCAAGTTGCTACTTTCATGGTTGATTCTCCCTACGCACACTGATTGGAAAATTGCTACATCAATTGTGTATTAGCCTTCAGTGTTCATAGGGGCTCTACAATGCTTGCAGCACATCTGTCATCGCTACTTGTCACTATTCGTAAGGAGCATTATTGTTTGCAGGGGATCGATATATTTTCTTGACGCCGAACTGTTGTCAACTTTAGGAGTGTCGTAGTATTCATTGCATGATGCTTGTGTATGTTTGCAAACGGTGTTATTATTTGCGAGCAAACAAGTATGATCATCTACAAACTAGCGTTGACTATTGGGTGAGTTGCAGTCACCACCAATTTCCTCATGCACGTTGGCTAGCGAGTTGCTAAATTCATTTTCATCTGCTATTTGATTTTTGTTTGCAAGAAAGTAGTGCTTGGAGTTGAATGGTATTGATTGTGCGCAATGAAACCCTTGTTCGCCACAAATCCCTCAATTTTGTTGGTTGCTTGATGCAGTTATTATAAGCAACGTATTCTTATCCATGCATGAATTATCTTGTTCATCAAAGATCATCTGATCTTTGTTTGTAGGTAAGTAACAATTACCTGCAATCCATCATCTTCACCAATAGGTAAACCGCTTTATTCATTTTAAATTTGTTTTGGTCTTTCACTTGTAAGCTATTATGCTCATGATGAATTCTCTGTTATTATTCAGCCCCCCTGCTTATATTAAATGCTAATCGTTATCATCTCTCTTTGAGACTTATTTTCTTGCATTTCACTTTAGACATTTTAGTTTGCATTTTTATGTTGAATATTAGATCAAGTTCTCTGCTGTTAAATTCACAAGTTCTGTTCCCTGCAATTTTAGGTTTGGTCCCCACATTTTGGTTCAAGTGAAGTTTCCTGTAATTTGTTCAAATTCAGTTCAAGTCCCTTGATGTTCAGTTCAAATTCTATGTGTCATCATTCTGAATTCCGACAGCCTCTTGGCGTTTAGGGGAAATTTCACGAGTCTGGACCTTCCCACCACGACAAGAAAGACGTGTAAGACAGGTGTCGGGCAACACCGCTGCCATGGTCGTTAATCCCACTATGCCAAGAAAGGCGTATATAGGTCTTCAGGGGTACCTATTTGAAACACAGTTGTTTTCCTGCCGGCATTGAGACATGCGCAAGTACTTAGAAGTGTCCCCGCCACTCTAAGAAAAACGTGTATCACTTTTGGGTTGGTCCTATAAATATATTTGACTGTAATAGTAAAAAGGGTAAAATGGGATAGAGAGTTAGGAAAACACCTAGGTAACTCCTAACACTAGAAAGATGAAAATCCTTGCCTAAAATTATTCATTTAGATAAGTAAAAAGAAAATGACAGTTCATGAGGTTATATATTTTTTTTAAAATATATATGCTTTTCAGGTTTGATTCTGTAATATCGGGCAGCCTTGCAGGAGTGAAAATTACCTTTTGCTATGTAACACTAAGAATTTTTTTGTAATCATTGCTTTTCTTTTTATCTTCCATTTTGCTCATGATTTCCTTTCAGTATTCAAGCATTCCATCACCATGTAAAAAGAATGCTTAACTTTATGATGTTATTATAACGTGTATTTATAAATTCATAATGTTTGTGATGAGAAGGCACAGGCCAAGAAACTTGTTACAAATGATTCTTATGATGAAATGGTTCTTGAAATGGAGGAAATTTTACTTGACTCCGGGAATTGTCATGGATCCATGTACCTGCAAACTAGTCAAGGTTATATGAGCCAGCAGCTGAGTCATTTTGGGGATGACAGTTCAATTGCTTCCACTTCTGCCACGGATGACATTCATCCACCTGTTCAAGTCACTTCAAAAATTGATCGAGTGGAGGTAGTTGGGGCAAAACAAAAGAAAGGAGATGTTTCTTTTGGGGAGAGGTTGGTTGGTGTGCGGGAGTATACAGTATATCAAATTAAAGTTTTGAGTGCTACAGATGAATGGATGGTTGAACGTCGCTACCGTGATTTCTTTGCTCTTTATCGACAATTGAAGACTCTTTTTACTGGTCATGGTCTGAATCTTCCTTCCGCATGGGCCAGTGTTGATCAGGAGTCGAGAAAAATCTTTGGTAATGCTTCTCCAAATGTTGTCTTGGAGAGAAGCATACTTATTGAAGATTGTCTGCGTTCCATATTAAACACTAGATTTCCTTTTGGAATTCCTAGCCCATTGATCATGTTTTTGACTCCAGGAAAAGCAATGTTCAAATCTGGCCTGCTACAATCTCTTGTTCCTCAATATCTGCAGAAGTTTGCTGAAGTTGAAAATTCAGATCGTGGTGAGGCACGTCCAGAAGATACTGCACTGTTGGGGAAGACCATATCGCTTGTAGTTGAGATAAAGCCTCACAAGTCTATGAGGCAATTGCTGGAAATACAACACTATACATGTGCAGGTTGTCACAGACACCTTGATGCCGGGAAGACCCTCTTTCGAGAACTTGTACAGACATTTGGATGGAACAGGCCCCGGTTTTGTGGATATACTGGGCAGCTATTTTGTGCTTCATGCCATACAAATGACACCAGTGTTTTGCTAGCAAGAGTATTGCATCACTGGGATTTTACCTCATATCCAGTATCTCAGTTGGCTAAAGCATATCTCGAATCCATCTATGATCAGGTACTATGATTTTTAACATTTTTAATGACTAAAAAAATTGATATTTTGTACTTCTTCTTCATTATATTGCATGCTTTATATCATATAGCCTATTGTTACTTCTTTAAAACTTTTTATCGTACTATAGTTTAATTAAGATCATTTTAACAGCTAAAATCATTGTTTGGCTTATATGCACTCATTCCAAAACTAATTTTATGTATTCATTAGTTTCACTGATTATTAGGTGTTTAATATCATAATTTTATTTTAATGTCGTGGAAACATCTAAGCATTTCCCTGAGGTAGAATATGGCTCAGAATAAACTTCTGAAAGCTTGTTATGTTATGTTTCCTTTTCAGCCTATGCTCTGTGTGAGTGCTGTCAATCCCTTTCTATTTTCCAAAGTCCCAGCTTTGCTTCACGTCATGGGTTTCAGAAAGAAAATAGGTGCTATGCTTCCGTATGTCAACTGTCCATTCAGGAGTTCTATTCAAAAAAGCCTTGGATTTCGTAGGTATCTGCTTGAAAGCAATGACTTCTTTGCCCTTCGAGACCTTGTAGATCTATCAAAGGGGCCATTTGCAGGTACTTTTAGTTTTATGATATTTGTACCTGTGCTCTTACGATCATTTTTATTAAGCTGTGTTCAAAACTCATAAATCAATGCCCTAACAAAATTGTAACAAGCTCTAGCGCTGAGGAAAAAGAGGAATATCAATCTATTGATGCATGGGAACTGTATCTACATTATAAGGTCCACCCACACATGTACAATATTCAAGATAACTTCATTTCCAAATGTGTCATTGTCCTGTAAAAAATAAGCAGTGTTCCTTCTTGCAGGGCTGTAGCCCTAATGTACAAATGCGATTGTTTTCAGTGCTTTATAGCATGAAAACAAAGCTCATAACAGTTAAAACACGAAAATGCCTCTTTGTACCGTGTCAGAGAACCAATATGCCTCTACTTAAACATGCCATGCCGCTCTACATAGTTTTTACTACTTCTTTTTTTCCCTGAATGAAAAGCTAAGATGAACCCTTCTCCATAAAATCAACAAATTAAGTTCTAAAGAAACAAAAAGGTGAAAAAGAAACAGAAAAATTAAAACTGAAGGTACATGAACATAAGTAATAAGCAAGAAAAACTTTCTAGCATCTTTTGGCCACTTGAGTAATAGTAGATTTCAAATAGTCCACTTGATCAGCTTTATTTAGTCAAGGGATTTTTTGATTTTGGTCCTTATATTTTGAGCCTTGATAAGTTTCCATCCTTTGGTATTTGCTTTTTCATCGTTTTTTTTTTTTTTTTTTTGCTTTTTCATGGTAATATGTACTTTAGCAATTATTAAAAAAAAAAAGGTGTTTTTGGGTTGGGTTCCTTTTATAGAATACATTGAGGCTTGCGTTCAAAATGTTGGCATTTAATAATGTAAATGACCACAAGAAAAAAATGCAATTTGGTTCCTCCTAGGTTTTGGTGTGGTTTGGTTCTACTGTTTTTTTGTTTTTTTTTCTAAATGAAATTTTTTTTGTGTGCTTTTAGAAAAGGTATATTTGGGTCTTTTTTCTATAGAGGAATACATGCTAACAAACTTTAGGGTACATGTGGCCGTAGTATGAAAGCATGGTTGGTTGGAAATAATTTAGATTAAATTGGTGTTTATATTTAAATTTAACTAAATATATTATATCAAATATTTAATAAATCATTTGTATTCTATAATAATAAGTAATATTTGAATAATTTGGTTGTAAAATAATATAATCGAATTTTTTGTTAGAAATATAATTTTGGATTCAAATCTATGTTTATGATGGTCACAAGACTATCATAAAAAGGTTGTCATTTGATGCTTGTCAAATAAGATATATGCTGCATCTTCAAAGGTAAGACTCCTCAAAGGTTTGGAAGGCTTGGGTTACCTATTTAGTTAGGTACTAGAGACTTAGGGCCTCAAGCACTTTATAAAGGTAAGATACCACCTAAGTTTACTGCACCTTTTCTTGATAATGCATGTCACAAAGGCAAGTACTTTAGTCTCTTCTTGATAGAGCCTTGGGTAAACATCAAATAGCCTCTGGTGAATGTATTATAACACCAAAGTTTTTTATTTTCTTTCTCTTATTATACGTATGATGTGCATTATATTTATAAAGTGTGACCATATATGTCATTGATGCAAAATAATGCGCGTCATAACATATGGCACCGCATGGCACACCTTCGACTCTATTTGCTTGAAGCAGTGCACTAATTCAAAATAGTGTGTGCTATTTGCACCATGAAAGATAGTGCTCACAAATTTGTTTTAAGCATTTTAATTTTAAAATTATAATTTGTCTTTAAATTTATTAAATATGTCCTTTAATATATAAATTAATATATCTACTAAAGTAAAATACTTAACTCTAATGCTAAATCAGCACCCGCACCCGCACCCTCAAGGAAGAGTTAGCACGCATGCGGAAGAGTTTGGAAGAGGGAGTCGCGAGTATAGGGCTTTAGGGCTTAGGGGTGTAAGTGAGTCAAGCCATCTGGTGAGCTAAGCTCGATGTGCTAATAACCCAAGTTTGAGTCAGCCTACTCGACTCTTGTATGTCAGTACATTTAAAAAATATTAATATAACATTTATTTAAAAAATATTAAGATTAAGGATTTTAAGTGTAAATTTGTTGAAAATGTTTGAATATTATATATTACTTTCTTATTTTAAGTGATTCTTTATTATTTTTATTATAATTTCTCATTTTTTACTATTTTTTTACATACTGTACTGCACGTGTTGGGGCATTTTGGGACATTTGACGGGTCTTTTACGGCAGCTCGTAGAAACTTATGTTTGTCGTAGCCCTTTTTGGATTTCCCTGTAGGCGATATGTTAGATGTGCAACTGGCCTTCTATAATGGCCCGTAGGAGCTTGTGTACAATGTATATTTTTCACCTTTACTTGCGAGTTCTGCACGATCATCATCATAAGCTTAGGGGACCTCTTGTTCATCAAGAGACTTGCATGCCTCAATAGTCTTATCCAACTCAATGTTCAGAACTTGGTTGAACTGAGACTCACTCACTCCATCCCTGAAAATGACAATTTGGTTTGGCTTTCTCCTCCCAGAGCTCGTACATAAATCAACAAGCAACCCCTTAATTATGTCATCATCATCCTTTTTTGGTGGCGGCTTAACTAAAAAGCCAGTCATTTCAACCTTGGATGACTGTGTCCTTATCGATGCCCTGTACATCGAAGTCAGTGACCACTACCTCAAACTAACAACTGCGACAATTGAAGGCACTTCCGGTCGTTCGGGAGAATCATGCGAGATATTCATTCCTAAAATAGTTGTAGCCCTCGAGATGATTGGAATAGCGTGCGTATTTGTCTGTTTGTAGTTGTGAGTTTAGGCTACCAAACTTTTCATTAATCTTTAACAGTACATTTGTTGAGTATTGATCATTAATTCTAGTGGGCACAATGCATTATGTGCTGACATTCACTTGAATACATCTAGATGTATCACATTGTTATATCCACTGAGTCAAATCCTTTTGGTTGCAATTGACATGTTGATTGTGGTATGAGTCTCTTGTAGTGTCATTGAACTCTCGCACAAACTCCTGTACGATCAAGAGATTCACCACATTATCATCATATCACCCGTTGCCAATTGCATACAAGTCAATGTGCTCATTTGAATCTTGATGTTGACTGATAGCTAAACTATGTTCCTCGACAATCCCTTTATGCTATATGGACCCAACTTAGATATCGTAGGACCTTTCTCCTTTAAGGTGTTTGCAAGTAAATGTAGTAAGGATTACTGCATCTTTTTACATGATTGCATGGAGTGTTATTCATTGCACCTTGGTCTTTATGTTCATAGAAGACTTCTATAGTCACTTGTGCGTTGCTCAGTGTTGGCCCTAGAATACTACAATGATCACTTCCTTTATGCTTGTAGGGAATAGGAATGTATGCTTGCCACGATATTATCATGGTGGTATGAACAATCATTGTAGGCTTCTATATTCACCATGCCCATTGTAGAGATGTTGTTAGATCTCCAAATTTTGTTCATGAGCGTATCACTGCACTACTCATGGATGAATCATTGCATGCATTTGGAAATCTTAATCTCATTTTACATTTGCATATAGCATGTGAGGTCCAACATGTAACAGTTCAGCCCACAAATCTTATTCCTTATCATTCAAGTTCCAAGTTCAAGCTTCTTATGCTTATTAATGTTCAATCAACTAATTTGAAATTTTAATTAGCATATGCATTTTTATGTTTGATTAAACATTTAATGATTCAAAACTCAATTCTTTATTGGTCATTTGAATTCTGTCATTTTGCACTTTATTTAAATTCAGTATTCGAGTTCAGGATTAAGTCAAATTTTTAATGTCAATTGTTCAGTGTCCACTTGAGTTCAAAATAGATTCTTTGGTGTCCAAATAAAGTCCCGTGTTTGTTCAAGTCCTTATCATTTTTAGACAAATTTTCGACAGCCTCCCAACGTCTCCCCCGTTTAAAATAAACTATGGGAAACTTGGCCATCCCACGACTCAACAAGAGCGTGTATGGGGATTCACAGTACCTGTTGGAAGACGCATTTCGTTTTCCCCACCATGCTTCAAGAGCGTGTGCAGGTACTTAAAGATGTTCTCGCCACTCTATGAGAGTGTGTACAAGGCTTACCCGCCTCGCCGTATGCGTCGCACCGGGCTTTCTCCTACTGTGCTACGAGAGCGCGTATAGGGGGTTTTACGGTTTGACACAAACGCCAAGGTCGGGTTTAAGTTAGAGAATTATACCTTTGCATGCCGGCAGTGTGATGGTAGTTAGAATGCACAAAAATAATTTTAATAATAAAAATTTTATTTATCTTCTCTTTCCTTTTTTTTTCTTGGTCGCGATATGCAAACGGGAGAGGAGGGTTGGTTGAGGGATTCGTCTGTGAGGGAGTTCGGCGTCGGCGGGTCTAGGGCATGATTTGGTCGCGAAGTTGGAAGAGGAGGGCGATGGCTTCGGTTTGCGTGAAGGTCATGCAGCCGGCGACCTTGGGGTCGAGTGGGAAGAAGATGGATTGGAAAGGTTTCTGAGTAGGTGGAAGATGCGGCTAAGGCAGAGAGTTTGAATGGGGAAGAAGAGCTTGCGGGATTTGGGGTCGTTGGATCTAATCAAGGTCGGAGGGTCTCTGTCTGTAGTGAGAAATGGACTTATGTAGCTGCGGTAGGATGAAGAAGATCAAAGGCAGTGGAGGTGCTGCTATTTGGGATCGAAGAGGAGAATGAGATGCTTGCTGGAATTGTTTCGGCAGTTGGAGTTTAGCATGTGTAAAGAGGTGAAGTAGAACGAAAGTCCTCGCTTCATCTTCATTTTATCAATGACGGGAGGCTGCGATCTAGGTTAGTGCGGGATATCTGCGAACTGCGTCGTTTTGCACAATAATGAGTATTGTAGATGTGGCGCACTATGAGAGGATTTCAGCAGTATTTGCGTATGGGCATAACGGGTAATAATTTTAAGCCTTTTTTTTTTGTTTTCTTTTTTGTCTGATGTGGAGGTCAACAAACTTAGATTTTCGATAAGTTCAGTACAATAATTAGGCACAATCACCTACTCCAATTGGAGATTTAAGATTTGCGGGACATAATACAAAAACTTTGATACTGAAATTTGATGAAGAGGAGAGACGAGAATTTCACACGCCTAATTTATAGCCATCCACGTGAAGAACATAGATCTCAAAAGCTCATAATTGTTTGTAATTAATTTCATTCATTCAACCAATAATCAATAATTTAAATCTTCATCATGTTTCCCTATTTATAGCATTAAGGTTACAAGGATAAGACAATTTTTAAATACGATCTAATCCCAGACAATTTTTAAATCTATTCTAATAAAAAAGAAGATTATCTATAATAAAATATATTAAATATTAAAAAATAAAATAATTTTGGCTATAAACATAAATGAGCTTAAAAGGCTTGAAAATGGGTCTGGTTCATATTTGACCTGATTTGGTTTGACTTTAAGTAGTTGGCTTATGGCTAGTTTGGAAAGCCTGTACTGAATCATTGTTTATACATAACTTGCACTACGTTTGAAAAAGTGAGTGGCTTTGTTTTGTTTTTAGCTTGTTGGAATATGTACTCCCTGCCATAGGGAACTGTTTCCTTTGAATCCGATGCCTCTAGAAGATGAGAAACATAAGCTGTGGTTTCTGTAGAATGAATATTTCAATCATTTTAAGATAGAGATCTTGAAGCAGAAAAGCTAAATTTTCTTATTGCTCTGCTTACTTTTTATTCTCTCAAATGGCAGCGCTTCCTATAATGGTGGAGAACATTTCAAATCTTATCCTTGAGCACATCACACAACAATGCCTTGTTTGCTATGATTCTGGTGTTCCTTGTGCTGCCCGACAAGCATGTCATGATCCTTCTTCTTTGATATTTCCTTTTCAGGTTAGTATACTTGTCTAACAATCTTGCATTTACTAATGAATTTGTTTTAAAGTTGGGAAATCATTAAGAAAAATGTCTAGTTTTAAAATATGAATGATCCTTCTTCTTTGAAATTCCCACTTTATTTATTTATTTCACTACTTGTAATTGATAATATGATGAATGATATATAAAATTCATTCTCCCATCCTTTATCACTCTGACTTTACATGTCTCTTTAGTACACTTTCTTTTTTTTTAACGTGGGAATTTTTTTATATTTTTAATTTCATTTCATCATCACTGCAAACCTCATTCAAATATACTTTTTAATATGTTATGCATGCGTTTAACTACTGCCAATGTCAGGGGAAACAATAAGTTTTTATTTTCTGCTGATTGCTAAATTGGCTTATTTTTGTGCTTCGCATCAATGCTAAAACCAAGCTGTAGAACTTCCATATTGGCCAAAACAACATTAAAACTTTGAAAGTTTCTGAAGAAATTTGTACCTAAAATTTTATCGGATGTAATGGTTTTTGTTACAGTTGTTTGGCTGTATTTTTCTTAACTAGGAAGCAGAAGCTGAGAAGTGCACTTCATGTGGATCTCTCTTTCACAAGGCATGCTACGTAGATCTTCTTGGATGCCCATGTAGTAATCACGCTAATATAAGCAAAAGGTTTGGCCCCTCAGAACCAAGTATGATGGGATCCCACACAGAACCTGTTGGATTTCTTGAGAGGTCTATTCAGCCCCTCGTTTCAAATTCAGCAACAGGATTTTTCACAAATATTCTCACCAAAGTCAAATCAGACAAGATATGGAAACCTAAAAACAGCAGCCCGGTTTTACTCATGGGTGCATTACCAAGTTCTTCTTTGTAATTATTGTTTACCATCATGGCAACATTTGCAGGAACATAATTTGGTAATTGAATTTTGACTATTATATTTTATTTCTTTGTTTTAAGATGCATCTATATATACTGTATATGTGTAAAATTGCAGGAGGGGGCTGAACAATCCCACCACTGTACGCCTCATATTAGCAGACTCAAACTCCATTCACAATACTGGCCAAATGCATCAATTGGATTTCTGATTTAACCAACCCTGCATCGTGAAGCTTTGTGGAAAAGTCAGGCCTCTTTTAGTAAGGTATGCTTTGTGCAAGGGATGTACTACTTTTTTCATTTTAAGGCTATGCATTGGTATTAGACTTTAGAGCCTTTGGCATTTAAAAGTAGGTCGGATTTACATGCACACCACGAAATTCATATGTATTTATATATTTTACATCTAAATGTTTATATTTACTTATTTACTACTTTAATGTCTAAATTAAATCGAAGCATATGTATGAAAGTGTATGTTTTATTTTAAATAAGTTAATGTGATTTAGAGAATTGGGTGTTATATAAGTAAATATAAATATTTAAGTATTAGTTTTTTAAATATATAAGAATTTTATGGTATGTATGTAAATCCCCTTAAAAGTAAATGGTAAGGATATTTATGAATGGTATTGGTTTTGTACTTATCGCCAACTGGGTAATATGGCTCTCAATAATGGTATGAGCAGACGTTTTTCGGTGAGAAGTGGCAAGGATGCTCATGTTGTTTTTCACTGGGCGTGGGCAACCATTTGAGTTCTCACTTGCAGTAAGGTTTCTTCATTTTTAGCAAAAGCGAAAATGGTTAAGGGTTTTCATCTGGATGAGAGTAAATTATGTGTTGGTGCATATGATGGCCTGCCACCCATCTACAAATGAGGCCTTGGAATCTGGAGCAGTTTATTCATTTTTTGGTCCATTTTTTTGCTTGCTATTGTATTCCTCGGCACAATATGTTTTATAAGGCTTGGAGATCAAGATATGAAAAAGGCTTTACAAAAGTGGCGAGTAAAGCATGCTAAAGCTGTTACTTTCTTTCATTTACATCTATATTTGTTTGACTTAGCATTCTAGAAATGTAAATATCATTTAGCTCTTGCGAAACTATTATTATTTATGGGTTGTAGATTATATTGGAGAAAATAGATTCCAAGAGAGGCCGTATCCTTCCTCTCTTAATATTTAAGTTTTTCTGTGTGCATTTTCTCTTTTCATTATGTATTCCTTCTTTATTTCATTGTTGGCTATGATTATTTTATTTGTGACATTATCTACTTATTAGTTTTTAACGCAAGCTATTCAATTCATCTTAAGAAATGTTTGCATTTAGATTGATTTTTGGTTTTCCTCCTGAACGTTTGGGATTGCCTTGCCCAAATTCCTCTCTTCCAAGCATAGTTTTCTTGAAACAAGTACTTAAGTGAGTTGTAAGCTATGCTGCGAGATAGTTAGAAACCTTCAATAGATAAAATTTCCTCTTCTTCATCCAATATTGAACGTCTCCTTAGAAATCATTCTTCAAATTTCTCTCCTTTCTTCATTAACATCATCTTCTTCATCTTTGATGATGCCTTTTTTATGTGAAGTTTATTTTGTATCGATATGATTTTCTTTCATCATTTGTTATATTTATTTTCTTTTTAATCATACATTTTCCTGCATGTGTATATTTTTCTTGAATTATAGAGGTCAACCTTAGAGTCTAAGGTTTTCGCTTGAGTAAAACTGAATATATTGAGTGTAATTTTAGTTGTAATAGACTTAGTGAGGGGATTGTGATTTTGGGTGATCAGGTTATTAATAAGAGTACACATTTTAGATATTTTGGATCTATTGTTCAGGGTGATGGTGAAATAGATGGTGATATTATCAGAAGAATTCAAGTTGGATGGTTGAAGTGGAGAATGCATCGGACTTGTTGTGTGATAGAAAATTTTCCCTCAAATTTAAGGGAGAATTCTATAAGATGGTTGTGAGACTTGCAATTCTTTATGGTGCCGAATGTTGGCCATTAAAATAGAAGCATAATACTAAGTTAAGTGTTGCATAAATGAGGATGCTCAGGTGGATGAGTGGCTTTACTCTTAGAGATAGGATACGAAATGAGCATATACGTGAAAAGGTTGGAGTAGCTCTAGTGGAAGATAAGATTAGAGAAAGTCGCCTTGGATGATTTGGTCACATAAAACAGCGACCTTCCGATGACCCGGTTAGAAAAGTAGAGGTATTAGATTTGACTTATGTTCATAAAGGTAGAGATAAGACCTAAAAAGACTTGGTTAGAAAATATTAGAAATGATCTTTCTTTATTAGATTTAAATGAGAACTTGACTTTTAGCTGGACACAATGGAGAAAAAGGATTCATGTAGCCGACCTTACGTAGTGGAACAAAGACTTGATGTTGTTGTATATTTTTCCAAGGCTTGTTTCCCATGCCTATGCACCGCGGTTGACAGCACAGTTGAACCTGGTCTCGAACAACTTGTTTTTGGTTTTTGGTTGTTTGTGTTGGGCGTTACCTGTAATTATATCCTACTTTTGGAAGAAGCAATGCCCCTAACCACCTCTGCTAGATGTAGATGATTAGCATAGGGCAACAATCGTAGCGTAGAAAATTCATTTCTGTCAGTTTTTATGGTTGTTTCATACTATCATAGATGAATGGTTGGTTAAGTTGAATCTTTTCTTTTTACTTTCTTCCCTTAGTTCTTTTTAATTTATTTAGATTTAAGTTGAATCTATGATCTGTTTTTTAAAACAGCTTTTTAATACAAAAAATTTTTATTTAAAAAATTTTTGTGCCAAAAAATTGTTTTAAAAAATAGTAAAAAAGCTGTCTCAAATTAAGCCTAAGTTTCATCGAGATTTTGTATTGGATCTATTTAAAAAATAGTAAAAAAGTTGTCTCAATTCTCTTTTACTTGGGATATTATTTTAAAATTGCAGACCATTTTTGTGAAGTGATCTTATCTTTACTGTTTGAAAATATTTATTAGAAGTTCTTGCCACTTTAGGATGATCCTAGAATAAGTTTATGGAGGCATTCAATCACAAATATTAGTGAGGGAATTTTTTGGGATTTTTTTTTGCTCTGAGGGGATGTTTGGTTGCCTAAAAATAAATTGTAACGTAAAAGAAATATTTTGGAGTTATTTAAGCATTCTCTCTAAAGTTTTGTTTGGGATTATATTCTTACTATTTTTTAAAAGTAAATTTTTATTACAAAAAATTTTTGATACTTAAAAACTTATTTAAAAATAGTAAAAAAAGAATTCCCAAAAGTTAACAAATTTATTATTTTTATAGTCAAAATAAATGAAAAGCAACTACGGGTGTCAATTGTTGACACGACCCGAACCTGATCTAAAAAATTTTGGGTTAGGGTCAATCCAGACCCGAAATGGGTCAGATTCAGGTTCAACAAATCAACCCGTTTTAAAAATCAGGTCTGGTTGACCCAGCAACCCGAAAATGGCCCGAAATTGACATAAAAACTCCTATTTGACTCAGAAAGCCGAGATTGACCTGTTTTTATCCGATTTTGACCCGAAAATCGAAGATTGACCCTATTTTGACCCGAAAACTAACAATTTTATATCAACTTTGGGTCATTCGTGTCGGTCAGGTTCGGGTCCGAAAACCTGACCCGTTTTTAACGGGTCGAGTTCGGATTGAGCCAAATAGTGCCGGATCAATTACGGGTTCGAGCCGAATCCGACCTGTTGACCCGAATTGACATCCCTAAAAGTAACCATCATTTTCTTAGGGCATGTTTAAAATCACTTTATTTTTTATTTCTATTTTTATAAATATATTTTATTTTATATCAAATATAAAAATAAAATAAAAATTAAAAAAACACAAAGCAATCCAAAATGCCAACTAAAATAATTCTAACTACAAGCAACTAAAGGAACCCTAAGCTTAAAACTTTGAACCAATAGATAAGATTCAAGGCAAGCAAACAAATAGTATTAAGATCAAAAGGGCTACCATATGATACATGGATGGTGAATTCAATATATAATTCATTTTAGTACCAAAATTATTTTATTTCACACAAAACATAATACAACATTACTTAACACAAAATAAAAAGAGAAAATACCCAAAATAACAAGGCCTTAAATGAGGCATAGTTCTGCATAATCTACCATCATACTTCTCAGTGATAGAAGCACAATGAGCTTATGCTCTCATTCATTTTTTAAACCCAAGTCTACAGTTTTAAGGTATCTGAACCTTTGTTTATTAATCATACACAACTAGATATGTTCTGAACTCCATTTGAAACTTAGGTAAAGGTAGGAATTAGGATCCATATATTAAAGCTTCGTTTAGGACAACTTTCTTACTGCTTCTTGAAGCAGCTTTCTAATAAGAAAGCCGTCCCAAACGAAACCTAAGTTAGACTGTTTGCGACGTCAACAACGAACCTGTATCTGACATCTCCTTTGGCAAGACGCTCAAAAGCAGTGTTTACATAATCCATAGGAACCACTTCCACATCTGCAGCTATATTATGCTCGGCAGCAAAGTTCACCATCTCTTGAGTGTCTCTAATGCCACCGATAAGGCTTCCAGCCACAATCTTACCACCTGAAAACCACCAAAAACATAAAACCATTTGCTAGGATTCAATTAACTAATCTGATCAGATCAATATGCAGTAAACATGATAATTGAGAGAATGATATTCTTGCCCTGGATCACAGAGTAGGCCATAAGCTCGAGAGGCTTATTTGGCCCACCAACCAAAACCAACTTCCCATATGTTTTCAGTAACAAGATCAACGGTGTGATTGCATGGTGTGCAGAAACTGTGTCGATGATACCATCCAGTGTGCCCATTGCAGCCTATGGGATTGAAGGAAACATAGTAGATTCAGATGGCATGAATTGGTGGTTATTGGAATACAAAAAATAATGCATTATTGAGAAATTTTGGCTTTCTTAATGTTTAACTCTAGCAAATATTTTGATTTTAAAGTCTAAGATAATAATATGAGATTCAAAATCATTGTTAGGCTTATCTCACTTATTTGGGTTCAATTTTATGAATCCTCATTCTTAGTTCAATTTCACTCAAGTGTTATTTGAGATATTGAGGGGCTGTTTGGCAGCAGGATTTAGGCCAGATTTGAGTGAAATCCAACCAAACGGCCTAAAATGCAAAACCAAATCTCATGGCAAATGAAATCTGCTGTAGACGGAAAATTCCGTGTATTCGCTTTGAATCCTGGATTTTAGAAATCCTGTATTTTGCCGGATTTACAAAATCCATGGAGCTAGAGGAAGAGTTTGATGGGCAAATCCTACTCTAAAGCCAAACAATCACATGAGATTTAAGAAGATTTATCATGAATGTTAACAATCAGTTTTCAGGATTTAAGCCCCTCAGGATTTCCGAAATCCGGATTTAGAGGATTTATGAAATCCTACTTAAATCAAATTCGGGATGCTACCAAACAGCCCCTAAATTTACTTTTAGCAGATCTGTTTGCACAAGTTTTGTTTTTATGTTACCTTTAGTCTATCATTTTTCTTTGTGATCGGTTTAAACAATTTTATCCACCCATCTGTTATTTGGTGGATCTTCTAGGCTTTAATGTGCATGCTGAAATCACCCACAAGCTCATTTTCCAATATTTAGTTGCTTTGTTACCGCCAAAATTCTCACATAATCATTTCACAATTCATCCATTCTAATTTTGCCACTCATCCATCATATCATTTTTATTCCAACACACTCAACATGACTTTGTAAAACCAAGTTCTTTATAAGTTAGTATTTGCATCTATATAATATAGCTAGTTTAATCGAAATCTTATAAAACATGCCTTCAAATCTCCTACATATTTCCTAATCATATGGCACTCCTGGTCAGAAACTTCTCCATTTCGAAAGCCATGCCCTCTAATTCTTTTGTATACAAGATTCATAATACCTAAACCTACGCCATATTTGACAATATCTTTTGACAACCTACCAAATAATGATTTCAGTTATGAATGGAAGCACATTAACGCATTTCAACGATACCTTCATTTGATCGTTATCACTGCTGACCAAGAAAGAATCGGCTCCCAACCTTTCAATCGCTTCCTTTTTCTTGCTTGAAGAAGTACTGATAACGGTAACTTTCAAACCAAGAGCTTTCCCAAACTTCACAGCCAGGTGACCAAGGCCCCCAAGCCCAACCACGCCCAAATGCTTGCCAGGCTCATTGAGTCCGAACCGCCTCATGGGCGTGTAAACTGTGACACCGGCGCATAATAGTGGCCCTGTCTTGTCCAGTGGCATGTTCTCAGGCAGGTTGACTGCAAAAGCCTCATTGACAACGAGGATATCAGCGAAGCCTCCATATGTAGTTTTCCCATTCTGCTGAATACCATTTGAGGTTGGGATGACATTTGGGCAGTAATTCTCATAGCCTTCCTTGCAATTTCCACAGTCATTGCAGGAACCAACCATATATCCTACGCCAGCTTTGTCCCCAATTTTAAATTTCTGGACGTTCTGTCCCACTGCAGTCACTATTCCAGTAATTTCATGCCTGAAAGCAACATTTGGTGAAGAGAAGGAAATTCAGTGAATGGAGGGGAAAAGAAGTCTTATGTATTTGATTTGTTAAGCAAACATGATAGATGATATGCAAGCTTTAAGCGATCTGTCAAACTCTCATGATGTAGCTTGCATGTGATAGAAGTTCTTGGCAGAAATCATCATTTTTCTAAATAGATAAACACAGTGGAGTGAAGCAATCTCTCATTCCGATTGTTAGATGCTAACACGATCCTCAAAGTCAAATATAATAGATGTACCCCAATAAGCTCGGGAAACCTCAGGAAACAAAAGTTTATGACCATCAATCCAAACATACAGATAAAAGCCGCCCAAAGAAGTGAATAGGGTACCCATGATAGATATGTCAAAAGCGGGTCCAATTACGCCTATTCCTAATCCTAAATAAAATGTAATGACGTAGGGATCCATAAGTAAACAGAGTATCTATTTACATACGCTTGAATGATCCATTCTCATAAGAAGAATGTACATAACTATATTCTGGCCTAGTCCGAATGAACTTCTAATATAATGATCGATTAGAAGTTCATGACTCCTATACATATATAAATTTCAGTAAAATCATTTCATGAAATTAAGGAATATCAAAGTTGCCCGGTCAGCCTAAAACCTAGCACTTTGCTTGCTGCACTTAAATGTTTATCAAGTAAACAGGATAAATATCCAAATCATGCCCAATAATTTTCTTGTCAAACAACCAAGTATAGATAATAAGGGGCAATCCAAGGAATCATAGTTAGAAAAACTAAGTCGCAAGAATCTAATGGTTAATATAAACGCTCTTTCAGAAAAACTCTAGGACAGGGTATCAAGTTTGTGAAACTTGGGGATATTATGTAATCATGCCAAGACAGAACAAATAAATAAAAGAGATATATGCTGGAATAAGTGTTTCCACAAACTCTTGCGTAAGGAAAGTGCTTGCAAGTAGCAAAAAGTCGGACTGTTTAATTGGAAAATTTGGCATATTTTTAACTAATAGAACATCAAAATCCACGTCAAAAGGGGCATTTTAAACAAAAACAGATTACCATGTCAGGTTGCAAAGAGAATAACAATCATGTCCTAGGCGCCCCAATATACGAGACATTGTTGTGCAATGAGCAGCAACCTTTTTTTTTCATTCCTGATTATTTGATGCTAACCAAATCCAATAGCACAAAAAGAAAAAGGTTATAGATACACAAAACCAAAATTTTAAGCTATGCCATCATCTTTAGTTTTATTAAATTATAACTTTTTATGGAAGCCAAGGACCCAGGCACAAACACATTTACACATCACACTTATGTCAAGCTTCGAACCTTAGACCTCATTGTTGAGGCCAAAAGACCTCAATCAATAAGACTAGAAACTGGTGGCAGCTCAATTAAACTCTACAATTGAGTATTAGTGTTTACCCTGGAACCACTGGGTAACTGGCATTTCCCCAATCATTCGTAATGATATGAAGGTCAGTATGGCATATCCCACAGTACAATATCTTTAAGGTAATATCCTCCTCTCCATTGGCCCTGCGTAACAATCAAGATGAGTGAGAAGCCAGTTGACGGGACATCAAATAAAAATACTATTTATGAACAACATAATTTGTAATATTCGTACACTTTCTACATGCATGGTGATTAAACGGAATAACATGTTTGACTTTTGAAAAGTATTTCACATATATACAAATACTGGAATAGGATGGGTGGCTTCTGATGTTCTCAAACTCATTTGTGGCTTCGCAAAATTTTTCTAGGAACATTGTAAAGATCAATACAGTAAGATTTTCTAGCTGACTTCGAGATGAACTAAACATGCAAATGCTCACAAAACTTTATAGGTCACAATCTCCTTTTTTTTAAACTAACATTCATAAATTTCATTGAGAACTAAAAAAATGAAAAAAAAAAAAAAAAAATTAAGGATGAAATTATTTGAACTCTTGATCAAAACTATGTTCGACTCTTGAATTTTATAGTGGAGCCATTTAGTATGAAAAAGAAGTTGGGCTACAAATTTACGTGTTCATAGAAGCAGTAGGTCTGGGATTAAGGCTCCTAGTTGGGGGTTGTGAATTGGAGGAAGAGATTGAAAGGTTTGGAAGGAGAGATGGGAGCAAGGATTACCATAGAGGAGTTATCTGTGAGCTCCAAAGCAACAGAGAGGAGCGTTTTATAAATATTTTGGGGGAAAATATGGGGGGCTGTTTTGGAGATTGGAGGAGGAGATTGGATGGTAGAGGGAGAGGGGTGGTCCCAATTCTCGTATATAAAACAGAGACCTTGCTAAGCCGCATTTATGCCTGCACAGATTAAAAAAACAGAAATAAGCAGAAGCTAATCATTTATCCAGCATACTCTCAACGAGCTCATGAGCCCACGATCTGCTCAAACAAGTAGCAATTATTGTTATCTCTTCATGTATCAGTGGACCACCAAACAGAAGAACCTAGCAAACTATCGCAACAACAATCAAACCACAAACACCACAGCACTATACCACGTTCCATTCCAAATTGAGTTCGACGATCGCAACCTCCCAGAAAGTAAACTAGATGAACATACAAATATTAGGAAAAAAACGAAAATTACAAAACAAAACAACCTGATCAAGTTGCTTTCATTGCTGAATATAAGAGTCAAAATCTAAACATCAATCAACCAGAGCAGGAATCGCGACGGTCTTTCGAAAACCCAGCACGAAATGGCAGAATACAGAAGAACTAGAAATTACAGAGCAGATAGCGAAAGAATGCATGCCTGACATGGAAGGAGAAGGGGGATAGACCACCATCGGCATCCCTCGCCGCCCACCCAAATGCTTTTCTCTCTGTCCCGGGCGACGAAGTAGAGATTGACGTCGACATCTCTCGCTACCCTCCCAAATGGCTTACCGGTGACCTCTCTCTCTCTCTCTCTGCATCCAACTGGAGCCGACGCCACTATATTTGTACTAATTTGAATAATTTCTCCCATACTTTAATGGGTTGTTTTTGAGTGGTTGATGGGTTTCCAGAAAATAGAATAAAAAAACACTTCAAATACACTGAATATAAATATTTTAATACTTAGTCTTATAAAAAAGGAATATTGATTAAATTATGTAGTTGATCAATATATAAGATTTTTTTTTAGAAGGTATCAATGAAATTTATTTGGCACTAGATTGCTCCATTTTTATCCTTAAATTGCTTCATTGAATTATGTCCCCAATGTATTAATACGTATTTAGATCCAGATAAATAAATTTTTAGGAGTTATTATAAGTCTAATTTGTAAATCATCTTCATCATAATATAAATATTATAGTGATTTAATTATATTATTTTTTTCATGATTTTTGGATATTTGTGTAAATCCTTAAAAAATTGACACCGGTAGATACAAGTGAGGATTTTGGGACCATCAGATGTCCATTTTGTAAATAGATTTCACCAACATTTTTAAATAAACTGAGTTATTTTATGAATATTTTTTATAATTTTTAAAAATCTCAAATATATACCGAAGACACAGGTCACTAGCCACATGAACTGTCAAGGTTGCCAGCACAAGGCCAACCTAGGGATACCAGGATTGCCTCATCATAGTCCAGCAACCAACATAAAAGCCAAACAAGTACAAGGGCATCTCTATTTTTTCTTAGATTTATTTTTAGGCCTTTTCCCAGCACCATAATAACTAACTTGATAAACAACTCGATTAGCCTTGGAATATTGCTTATATTGAGGATCTGAGAGCTCATTTTCATTTTCATCAAAATCGTCATCGGACACATTTAACCACTCTGAAAGGTCCACATAATATTTACTCACAGACAAATGGGCTTTCAACTCCGCATTGGACACAACCAAAATAGGAATATCTACAACAGATGTATGAAAAGTCAAGTTATTAAAAGGACTAATCACATTCTTACTCAATGTACCTTTATGAACAATAGAAGCCTTAACACCCTTACTAGCCACAGAACCAACTGATCTAGTAGGCTTAGAAGCAGAATCCACTAGACCAACCTGGCCTAGAACGACAATAGAGTTAGGATTCAGACAAACTGGCACAAAAGAATCAGAAAAAAAAAAACTTCCTCATCCTTAACATTAGTCGAGAAGGAATAGGGGTAGAAACATGATTAACCGAGCAAGGGACACCCAACAAGAAAAACCAAGCTCGCAGTAACCAAATTGCTACGAGCGCCACCCTTACACCTACTAGAACAGAACAGGGTTACCCGACTCGCCATTAACATCTCCAGTAATAAAATTAACATTATCTGAAACAACATGGCCCACAGCCAAAGTCACATGAACAACATCATCACAACCCACATTCCTTACCGAAAGATCCACTCCATTCGGATCCTCCACCACCTTCTCCTCGATAACATCCAAAGAAGAAACAACAAAAAATGGACACTTAGCGTTCCCAGCAGAAATATCGGGTGGATTAACAGAGAAGCAGAAGAACACACCCTTCAGGTGACCAAGATGCTTACAGGACACACAAAAATCCGAAAATACCTCCATTTACACCTTTTAGATATACCCCGATTCCTCAAGCCCAAGCCAAATTTGAGAAGGAAAGCTTTTAGAAATGTCCAGCTCCATTAAAACATGTGCAAGGGAAGGTCTAGAACCAACAGATGTAGCATTATCAATCTTCAATGGTCGACCGAACATAAAACCCAAAGCATGAAGAATATGAGGAGAGAATAGATGGGGTCTCATATTTGGAAAGAAAACCCAAATTGGAATCATAGGGGACTCAAAACCGACATCCAGGAGTGGAGACCATTTTGAGAGTTTCATGAAACAGTTATACACCAAATAGGAACGATGGAAAAAAACTATACTATAATCTAGGTCATTGGAAAGTTTTATCAGAATATGCGTCTGATCAAGGACCGTGACAGAAAAATTGGAATTAAGCTTCAGTGAGAAAAAAAAAAGCAACTTGCGAATCACATCCAAAAACGGATGCCTCGTCAGAAAAAAGCCAACCAAGGAAAATTGAAAGGGCACAGAGAGAGCTTTAATTTCCTCTTCCTAAATCCACAGCGAGGGTAAACCATATAAAATACCTTGATGAAGCTCAGGAAAATAAACAAACGACGAGGAACCAAAAAGGACATCAACAAACGATCATGATTTAAATGAGCCATCCAAGAAATCTGGATCATCCACATGCCTCACCGCCATTCTGGCTGCAAATGCCCGGAGGAGGATAAGACGAAGCAGCCAAACCAGAAAAACCAGCAAAGCAAACAGAACAATAAGAGGAGGAGGAAAGAAAACTTCCCTGAGCCTCCAGCGGAGAGCCTCAAAATCGCATCGGAACAGGAGCTAGGGCAAAGCCCTAGCAGAGCAAAAGGAGCGTCGCACAATGATTTATTGATACTAATACGATACTGGAAAAATACCACTTGAATTATGGATTCTTACTTATTTAGTGTGGCTATTAAATACATGTTATTGAGTCATTATTCTTATTAATGTATGGATTTATTGTTAATGCGCGAATTTATTGTTATTTCATTATTTTACTACTACTATCACTCGACTATTATTGTTACTTATACAAAAACTGATATTGTTTGATATTATTAATTCATTGTATTAATACTAAACATGTAACATACTGAACACACAATAAACTGATTTGATATTGATACAAAATACATGAATATTATGTGTGGACTTCTATATGATTTTACTGCATTAATATAATTTTGACAATCTTTAGCAATACTTTAATTTTGTCATTTTTTACGGTTTCTTTACTGATTGATAGTATTGTTATGAATACTACTTTATAGATTTAGCACCCACATTGATTTACTAGTTTTCAAACCATATTGCTTAATGTTTATAGATTTTACTACTACTGCATGTGAGCTTTACTATTTTTGCACAGATTCATGATCATACAAATGTTACAGTTATGATTTAACTAATGATATTTATATTGCTTCATTGTTGTGTATTGAGTTCAATTGTAAAATTTGATTACTTGTTGGGCTCTTGAGCTCATTATATGTGCTAAAAAAAGTTCATATAAATTAATTTTTGAAACATATAAAATAGTTATTCAAACGCTAAACCAAACATATATTTGACCCTTTCATCGAAAGATTATTTGACATTGATCGATAAAATGGTTGAACTTAGGTTCAATTTAAGTATTTGAACATATTTGAATAAAACTTTCAAATGAAATTATTCAAAAAATAATTCAAATTTATTCAAACACTTAATCGAACCTATATATTTGATGCTTTCATTTAAGATAAATTGCTATAATAAATAAAAAAATTATATATATAGATTCATTTAAGTCTTTGAATAGATTTGAATAAGGTGCTTAAAATATTTTATTCAAAAAATTTACAAAACACTTATTCGAACACTTAAACTTTATTTGGGATAGCTTTCTTACTGCTTTTTAAAAGCAGCTTTAAGCAACTTTAAGGCTTCGTTTGGGACGGCTTTCTTACTGCTTCTTAAAGCAACTTTCTAGTTCAAAATTTTTAATTTTTGAACTAAAAAGCTACTTTAAGAAGCGGTAAGAAAGCCGTCCCAAACAAAACCTAAGACTATCTCAAATGAAATCTTAATCTAACATATATTTGACCCTTTACTCTTAATCTTATAAAAAGTTTTTTATAAGATTTGTACAATCACAACGACAAGAACACAACAATTTGATAAATTGATTTGTAAATTCATATATGTTACATCATCCAGGCTCTATAAATTAAACAATAAATTCATCCACATCATCCATGTTACAATATCTATCAATTTAATGAAAAAAAAATGGATGCACATGATATATAATAACGATAAGCATTATTATTTGTATTAATGAAATATAAATAAGCATTATTTTTGATATGTCATCAAAAAATTTTCTTGATCGGGCACGAATCTTGAGGCAAAATCAAGCCGGAAACTTCTAAAATTAAATCTGGGATCACCTGAACTCTGATTTCAGTAAACTTATAGTCAAACTGAGTGTCTCGGAAGTACGAACCCAACGACACCAAATTCAACTCAATCCGAGCCCAAATCAAGCACCCAAAGTGCTGTTGGAAAGTTCATACCACAATTTGAGTTACCAAACGGTCTTTGATTTTAACAAGCTTATAGTCTAATCGAACGGCTCGACGAGACGAATCCAACGAGCCCAAGATATCCGAATTCTAATATCATTAAGACCTTCAAATATCTGACGAACGGTGCACGATCAAGGAATTCAATATCAACCGTCTATTTGACCTCTCCCTATTTGCCCATGATCTCACACCTATTTACAAGCTATGCCACTCCAGAAAATCTATAAATAGACCCATCATTTCTCATGAGAGGGGACCCCAAGCAAGAAGAAGAGAAGAAGTAGAAGGAGGAGAAGAGAAGAGTAGTAGGGAAGAGACTCCTCGACCACCGTTAGAATTCTGTCTGACTTCCACGAGATGCTAGAATTCTATCTGACTTCCACAGGACGCTAAAATTCCGCCCAAGTAACGACAGAGTTTCCCCCTGACGCCGAAACTCCGCCCAAGTGATACTGGAGTTCTCCTCGGCCTCCAACAGACGTCAGACTTCTACCCGATGCCAGACCTTCACTCATCGCCAAGTTTCTACTCGATGCCGAACTTTTACCGGTTATCGGACTTTTGCTGGACATCTATTCGAAGATGGATTTCTGTCTATTGTTGGACTTCTACATGATGCCGTCCTTCTGACCATCGTCGTCAGACAACAGTCTTTCCGACCTCCATCGCCCCCCGACTACGGTCCTTCTGACTTAAGTCGCCCACCGACTACAGTCCTTCCGACCGCCGTCGCCAGCCGACTATGGTCCTCCTGACTTACGTTGTCCGCAGACTACAATCTACGTAAAAATATTGGTGTCTCTTATGAATGCTACATACTCTCTTATCTGATTGCGTGCCGGATTTTCATACAACGCTAAGACGTTAAACTTTATATTTCTCTACCGCCACGAATACTCTTGGACGCAACAATTTTATTCTCAAATCTCCTAATCAGCTTCATTTAGTAATACTTAGTATCAACTTTCATACATTTTAGTCTTGTTTGAACTTATTCGAACTCCTGATCAAAATAAAATTCGAGTATTGATCAATCAAGTTCTCTTCGATGAACATCAAACATAATTTTGATCAAGTGTTCAAAGAATATTCATTTAATGAAATTGATACCTATAGGCTTAGCAAATCTTTATTTTATGACAAATCATCCTTAAATGTAATATTTTCTATAAATATATATCTTGACCTCCACCAATAAATTAAATAGAAGGTCAAAGGGCATGCCTAGGACACTTATAATTATGTAAAGTCTTATGCTTTTTGACATAATAGTAAAATCAATGGCCTTCTCTCCATATTCTCTTTCTTATTCTATTATTTTTTGGTTAAGATTGTCAATAAATTTCAGGGGTTGTTCACAAATATATTTGGATCTAGCATTCTAAAATATATAGTGAGACGGAATTAATTACTATGACTAGAAATGAAGCATTGGAATGATATAATAAAGAATAACAATACCCTACCTTTTAATTTGTAATTGATGAGACTTAGACTTCGTATGGGTCATCTTTTTTAGGCTTATTTGGGACAATTTTTTTACTGTTTCTTAAAACAGTTTTTTAGTAAAAAATTTTTAATTTTAGTACTAAAAAACTGCTTTAAGAAGCAACAATAAAGCCGTCCCAAAAGAAGCTTTAGTATTTTTCAATACAGTCTTTTAGTATTTTCTCTACACCATAAAGAACTTATAAACATAAAACTTAACTATTTATAAGTACCTGAATCTCCTTTTCTATAGAAGATGGACTATATGCATTTTGGTAAATTTGACTTGAATCCAAACTACTATATCATATGGTCCAGGTCCCTCTTGATCATAGATAGTTTACCAAATATTTAAATGATTTGATGATGCTAAAATCAAATGATATTGAACTCATTAGATTCATTTAGTCGAATCTCGATTTTGCTAAAAGCATGCTATAATTGGCCATTTGGTCTATTAATTAATATTAAAAAAATTTCAACACAAAATTTAAGTGTTTGATTTGAATTCATTTATAGAAGAACAAGAACATTTGTAGTGTCGATGAATTCATTTAGTTGAGATGTTTTACTTAACTATGAATTTTCTTAAATTATTAATGTTTCTAATTCAAAAAATATCTCAAATTGGTGTCAATATATTGATTTCTTCTAATGTAGTATTTATTCTTATGTGAAATTATTATGTGGTCCTCACACTAAACGGATTAGAAGCGAAGCGGATCAGAAGCGAATCAAAATGCATCATATCTGATACCAAGCGGTACACAATAAAAAAATAAAGTGGCACATTATCATTCACCTGCATACGGTGTTAGGTGACCCCCAGAATAATTTATCCATCCTTATAAAGATCTTATATTCTTATACGATTGACACGATGAACATCTAGCCCAGGGGTGTCAATTCGGGTCAGCGGGTCGGGTTCGGGTCGAACCTGGAACTGTTCGGGTCAACCCGAACCTGACCCGTTTTAAAAAACGGGTCATGTTTCCTGACCCGAAACCGACCCGATTCGGGTCCGGGTAAACCCGACCCGACACAAATGACCCTAATTTGAGCTAAAATTGCTAATTTTCGGGTCAAAATTTGGTTAATATTCGATTTCCGGGTTAAAATCGGATCAAAAACCGGTCAAAAACGGGTTTTCGGGTCAAATATGAGTTTTCGTGTCATTTTCGGATTTGCTGGGTCAATCCGAACCCGACTCGATTTTTAAAACGGGCTGATTTATTCAACCCGAATCCGACCCGTTTCGGATTCGGGTTGACCGGAACCCGGATTTTTACGGATTGGATTCGAGCCATATAGGCAACCCATGGTCACGAACAGGACACGCCAACCCGAACTTCTATGTTATTTGGTTCCCCAGCGCCGTCAACGTTGGGACAAGGTTACAAGCAGACGAAAAAGGCGCTAAACCGCGAACCCTCGAATCGATTCCCGCTACCTTGGATGCGAAGTTGGAAAGCGGAGAAGCACAAATGCGAACGAGGAACCAAACCAAGCGCCATGAAGAATTCCTGAGCGGTTCGCCTTCTTTAATCGATTTCTTCTTCCATCATTTCGCATTGCAATGTATATGCTAATGCTTCCGGTTGCTGTTGTAATCTTCTTATGGAAAGGCGTGGGTGTTTCAAAGGAGCAAGCGGGGCACGGAGGAGTGGCTGGATCGGTCCATGGTGAAGGTTTGCTGTTTTTGATGTCTTGCTTTCTCATTTCGAGCTCTATATTTACGCCAGAGAGGAATCTTGTACTCCCATGAATTTCTTATTTTGCTTTACAGGCTCTATCAATGCCATCTCAGAGGAAGCTGTGGGAAGGCTTCTTAAGAGGGCTAACTCTCGAAAACTTTCAGGGTCTAATAGAGGCCGCCCTTGGTCTGAAGGTCATTATACTTCTTGGGAGTCTAGGGACAAGGTCAATAATTTTATTCTTGCTGTTTAGCTTCGGCTAATGAAGTGTCTTACGCGCGAGTTTTGAAAGTCGTTATTCTTTTCTTGATATGTGTGTGAAAAATTGAACTTAATGATTTTGCGAGTGTCTCTTTTGTCTGCGGTTGTATTTGTTGAAACTAGGATTCTATGTTTTTGAATTATGAAAAATTGGCCTTTCACTTTCTAGGTTGGATTCTTCTATTGCTTTCACGGTAGAAACCATCTAGATTCTATGTGGAGAAGGCCCTCTTGCTCGGAAAATTATTAGGTGCGGACACCAGGTGTAGAGATACGTCCGGACTCTAATAAAATGTTGACACGTGGATATTCAATTAGATTTATTTTTTACTTTATATATTTAATGTGTCAGCGGAACTTTAAGCCAAGCGCACCAAAAGCATAGCCAAAGCTTAGGTAAAATGCAGTTAAAGTGCAGGTAAAGTGCAGTAAAAAAGCGCAACAAAAGAACAGTCAAAGCGCAACTAAAGTGAACCTGAAGCGCATATACGACATGATACGGATACGGGACACGTCAATTCTTAAAAATATAGGATACAGGTACGGCGTAGACAGGTCATTATAATTTATAAATCATACATAAAAATTAAGAAATCAATCAAAACATAATATTTGAACTTAAAAAAAAAATAATAATAAAAGCAACATCATTTGTAGCCTTGTAACTTATAATATCAAAATAAAAGTAAGTATTAAATGCATACAGCAACAACAAAATTATAAACATAAATTGTCTAGCATATGAAGTTTCAACTATTCAATAGAATGAATGATATGATTAGCTTCCTCAGTGGTTTGTCTTTGAACTTCTATATCTTCTTCAATAAATATCATAGCTTCTGATTCAAGCCATCAAGTAAAAGATTAGCAATTTCTAATATTATCATATCATCAAGAGACTCAAATCCATCTCGGAAATGAGAGAATCTCGCTCGCAGTCGGAGAAGTAGATACGAAGCATCTTTTTTTTTTTGGATTTTTTTTTTGTTTTTCAATGGACACGCGTATCGGATACGCGTGTTCTTTTGAAATTAAATAGTATTTTAATTGGATATTTATTTTTTACTTTATATATTTAATGTGTCAGCGGAACTTTAAGCCAAGCGCACCAAAAGCATAGCCAAAGCTCACGTAAAATGCAGTTAAAGTGCAGGTAAAACGCAGTAAAAAAACGCAACAAAAGAACAGTCAAAGCGCAACTAAAGTGAACCTGAAGCGCAGATAAAGTGCACAAAAAAAGTGCAACAAAAGCGCACTCTACATGTCACATTTTAAGTGGATGTTCGGACGTATCTCTAAGTCCGGTGCCCGCACCTAAGAATTTTCCCTCTTGCTCACCCACATTTGTCAATGCATTTTCAACCTAAGTTATACATATTGAAAATATATGATGTTGGTCCACCCCTATGTTGCACCGATACGGATACGACAACACAAATACGACACGATACAGATACGGGACACGTCAATTCTTAAAAATATAGGATAGGGGTACGGTGCGAACACGTCATTATAATTTATAAATCATACATTAAAATTAAGAAATCAATCAAAACATAATATTTGAACTAAAAAAAATAAAATAAAAGCAACATCATTTGTATCCTTGTAACTTATAATATCAAAATAAAAGTAAGTATTAAATGCATAGTACAACAACAAAATTATAAACATAAATTGTCTAGCATATAAAGTTTCAACTATTCAATAGAATGAATGATATGATTAGCTTCCTCAATGGTTTGTCTTTGAACTTCTATATCATCTTCAATAAATATCATAGCTTCTGATTCAAGCCATAAAGTAAAAGATTAGCAATTTCTAATTTTATCATATCATCAAGAGACTCAAATCCATCTCGGAAATGAGAGAATCTTGCTCGCAGTCGGAGAAGTAGATACGAAGTATCTTTTTTTTTTTGGATTTTGTTTTGTTTTTCAATGGACACGCGTATCGGATACGCGTGTTCTTTTGAAATTAAATAGTATTTTAATTGGATACGGCTTTGCCGTATCCGACACGTATTGGTGTCATATCGGAGGCGTATCGGTGTATCGGATACAACACGCCTTCATATATAGGTGTATCAGTGCAACATGGGTCCACCCCCTTTTCATATATCGAGCTATTTTGTATGTGACGTGATACACATGCTCGTGTTGAAAATATAGATTTTGTGTGTGTATGGAAAGCAATGCTCTTTTATATTGATTTTAACCACCCGTCCACTTTTGATGTTGATTTTGCATGACTATGATTTAACTTGACTTCATTTAAAATTCGGGCTCTCAGAGGCAGTGAAGAAAAGGTGCAATCTTGCATGTTAATCTGTGCATTTTGAAGCAAATGAGCTTTCTTGAAGTACATTTCATTATAAAAATATTTTTCTTTCATTCATTCTCTTCTTGATTTTAGCTCTTAATGATTTATATAATAGATTAGATACTAAGGAGGGCGAAAGATATATGTACAAATTAGTCAAACAAAGACATATGAGTAGTAAGGATTTAGTTCAAGTGAAGTGCATAAATGATGAAGATCAAAAAAGTACTTTTATTAGAAGATGATATTCAACAAAGGTGGATGAGATATTTTGTTAAATTTTTCAATGAAGATTCTGAGAATACGAATGACTTTAGTGATTTTTGCATCCTAAATGAAAATAAAGATTTTTGTTTTTATCAGTGTATTATTAAAATCGAAGTTAGAGGGGCTTTAAAGAAAATGAAATATGGAAAAGTTGTTGGACCTGATGATATCCTAATAGAGGTGTGGAAATGCTTAGGAGATGAATGAATTTCTTAGCTTACTAAACTTTTAATATTATTTTAAAGACTAAAAAGATGTCAAATGAGTGGAGAATGAGTGTGTTAATTCTTATTTTTAAAAATAAATGTGATGCACAAGATTGTGCGAATTATAAAGGAACTTAGTTAATGTGTCATACTTTAAAACTATGGGAGAGAGTTTGGAGCATAGGTTATAACGTGATATTAATGTTTCTCAAAATCAAATTGGATTCATGACGGGTAGATGCTCCATCATTGTTTAACTTATTTTAATTCTTCTACTAAAATATTTTTCGCTTGCTCTAACTCTTTACTTATTTTAATAGATGTCTTTTTGATTCAAATTAAGTTACTCGCAAAAAAAGCATTTCCAATACATCTCATTTTGAGTAGGCTTTGTAAGCATATTTATAACTATACATAGATGGACTCAATGTAGGCATGCACAAACCTAAGCAAGCACATGACATTTACTTATTTCCCGAAACACCTTCCTTTTATGAATTGACTGACAGTTGTGGTTGAAATACCCATAACTTGTTTTTTCAGAGTTCAGCGGAGGAGTATGTTCAATCGTGTTAGCTTCGTCCTCTTGAAACCATGATTCATCATAGAAAATCTCCTGCAAATGTTTTCTTCTATTCTCTCATCAAGAAACCCCTTGTTTTTTTATTTTAAAAGTCATTTGAAGTATTTACATTTTCTTTTACATTAAATCTGGCCAGCGTTTGCCTTTGTTCTGACTTTGTTGAATGAAACTTGTTATCTCTTTTTGTGAACTTAGTGAATCTTGAACATTCTTACAAAGCAAATTTGATTGTTGAAATTTTCTATGATTAGTGGCCCTTGAATGGTATTTAGTTGTAGTTTATCTTATATATGACATAGTAGTGACATATTAGACGTGTCAAAAAATTGTGTAGGGGGCAAAATCCTTATAATTCTTCCGTAGAAGTAGTTGTAGTAGCAGGTTTTGGATATAAATTTAGCATTATTTATTTAATAGCAATAACTTTCGGTTTTGCTTTTCACAGATGACAGAGTTGGGTAATGGTAAAAGAAAGGCTGATGAGGAGCTTATGCCTGGATCCAGTGCAGTAGATCATTTTATTGGTGATGCAGATGGAATCATGCTGATGAAAGATAAACATTTCGAGAAAAATGTTCAGTACAATGTGAATGAAGTGGACTGGGAAGAGGGAATGATTCCTTTTTCTGAATCAAGAGATGGATATTCTCATGAACTTGGAAAGGAGTTGACAATTGAATTCTCTGAGTCTCCTTCTGCAAAAACGAGGCATCCTCGCAGGTGTACTGTTGAAGATAAGGTTAGTTGCAATGGCTAATTTGCCGTATTTATCTTATTTACATCATAAAAGTAGAATCCCTGAATACATTATTTTTGTAGGATTTAGCTGAGGTTGTGCACAAGGTTCATTTGTTGTGCCTACTAGCACGTGGTAGGTTAGTTGACAGTGCCTGCAATGATCCTCTAATTCAGGTTCTTTCTGGCATTACACTATGTTCAACTATGCCGCAATTTATCTTATTTGCTCACCTCTAAGTTTCACTTTAACATTCTTTTCATAATTCAGTATTAATATAACTTCATTAAAGCAATTTTCAGTTATTTCATTTTTTCAAGTCTTCATTCTTTGCATATCATTCAGTTCTGTGAATACATCAATGCTTGTACTTATAAGAAAAAATGAATGTATCATTGAATATCTTTTAAGTAGATTTCACGTACATGATTATCATAACGTTTGAATTGTGGTTTGGGTTTCTTAACCTTTTTTTTTTTTTGCAAAAAAGCAGCAGATTACAAAACTGTACAAAAAAAAGGTGTAAAATACTTGGGCAACTACTCTCTCCCACTCTCTTTCATGCTCATCATTTTTGTTGAATTGCTTGTAACAGTTTATTGGAACCATACTCATGTACTACCATTAATTTTCTTAAAAGATTTTTTTTTTTCTATTGATCACTCTAATTATTATATTATATTTCAAATTTAAAAATTGTCATTTTTTTCGTCAAAGCTTTTATATCTTGACTACAAGAACCTAAGTTATTTTTCATAATTATAAAATTACTTTTGAGGTGTCATTATTTATCTCAAAAAATTATTCAAGGTGACTTTGAATCATAGTTTGACAAATTGGGATTAATGTTTGTCCTCTAGTAACAATTTAACCTATTATCTCTTTTTCATTAAGCATCAAACTAATTAGGGCATTGCTATTTGAACTTTTATTGTTTTGTTCTTCTTATTTTGGAGATTTAGAAGTGTTCATCACCTTGTCTCTTTGTGGGTTTTATAGGTCACGACACTGGAGATTTAAATGCGGGAATAAGTGATTCAGCTTGACTTTTTTTTTTTCTGTTTTATTGTTTATTTTAGTTTTAATAATATTTGTTACCTTTTCATCAAAGGATATAAGATCATATTGTAGTTTACAAGGCTTGGGATACGAATGATGGAAAATGGAGGGAGGAATATGTGCAGAGTTAGTGATTATGAATTCAAGTCTTTTGCGTATCCACGCGAGCTAATATATGAAGAGGAACTTATATTAACGGTGGTTCGATTTTTTGTTTCTAACATCAACCATAAAAGAGAGAACCATATGTTTTCACTAAGACACATCGAGAAGAGCTAAGTCATTTTTCACTAAGATCATGTGTATGAGAATGCATATTGTCGAATATAAATTATAAACTAAGATTTCTATTTCAGTTTTGTTGTGTTTTGATTTATAATTTCTTGCAATGGGGAATGTTTTTCATAATATTAGAACAATGAGGCCAATGTGAACCTCAATTCATTTGGATAACACTACACATGTTCAACAAGTTGTAAGAAACCATTGTTCTTGTTGTCTAAATCATTGGATTGATCTCAACTATTTTGAGTCAGCTTTATGAATCCTCATTTTTTATTCATTTTTATTGAGTGATGCTTGAGGTGTTAAACGTATTCCTCTTAGATTATTTTGAATAACTTTAATCCATGCCATCTTAGATCCAAATCTTTTCCTTTCTAATCATGACCCTAACTTTATCTATTTGTATAATTGGTTCATTTTATACCCATAATTGTACATGCTCATACCATTTCACTTTTAAGTCTTCATTTTTCAACTATTTTATTTAATAAATATCATTCCAACTACTCTTAATATATTATTTCCCCAATTTAATCTTTTCTAGTTTAGCCACATATTCTTCATAACTATCTTATTTTCACCCTTAACTTAGCTATCAAAAACTTCTTTACTACCCAAAATTGGAATCCATATAAAATTGTCAGCCTAAATGTAGTTTTATAAAATCTACCTTTAAGCATTCATGATATGATATTATCTCATAACATTCTTAAGACAATTCTCATTATAATCACATAGCTTTAACTATAGCAATTATAACTTCATTTTTATACCCATTTAATGCATGTAAGTTTACCTCAACCCTTGTAAATAGTCTAATTTTAGTATTTTTCAGTGTATCTTGTTGTCATACTTATTTGTTAGTAAGTTAATTATTATTAATTGAAAATTTATTTGATGTTTATGATTATTTTGTTATTTTTTATATTTATTTAGAGCTAATTTTGCTTCTTTTGTATGCATAGTGCCCATTGTCTTATAATTGGGTAAGTTGCAAATGGAATAAAGAAAAGTCTATTGTTTTGGCATCACACTGAGCATAGATTCTCCATTGCATAATTTATTTATGCTTTCTTCCGTTCTACCTTCTGCCTCAATTTTTTGGAGACGTTCATTCTTCTAATCCTCTCAATCACTTCCATCTTTTAGGAGGCATTTCAATTTTTTCCTTGTGCCTATGCCTATTTGCTTGCATCTCAATTATGCCAATTACAGTTGCTAGACTCACAACCCCCACCAACTATTTTGCCTCAACTCCCAACATGAAATGCAACTTCTTCCACAAGTCATTGTGTTTTGTATAGCCTGAATCCCATCATCCTTGTACGCCGTTATTCCTTGAGACGGGTGATGGACCGGCCGATTTGATTGGGAGGGAATTAGTAAGTTTCCTAATCAAGAGGGAACTATTTAGAAAGGCTCTTAGTCAAAGGAGAAGTTGTGATTGTCAAGTTTTGGGTCGTTTAAGTTTATTTAACAAAGTTTGTTTTAAGTTCTACTCTTTTGTCAGTTTTCTTTCTTGTGTGTTTTTTTTGTATTCAAGTGATATAGGCTCCCTATATCCCTTGTCTACATCAAAATCTAAGGGTGAATTATTTAGGGAAAATGAGGAGGAATTAAGGGGGGATTGTTTAGGAAAGTTTGAGAGGGAATTAATTTGGAAAATAAATTTATTTTGAATTCAAGTATGAGAGGGATTTATTTAGGGAAAGAGGGCTGATTTGGGAGGGAATTATGGGAGCCTATTTAAGGTTAAATATGGGGTGATTTTAGGGGATGTTTTGGGAGTTTGCTGAATTTAGTTTATTCTTAGGTTATTTGGGAGAGCCGGATCTTCCTCTCCAATTGAAGATCCCATTGTATCTTGCATTTCTCTTTATAGTTCTTTCAATAAAAATTGTTTTGGGATGTTCTTCTTCCCATTTTTTTGGTGTTTCATCCGCTAATTTTCGTGAAAAGTGCATCCATTTCCCTATCAAATTGATATAAGATCCTAGATCAAAGTACCTATGGGGGGAAAAAATGTAGGAGTGTTGAAAAGGGAGATCAGACAATTGAAATTTGACTTTGGATAAAAAATTTCAGGTTTCAAAAAGTAATTTTCAACCATCAATTAGAAGATCAATGAGAAATTTGTCATCATTAAGGAGATGATAAAGAAGCTGCTTGAGGGTCAGACCAAACTGATAATATCGGAGATGAGAGCATCGTTGACCAGACAAGAAAATGGGAGAAACTCTAATATAGGGATGATAATGGGGAATCAGGAGGTGAAAATTTTGAGGGAAGAAGAGGAGATGCCATCTTTGGAATCACTTCCAAGGAGGGGAAATGGTGAAAGAGTAAGATTTTTGTTGGAGCTGTAGATTTTGGAAAGAAAAGAAGATGGGGAGAAGATAGAAGCACCAGACATGGCTCAACAACTCCTACAGGAATATCGAGAGGTGTTTCAACCAGTTTATGGGTTGCTTCCTTCACAGGAACATGAGCATACTATCAGTTGGAAGGACGGAGTCTCTCATATCAAATTGTTCGTTTGTACCATTCTCCGCAACTCCAGGAGTATGATCAAGGAGATCCTGGAGGCAGGGATCATTCGACCTAGTGGCAGTCTATTTTTCAATCTAGTGCTATTAGTCTAGTACTTCAACAATAGTTTTCTTCGTTCCACCTTAAGGACAAGGTGGCACTTTGGGAGGGGAATATTGATGGACTGACCTATTTGATTGGGAGGTAATTAGGAAGTTTCCTAATCAAGAAGGAACTATTTAGGAAGGTTCTTAATCAAATGAGAATTGTTAAGAAAAAGTTTTAATTACAATTGGGAGGAAATTATTTAGGGCAAGAGATTTAATTTGAATTCAAAATCTAAGAGGGAATTATTTAGGGAAAATGAGGACGACTTAAGGTGGGATTGTTTAGGAGATTTTTAATTACAATTGGGAGTGAATTAATTAGGGAAATAAATCTAATTTGAATTCAAATTAGAGAGAGATTTATTTAGGGAAAGGGGGCTAGTTTGGCAGGGAATTATGGGAGCCTATTTAATGCTCACTAAGGGGTGATTTCAATGGATGTTTTGAGAGTTTGTTGAATTAGTTTATTCTTTGGTTATTTGGGCTCTAGCCAGCGGCTAGGGATTTGGGAGAGCCGGATCTTCCACTCCATTTGGAGATCCAAATGCATATTGCATTTCTCTTTATAGTTCTTTCAATAAAAAAATATTTTGTGGTGTTTTTCTTCCCAATTTTTCGGGTTTCGTCCGCAGGTTTTTGTGAAAAGTGCATCCACTGCCGATGAGTCTCACATATCAGTGTTCGTCTGTACTATTCATCCCAACTCCAGGAGGATGGGATGGTGAGATTGATCAGGGAGATGCTGGAGGCAGGGATCATTCGACCTAGTGACAGTCCATTTATCAGTCTAGTGCTATTAATCCAGTGTTTCAACAGCAGTTTCCTTCGTTGAATCTTGAGGACAATGTGACACTTAGGGAGGAGAGTATTGATGGACCCGTCAATTTAATTGGGAGGGAATTCAGAAGTTTCCTAATCAAGAGGGAACTATTTAGGAAGATTCTTAATCAAAAGGGAATTGTTTAGGAAGTTTTTTAATTACAATTGGTTGATAATTATTTATGGAAAGATATCTAATTTTAATTCAAAATCTAAGAGTGAATTATTTAGTGAAAATGAAGAGGAATTAAGGGGGGATTTTTTAGAAAAGTTTTAATTACAATTGGGAGGGAATTAATTAGGAGAATAAATCTAATTTGAATTCAAATATGAGAGGGATTTATTTAGGGAAAGGGGGCTGATTTTGGAGAAAATTATAGGAGCCTATTTAAGATTTTAGGGGATGTTTTCGGGAGTTTACTAAATTTAGTTTATTTTTAGGTTATTTGGGCTCTAACCGGAGGCTAGGGATTTGGGAGAGCCGGATTTTTCTCTCCAATTGAAGATCTAATTGTATCTTGCATTTCTCTTTACATTTCTTTCAATAAAATTTGTTTTGGGGCTTTCTTCTTCCCAATTTTTTGTGTTTCATCAATTGATTTTTGTGAAAAGTGCATCCATTTCCTATCAATGAGTTTCCCAATTCTTCACTTTTTTTGGATGCATTTCCCTTTCTTTTTTATTATTTGGAATTGATTTTGCTAACTTTCCAGTATATTAAAAAATCTTATGTTCTTCATTTAGGAACATTCTAGTTGTCCATAGTAGAGTTTTACAATCGAGGTGAAATGATGTGCAATGCAAGTCTACCTCAATTCTTTGTCATGAGATTGCATTTTTTAGATTCATGTAATCAATGTATCTTGTAGCCATCCTTATTTGTCATTAATTTAATTATTAGTGGTAGAAATGTTGTTTAATATATAGACTATTTTGCTATTTTTAGATTTATTTAGGGTTAGTTTTGTCATTTTCCATAAAAATTTTAATAGAAACTTCCCAATAAGTGTAAGTTGTAATAAAAAAGAGAAAATGACCAAAATGGTCCCTTAACTTCTTATGAAATATCAAAATAGTTCCCAATTATATTAAAAGACCATTTTGGTTCCTTAAGTCTAAAAAGAGGATCAAAATCGTCTCACAGTGAGACCATTTTGATTTCTCTTTAAGGGGTTAATGTTCAAAATTGTCCTTTAATATGGTTGGTGACTATTTGATCTTTCATAAAGAGTCAATGGACAATTTTGATCCTTTTTTCAGAAAAAGAAAATGACCAAAATGGTCCCTTACTCTTTATAAAAAAATCTTTTCTTTTTAGTTTTCCCATCTTGTTTGGGACAAATCCACTCTTTTGGGATTTCTTCCTACTCTTTGCCTCAGCCTCCCTTTAAGGCATAAATAGTCCAATTTTCTGAATTCCTTTTATTTGTTCATCTCTCAATTTTTCTCATATACTATATTTTCCTCTTCTCAACAATCTGAATGTCCACTTGTCTTGACATTATTTTTTTATAATGAATTGATATTTATAATTTTCACACCAATGTGTCACTTTATCTTTTAATAATATATACTGATAACTATTAATATACACTCATTAAAATTAAATATTATATTCACAATTTTTGTTTTGATATTCAAAGTCATCTATCTTCTCTATATTGTTTCCCTTATTCTAACTTTCCGCTTATTTTATAAGTTGTTTTATCAGTAGAATTTTTTCATCCATGAAAAAACATACACCAAAGAAACCTCACTTTAAATACATTAATAAGCATTTTTCATAATCAATAAAATAAATAAAGATTCAATGTAGATCTTTAATATATCTTACTAAATTATAAATTTATTGGTCTCTTTATAATTAATTTTAATGCTAGTCAGTAGTCAGTGTTCTATCCTACATATTTTTAATAACTTCAGAATGCTATTATTGATACTCATTTCCAAATAATTCTCATAGTACTTGATCATATAGTATGATAAAATCTCATGAAGATCTTTTCTCTGCTCTTTATCCTTTAGCATTAATTATCTTTGCATAAAAGCTATTCTATTAATTATTCTTGTTTGCATAAAATTAAATTGATTCTTCGAAACTGACATATTTTTTTGTCTTTGTTTAATTACAAAATACCACCATTGTACGACACGTAAGTTTGATTTCTCCATGATTGGTACAATTTTGAACATCTTCTTTGTTTTTAATTATTGATATTCAAAGGCTTCTTTAAATTTTCGTTAAAAATATTTATTAACAATATCATTGCAATATTCTCTTATAATTCTCAAGTCTCAATAATTATCCTATTATCCTATGGATCTAAAGCTTTATTTTTATGCCCTTTCATTAGATCGAACTCTACTTCACTTTTTGGTATCGGGCGATAATTTACCTCATTATTTTAGTCATTTTTGCTCTTCCAAAATAATTTTATACTAAAATCTCCATATAATAATATGTCAAAGTAGCATTTCATCTTTACTTGATGTCTTCATCTTTAAATGAGATCCGATTATTTTTACTTTTAATGCATTTAAATTAATCAAATTATCTAAATATCTTATATCTTGTCTTAGCTATTTTTAATATATCCCTTTGCTCTTTCCTTAGTACCGAGCCGATTATATGAATGTTAAAAATCTAACATTTGCTTTGTTCAATACTCTCTATGTTAAAATTGTAGATTTTTTACAATCATTATAAGCTTAAGTAATATTTAACCTTTTTACTTTTTTAAAACACATTTTTTAAGGTCCATTTGTGGCAATTGCAATTGCACATAAAGTTGATTGTAGAACTGTTGTGGGGAAATTAAATTTTTTGAAAGTTGTTGTAGGTAATTAGGTATTATAAACTCTTACACTTTTGAAAAATTCAGACAACTTTCATGCAACTTACCCCACTCTATTATTGATAGGTGGAAAACATTGCTTTCGACCATAGAAATATTTGAAAAATAATAAGAAATTTATAACCAAGCAGAGTTGTGACAGCTATTTTGAAAACGGAGCTGAAAAAATTAAACAGACGTTATTCTAAATAAAATTTTCTTCCTCTGCACTCCCCCCCATCTCCTCGTTAATGTATGATATGGGGTGTACATTTATTTCAATTCATTTTTTTCATTTATCATGGAATTGTTGAAAATTATACGCCTGTAGCTATTCATATGGTCAGCCTTTTGATTTAACTACATACTGCTTTTAGGCGCTGCAATATTTTTAATGTATTGCGTGAAAAAGACATGGATTGGTATTTATAGATAGGCTGACATTTCTTTTTTATTTTTAAATATTTTCCTATTGTTAACTCAAACTTAAAATGTTGATGAAAACAATGCTCATACTCTTATCCCCGCTGACTTAAAACACATCCATTTAACATGTGCATTCACATGCAAGTATCATAATATCAAACATTAAATTGATAGCCTTACATAATTTATGTATGCTTTTGTGTGCATATCACTGTATATAGTCCTATAATTTACTCCTTTTTTTTCACTGTCAATGTTTAAAAATATATGGATTGCATCATTGGCGGACTAATAAGTTTCATAAATTGTACAGGCTTCATTGCTTTCGTTTCTACCATTGAACTTGTTAAAAATAGCGGAAGTTTCAAGATTGACTGCTAATGAGCTGGGGCCCCTTGTAGATTGGGTACTTTCAAGCTGTTTAGCTTTTTGAAAGCATTTTAACTTGAATTAGGTGTTTTCTTTTATAGCATGGGTTGTTTATTTTATTTTATTTATACAATTCTAACTTTTACTTTCATTCACTTAACATGTGGCTGCTTCTACAGTTCCGCAACAGTTTTCGTCTTAAAAGTGAAAGTATTGACCGAGGATGCTTTAAATCAAACCTTGCCTTTGCTTTGGAGACTCAGGAGGGGACAAGTGAAGAGGTTTAAAAAGAAAACTCTTTCCCATTGCTGACATTATTTTTTTCTCTTATGCTCATTTGAATATATGTCGGTTTTATAATATTATTACTCAATTTTCACCGATCCATATGTTTATATATAAAATGCTAACATTATGAACGAGCTGTCCCAAGCCTCAAACTAGCTGTCTCAATCTCATAAAGCACACTTTTTTTTCTACGAAATTTAATGGGATACAACCTTCGAGAAATAAGCAGAGCGGACAAATTAGAAGCAAAAAAAAAAAAAGAAGAAAGAATGGAAGAGAGTTATATGAATTTCACTCTATATTGATTTTGTCCTTCTTTGCCAAATCCATAAAGTGATTTGCATTTCGAAAGGCGCTTTTGTTATATCACTAATCACCATTTGTGAAATGCTTTGATATTAGGTCAGTTTATGATGTTTGGTTTGGGATCTTTTAGCGCAAGTAAAAGATTAGTAGAAAGATTCATATGACAAGCTATTCAAAATCTGGTGTATGGCTCATTAACGCTCATAATTCTCCAAAAGATTGACTCGAATGACTCTGGAATAGTGTTCATATGGTTAGAATCATAAATTTCATTTAAGCGGCCAATATCTCTAAAACTACATGTTATGTTTTGTTTTGAGTGGTCAGCTCCTTCTTTCAGCATGTCTTGGTTTGATTTGGTTTTGGCAAGTAGATGTGCAGCTGACTTCAAATGCAATATGTAAGCAATAGTGATGAACCAAATATAAGCCAAATTATATACATTTGCAAAGCTTGTCAGCTCTTATTTTGATTTATAATGATTGCAGGCTCTCGAACTATATCAATAGTTATAGTCTTAAGGTTCAGATTTGTCATGAAAACTGAAGAAGTTTAACTAAATGTTTTTCAATTTCAGGTAGGATCAATAGGACATTATAATTAGGCAAATTAGTTATCATCAGAAACCTTTTTATGTCTAATTTATAAAGAATTCATAATTTTCTGAAATTGGAGTACTTTGTCAATGGTATGGTTGGAAGAGTAATGCTATATCAAGCCAGCTAGGGTTCGTAAATTTTCTAGAGTAATATCAATAGAGATGCATGGAGTTCAGGAATGTCAAGACCATAATGTTTGATAAATTTTCTAGCATCTTTGATGTAGGATGCGTTGGGGGCTAGGGTTCCTAATTCAATTAGATGATGCAATGTTTGAAATCACATAACTCTAATTTAAAATTCACAATTTCAAATGCCACCAATTAAAACTAGATTGTTTTTATGTAAACCTGAAAAAAAGAGAAATATATGCCAAATGATAAATAAATGATTGTCCAAATCAAAGAAATTCAATATTAAATTTAAAATCACCAAAACCACAACTCAACTGTAATTCGCACTGCAATTGGAAACCTAGTTATAGCCAATTTGTCTGAACTCAATTACAATCGCAAAACCAATATAAAATTATGTTGAAAAAATCGGAACAAGGCATGAGATCACCAAACACAAAAAATCAAAGCATTACATTAGTAAAATGTAGTAACTGGTGGTAGACTGCCTAGAAAAAGAAGGCTTCTCCCTTAAGGGGCATGTAGTTTAGGCCCATAGTTGGTCCGATTGATTGTCTTCTCTTTCAATTTTGGTTATTATTACTTTTTATCTGTTCCTAATTTTCGGCTCATGAATTAGCCAAAACCTTGTATTTAGAAGTTTGTTGACTAAAATCTTAGTTGGGTTTAAAATTCAAAATATGAGGAGATATTCTCTCTTTGATTCTTGCAATTGATTGGGATTTGAATTAGATTGCAATTTTTTTATTTGAGATTTGGATCCCTATCTCTCAACTATCACCCTCTCTGTCTCTGTCCCACCGTCGTCAGCCATAAGGGGAGTAGTATAAGGAATTGAATATCTCCCTTTTTCCTTAGTTTTCCGGCATATTGAGAGCTAGTAAATAAGAACGTTCACTAAGAAAGTGGAGTATGCTTAAGAAGTTACCGGGATACAAAAAAATGCCAATAGCAGTAATTTCATTGTTTGGAAAGCAATATGTCTCTATCAAAGAGAAAGAGGGGCATAAAGAAGACGAGGAAGAGAAGATATCATATATGAATTCATCCATAATTCCTTGCTACTCTTTTATCTATGACTTTGGGTCATTTAATGGACCCTTGGTTGCTTGTTTATTTGGATTTTAGATCTATATTCAAGCACAGTACCTGTTAGCCTTGTTCTAATATGGTTCATAAATCACTCTTTAGAAGAAGAAGTAAGCATCTCATTTTCGAATGTTTTGGAAAACAAGTTGCATGATAAAATTTTTAAATTTTAATTACATTTATAATTTGTTTTATAAAATATTTTATAGGGTCTATTAGAATATAAGAATCACCCTAATTAATCATGGTTGCTGACTAGGCCAATTTTTATTGCTATATAAAAGCAAATATGACAAAAATAAGTCATTAAAATACGATCCAGCACAATCGCTTTTTAATTGTTCAGCTCTTATACTATGGCATATTACCTTTGAGTAAAACATTTTATGATAAATGACAAGAAAATTTTTATTATTTAAAAGAAGACACTGAATATGCCATAATTTATCCTGCACAGCTGCAAGGCGTCTTTCTATTGATTGGATTGCTCTTTGTTTATTTATTTTCATTATTACTCTTCTCTATTATTTAACGTCAGCTTAATGGATTATTTTTCATTTATCCTTTGCGGTGTTGCTCGAGGTGTTAATTCTAATCATGATAGATATTTTGCATGTTATCTATAATCACAATAGAATTTTCAGACATGTTATCTATGGTCTATACTTCTTTTTTTTTCCTTGTTCTTTTGAATTAATTTAATCTATCTACCCTATTTGTTTCATTTTTATACATGCCCAAACCACAATTTTATTTTTCATTATCTTATGTTGATAGGTGTATCTCATAATCTTTTTGATATAAATATCTTTCATTCCATTCTTTCTAATTTAATCAAACATCTATCTTAACATTATCATTTTAGCTGCAATCAACCTTGTCTGTTGTCTTCTTTCATTCCATTTCTGTTTTGAGTCTGCATGATATTCGCATACTGCACAACACAAATGATGTTATTCATAATTATTCATAAATAAATTTTCTTTTTCTATCATGTACATACCATCTTGCAATATTAGCCTTCTGTTCTAGTTGATAGATAAACTCCCCTCATTTTTGTTACACAGTCTAGATTTTATGGTTTTCCCCCATTTCGATGGTTAACATGGTTTTTTTATGCTTTTTCAGCTTAATAAATATTTCTTTTTTCATGCTGAGTTATCCTGACTTCATTCAGATGTCTACTTATTATTATATTTGGAACAAGGATTTAATGTTTCTCATATGGTATTATGTACCTAGATTGCTGCTCTATCAGTGGCGTTTTTCAGAGCTCTCAACCTAACAACTAGGTGAGTATGTTCATTACCATACTATTAGATGTGAATCTTTTTGGTTGACAAATAAATGTTTGATATACTGATTATATATTCTTGTTTTTATTGTATGAAAGAGCATCATTTTCTCTGTTTTAGGAAATTGCCATGCTTCTGGAGCAATCTGAAAGATTTTTGTAACAGTAATTATGTCTTGGTCGGTACTGGTCTGCCAAAACAACAAATTTAGCCCATATTCAATTAAAATAATACTGGTTTGTGAAATCATGTCATCCTTGCTTGCATTGAAATATTTTGCATTATCTTGTTCTCATGCGTTGCTTTCCTGGAAGCATCGTGAATTATGTACACCCTTTATAGTGTAAATATTTAAGAATGGTCCTTGCTAAGGTCATATGATGATTGACTTGCTTTAGCTGTTATAATCAGATAGCTATTTTCCACTTCAGTGGAAAGAAAAATAGTGGTTCAACTGTTCAAGCTATCTGAGAGCAACACCTTCCACTATCATTAACTATCATGTGGATCTTTATTTATTTATCTTTGTCTAATCCGCATAATTTTTCTAAACCTATTATTAACTTTGATTATTTCGCCCTAGCTATAATAAATTCCCTGACTTGTTTTCAAAATAATGAAGAATACTTGATTGCTTTGCTTGCCGGAAGCCTAACAATTGTCAACTGCTGTTATTATCATGGTAGTTGTTTTGTTTATGTTTGAGGATCATGGAATGTCTTATCTCTTTTACGAGCATAATTACATAATCTGCTCCCTCACTTTTCTTCTGTGCCACAATTGTTATGATTGTAGGCATTTTGTGGCTGGAGTGCTTGCATCATTGATCTTGCTGCTAATAATGTTTATAAAATTTACCATGGATGGAAAGATCATTTTTCAAGGTCCTATTTAGGTCTATGATTTTCCGCAACTCTCCACTTTGGTCCCTATACTTCTAATAGTCAAACTACTATGGTTTTTATATTATAATTTCTATTTAAAAGACCAAAATGGCCTAAAAATTATGAGTGCATCATCAAACCTCTATTTATATTCTCTTTCTCTCACTTAAGAGTGGATTGAGGAGTGGTGCCAAGTGCTTGGTTTGCAGCCACTGACCATCTTTCTACGGTGCAATGGTTAGCTGGAAACTGGGCCACCATTCATGGATAGATGTTGTCTCCACTACTCATTGGCTTCTTTTGGCACATTTTAGAGTATTGTAGAGGGTAAGGTTCTCTCTCTCTCTCTCTTCCCATCTCATTTTGCGTAGTTTGTGGGTACATTTGGAGGGTTGATAACTCGCCCTTTCTTGCAAGGATATCATTGTGACCGCTCGCTAGTCACCACTTCCAACTATCAGTGACAAACTAGTGTAATGGGAAAGCTAAGGGATGCAGTTTGCAAATTTCAGAACTAAGATGCGCAAAAGTCTAGAAATAGTAGAACTCAAAGCCACCTTTCATAAATTTTTTCTGGGATGTTTGTCACCAAGATAAAACTATATGGAAAATTTGAAAAGTCTTTATCTTAGACTTTAATTTTAATTGAAGCTTCTGTTAATTATTTTTCTAAGAGAATTGGACTAGTAATTATATTTAGGGTCAAAGGATTAAGAAGACTTAAGATAAATTGGATGGAAGTTGTTTAAAAGAAATTTCAATGAATATGTTTGCCACCTCATGCAACGTTGAACAGGAACATATAAAAAATGAAAATTCATAAAAACAACCCCAAATAGTTCTGATAAGGCTACTAATGTTGATGATGTTCATATATTGATTTGTTCAAATATAATTTCTCCTGCAATTGAATTGCAGTTTCTATACGTGTTCTATTGTCATCCCATGTCCATGCATACCTGCAGCATTTCTATTATTTAATGTGTCTGCACGTTACAAAGGTGGGGGTGGGGGGATACTCTTCTTAATTAGGTTGCGTGAGTTGGTCGGTCAGTATGTAGTGAAAAACATAGCTTAACCTCTGTTAGATGCACTTCATAGTTAATTGAAGCATGATCAAATATGCTTGATTGTTATATATATATATATATATATATATATATTCCAAAATGGGTCTATGTGCCAACTTTGTGCTTGCACTTGGTTGGCATTCAAAGCCTTGTACTGGTACAAAACTAGAATTTGTCACTCTTACGTTGAAATAATGCATTATATGACATAATAAAATGGGTTATGAAAGTTGTCTAACTAAAGCATATTTTACCTCGACATCTATAACCTATGATGCACAGACACAAATACTGTGACATGGATACTACACGACACGGACACGGGACAGGTCAATTATTAAAAATATATGATAAGGACACAGATTGTATACAGTATTATAATTTATACATTTTAAAATAGTGTATAAAAATTGCATAAATATAATATTAAAAATAAATTAGAAATAATAAGTCATTTAACTAGAATTTGTGCTTAAAATGATTAATATTAGAATGCCGAGAGTCGAACGTCGATGCCATGTATTAGGCATCAAGAGAGAAGATGACAATGCTATCGTAAGTCGGACATCGATGTTATGCAATAAGTATAGGGCGTCGATGTCCGGAGGGTGTTTGTTGTCGATGTTGAGAGGGTGTTGGTCGTCAATGTTAAGACGGCGTCGAACAAAGATGAGTTATCAAGTTATGGGTGTAGAACTTGCTAGCGTCGAGCATCAATGTCAAGGCAGTGTCAGACTTTGATGTTGAGATGGTTTTAAAATGTCAATATTATAATGACGTTAGACGTCGATGTTGAGATGACATCGGACATTTTTGTGAAACCAAAGTCTGGACCCATCAAACAGAAATGAAAATGAGAATATTTGATGGATGGTGTATTGAGTGCAGACGATTGATTTGATATTGTGGATTGGAAATAAGAAATTTAGTTTTTATATTTTAAATAAATAAAAATTTTAAATACAAAACATTTTATTGTAAAAAATTTCATAAAATATTTAAGACATAGATGTCCAATTTATATTTAATATTTTTTTAATAGGACACGTTTCAAGCATGTACGACATGTGTCGGAGGCATGTCCGACATGTGTCGGAGGCATGTCAGACGCATGTCGTGTCATATGCATGTCAGACACTGTACACCTCTTTGATGAAAATATCGGTGCATCATAATCTATAACCCAAAAAAATGCAGAAATGCTTTTTAGATTTGATTAATGGAAATAAATCCTAACTTGTCCGGTAAATTTTCTCGTCGCTAATAGCTCTTTTGATCCTTTTGAAAAACACTTCAGTTTAATTAAGGCCAATTGTTTTTATGCTGAGGTACTTGATAAATGTTTTGACGCTTTATTGTTCAAAAAAATTAATCATGTAAATAATCTATTTTCATCACTTTTGAGAGAGCAATATTGACATCATGGAAGCAGATCATAATTGAAATATTATTTTTCTTTTTTACTTCTAGGTTTGTCTCGAATATGGACGTGGCTTCTCTAAAGCCAGATGTTGACGTGCCTGGAAATTCAAGCATTAATACTCCTCGTTTGAATACAAAGATATCTTCTTCTATTAGTTCTGTTTCAAGTCCTACTAAAATCCATACTCCTGACGATGATCATTTATCAGATTCCAGAGATGAAGCCATGCACCCTAACACTACAAATAGTAGCAAGCTCCCCAACTCACCCTGGAATAAGAACGTCCGCAGAGGCTTAGCTGTTACTAGTAGCTTAAAAGATGATAACCATACTTCAATGAGCCAAGGTGGTGCTGAGAATGTAGGTTCTTGTACCACCAAATATGATGAAGGATCAAAAAGGAAAGGTGATCTAGAATTTGAGTTGCAGCTGGCAATGGCACTCTCAGCTACTGCAACAACAACGAAAAGCCTGGATATGGATGAATTGCATAACTCATCAACTTCCAGTTCCCATATGAAAAAAATGAGGATCACTAAGACCGGAGAATCTTTGTTTTCAAGCAGTCGTAGCTCTGGTGCTGTTTGGTCAAGAAAAAATGGGCCTCCCTTGTATTGGGCAGAAGTTTACTGTAGTGGTGAAACAGTGACTGGAAGATGGGTGCACGTTGATGCCGCTAATGGTTTAGTTGATGACGTTGAAAATGTAGAACCCGCTGCAGCTGTTTGTAAAAAGCCAATGAGATATGTGGTTGCTTTCGCTGGTAATGGTGCTAAAGATGTGACTCGAAGGTATACCTTTGTTTGATTGTGCAATGAGTCTATATATGCCTGTTAACAGTAGTAAAATTTATAAGTTTGCCAATCCTAGACTTTTGTAAGATTGTACATCTTGCGGTAAATGTGCAAGCGGAAGCTGTTTCTTTGAAACTTGCATATAGATATTCCTTTGAGGAGAAAACAAGAGAGTAAGTGTTCATTAGGAGTAGCTTTTCAATGCTTTGCTTTTTAGAAAGCTGCCACATGTCTATTTAGCTATAAATTTTTTTGTTATTTTTTAGAAATTTTGTGATGAGAAGCATCCTTTAACAGTCAAATTTGCTAGTGTGGTTACCATGAGAAAGTTGTCATTTTTTTTTCCCAAAAAAATTGTAATATTCACCACTTTTAAAAAGTTAACTTCCCCATACCAATTGTAAGACTACTTTTACAGACACAAACGAACTCTAAACTCTAAAGTTTGTTTTATTAGAAAGCTCAATAATCTGATGGGGGCAATAAAATTTTGAATACTAGTGCAAAAGCTATGATGTTGATTAGATTAAGAGAATAAACTTCCAACTCTATTAGCTGATAACACTTATCAATAGGCTGGTTTTCTAGATTCTTACACAAGTATCTAGAAGATTTCATTAAGCTGGTACTAACAACGGAAAAACAATCAACTGTTATGATGAGCATGCGGCATCATTATGTCTAGAAATTTCAGACAATTACCAGTATATCATTGTTCTCTCACCTCACTACATTACACTTGTATGAAACGAGTAGATACTGCTTAGGGCTTAATATTTTTGATAATGTAATACTTCAGTTGTCTTTTTCTTCCCTCATCTTAGTATCCTCCAAAATTTGAATTTAACTTAAGGTGCTTGTTTTTCTTAAGAAAATAAAATGTTGTATTTGTTCTACATGTAACCTATTTGTGTTAGCATTATATTAGGGAAGATGCTTATTTAGAGTTAGTAGGACTTTGTTTATTTGGGTGTCCTTTAAGACCTATTATTTGTTTCCTTATTATAATAATATTGTGGGCTCCGAAAATTTGGCCTCAGGCTCCGCTTGATTGTCGCTTTTTCTTTTTTCGGGGGGAGTTTTAACGGATTTAAGTTCCGGGGTAAATTTTGGAAGGCATATGGGTTTGTAGATAAAACACTGCCCAGAGATTTCACCCTCATTTTACGAGGACTTTATGATCTGAGTTCTGGTTTCCTATAGGTGCAAGCCCCTATAGTTAATTACTCCTCTCGATCGTGAGAGAGAACTTTCGATTAAGGCTAGTCATCCATCAGATACGTAGAAACACGTGTTATCTGGCATATAGTAGCAGCATGGATACTTGGAATGGTTGGAGAATTTGGGAATTTGGAGGATTGGAAGATTTGGAGATTTGATATTTAAAATTGAAAATTTCACCATCTTACACTTAAAGTTGATGGTGGGGGAATGGGTTATAGACCTTATCAAGATCCCATAGTTTCGTCGTCCCAGGCCATCGTGGTCCCTGGTCTACTTAGTCAGAGGAGGTAGTCGACCCAACCTGACCCAACCTGACAGAAGGATTCTTATTAGCAGCCATGGGTTGCTTTGTCCAAGAGGACCTTGTAGACTTTGAGCGAATGTTTGTCTAAGGGGACAAACTTGAATTCACCTTAGCTAATAGAGGTCTTTGTGCTCTATCGATCATATCCTATAGATTCATATCTTAAGGATTTGATGCCACTAAGGAACGTATTGGCTCTGACCATAACCGGTATTTCGTGGTGTCATTTGGCGGCAAAACCACTCGATTCAGAGGGCCCCGGATCATAACCGTTTATCCTGCGGTGCCATTTGACGGCAAAACCGTCGGTCAGAGGACACGTACCATGTCCTTATTGGCATGAGATTATTTGAGAATAGATCTTAGTGATATTTCGACTAGACATTAGCTCTATGTGAGCTAAGGTAAATTTTAATTTGTCCACCAGGCAAACTATTGCGGATGGTGGATGGATTTGCTTTAAGTGGTTTATGGTTAGATTTCAATTTTAAATATCTTGAATTTAAATGATTTTTGGAAAAAAATTGGATTTTGTTGGTATTTCGGTGGCATTTGAAAATATTTGTGAACCCCTCCGGTTGATATCTTTCAACACAGCCATCATCGGGGTGACTTTGAGGTCACTTCCATTTGAAAATATCTGTACTTTGTGGATGAACCTTATCGACTCTATCGAGTTGTCGACAGAGAATCGGGTTTCATAAGCTTTATGCCTTTATTTGTGAATTTTCTTTATTGAAGGCCTTGAAGACCTAATATGAATGTATAAAATAAATATCCCGGTCGACATCGCAACCGTATATTTATTTAATTGTTCGATCCATGTCAACTCTTATATACCTGCATAAAAGGATCGGGCTCGAACTTGGGTTTATTTATGGACCTGCACATCATCCCTAGATGTCATGTGTGTACCCATAACACGCTTGTCGGGGCCCATGCTGGTTTTATAATTACATTTGCCCTTGTTGTGTATTTATGTGTATACAATTTACGGTGCATGTGCAGGGGCATTTTTGGAATATTTTTAGATGATTTTTTCTGCTTGCATGAATGTTGCTGATCTGGTGGCGTTATATTTTAGTCATTTTCCCATTGTATACAGGTAGACTGTCATGCACTACTTGCATGATTTATGCATGTAGATTATAGTGTATTAACAAATCTCCTGCTTTTGCATACAAGTGAATCGTAGCGTTGTCACCATATTACAATGAGATACCTCTTTGTTTTGATGTGGACTCCATTTTCTCATTCATCGGGAGGTCCTTGAAATTCACAATTTCTACCTTAAAAAGAATTTCTTTTAAGATATTGAGTGTAGTTGACTTGTTATTTCCGGTGTTTGTGGATACCAGAATTGTTTTCTTCCTAAGTATAAGACCAAGAAGAAATTTTGGAACATCAGGAAGTTTAGTTCGAATTTGTTCAAACATCTCTTCCATTCTGCCAGGAGGTGACCTTTTCCGTACATCGAGTTGTCTTCATACCCGACGTACTCGCAGCATCTCAATCACAGCTGTTGTAGGTATTGTATGTACTTGTGTCCACAGGGGTTCGTTGTACTCACTACGACCTCTTGGAAGTATTTGTAGAAGAGCCATTGTTCCTGCATCATATCCACCTTTCACTAATCTCAGGTGGTTTGATGTCCTTGTTTGCAATGATGGGTCTTCCACTATCAATTGACAGTGTTGCCTTCTTCAATCAACAGGCGTTGTTGATTGTGTTGGAGATTCCAATAGCGCATATAGGACACACATATGCATTTTGCAACCATCCGTTGTCCTTACAAGTATGGTGCATTTGATCTCGTAAAGACTGTTGTAAGAGTCCACTACATTCTTTGTTTGTATACATCGAGGTCTTGTAGTGTGTCTGCTTGTACCTCAATATTGGTTTTGAGGATGTTGTAATATCCTTCCTACAAGAGCTCGCGGGTATTGGTATTGGTCGCATCTTAGTCACATTCATTTGAGTTATATGTATTTAGTTCAAGTTCAACATGCTTATTTGAGCTTGAGTTCACAAGGCATGCTTGTTCAAATCAAGTTATATGTCCTATGTAGTCCAACTCAAGTATTTGCTTGAGTTCAAATGTTCAAGATCATGCTTAATATGCAAATCAAGTCCAACTTAAGTTCAAGTTCTTGTTCAGTCTTCTGAAATCCTTGCAAGTTCAACTGTATGCTCAAATTGATTTGAATTTGGCTCTAGTTTGATCTTATTTCATTTGGGGTTGACCTTTTATTCATCATTTAAATTTTGTTCAAGTTCAAGTCTACAAGTCATTGTTCATTTGAGTCCAAGTTCTTATTCTTTGGAGTTCAAACCAGGTCTAAACGCAGTCTTACATTCACCCAAAATTTCAGCAGTCTCCTGGCGTCTCCCCCGTTTAGGGGAAAACTGAGGAAAACTTGTGGGGCCCAGGGGAGATATTATTTATTACATGAGGAGGTATCAAGGGGAATTTATTTTGGAAGGTTCCTAATCAATGGGGAGCTGTTTAGGAATGCTTCTATTTAAGGGAAACTATTTAGGAAGGTTTCCAATTATATTTATTATATGTTATGAATGATTTAATTTGGGAGGTTTTAATTAGGAAGCTTCCAATTATATTTCTTATGTGTTATGGCTATTTAAGAGGGAGTTTGTCTAGGGTTTGAGGTTATGTTTTGCTGAAGTTTATTTTAGGGTTTGTTGTGAGTTTTCTAGCGGCATCAAAGATTTGTGGGAGAGTTGATCTACTCCTCGAATATTAGATCAATCGTATCTTGCATTTTTTTATAAAAGAAATCCAAATTTAGCCCCTAAATTGGTATTCATGCATTTATTTCTTATCTCCTTTGTTGTTTTTATTTCCAAGACGCATCAAATTGGTATCAGAGCAAGGTTTTTGGAGAGATACACCAAAGAAGGTGGATATGTTGAAAGAAAAAATGGAGCAATTCAAATTCGGGTGGGAAAAGATCCGGTTTGAGCGATTAGAGGAGATGTTGAAGAATCTCATTGAGATGCAATTCAAAACTCCATCGATGGTTTCGATTGCTCACCCATACCATGATTTGATCAGGATTCCCTTGGCCGAATCTAAAGGGAAAGAGATCGGACGGGAAGAGTTCGACGAAGAGAACTCCTTTCATCAAGAGTCACCTCTTAGGGCCGATAAGCAGCGTAATAGGGTTTTCAGATGAGGGGACAGTAGGAAGGGAGTTTTATGATGTAGGTGGTAGGGTGGCTGAGACAAGGGGAGTGGACAACCAGAAAAAGAGGTGGATGAGCAGAGCCATTGGGATCGGATCATGGGTGGCGAATGGAGGAAAGATGGGATTCCCACCCTCGATACAGGAGGGAAACATGGAGGGATAACGATGACCGTTACACCGGAGGAGGAAGAAGCTATTGAGGCGGTGACGATCTAAGGGTGAGAAAGTTGAAGATGTGAATGATTGAGGAGAAGAGTGAGAGTTCAATAAGAGAAACTCAAGCGGCTTCTAAGGATAAATTAATCAACAAGGAGAAAATTGTGAATAAAGAGGACAAAGAAATAAACTTACAAAGCGAAGCTGATGGTGCTGATCAAAACCCAAGTCTTGTTCAAAGTGATTTTGTCGAGACATCCACATCCCAAAAAAATGTGTTTTCAAAATCCAAAAATGAAGATTTGAAAGACAGTGAAACTAAACCATCATCTGAGAATGATAGAAAACAAGTAAAACCACCTTTGATTTCTACTGGTTTGAGTATTTTTTAAGATGGAAATGTTGAGGTTGAGATATATGAGGTAGCTAATACAGAGATCTTAAAGGACAAAGTTGACATCGAATTGATTAAGTTGGAAGGTTCAAATGATGAAATTCAGGTTGGAGATGCACTTGCTTTTTTTTCCTTTCGGTTATGATTAGTTGCTTCACTAAATCTATGCTTGTGATGAAGAATATGATAAGTGGAACTGCAAGAAATGTTTGGGGCATTGAGCATGTAGTTTTTGGGTTATCTAAGTTCTTGATAGTAGTTCTTAAAGGATAATGTAAATCTCAGTGGACTGCAAATGCATACTAGCAAGATTACGTGCAGTTATCATAACAAGAATGGATCAACCCAGATAGTCTTGGATGTGATCCGTTAATGGCCTGCCAGTCTGCATAATCAATCAAAAGATTCAATGTGTCAATCAGTACAGACTAAAAATATATATGAGAGTAAGGTGAAAAATCATGATACTTTCTGGAGCAATGTCATTATATATGCAACAGACAAAGGATTGGGTAGATCAAACTTCTACTCATGTTGATAAGTTATGATCTGCCACCTTTCTGCATCTTTGTTATCATCCTGTTGAGAAGGTTAGCAAAGCACTTGTTGATGGTATCATGGACCTATTGTGATACTGCACTTTTACTTTGTGGAGGAGCAAATTAATGCATTTATGGTGTTTGTGTGTTCTTGTTTGAGATGATTCAGATGTTGTGTCTGTTGAATATTCTCTCAATTCTCTCTTCATTTCTGACAAGAAAATTCTAAGAGAAACAAACTTTTCTGAATTATTTATGAGCTTACTAGAAAGACTTCAGAAAATGATTATGAGAAGTGAAAAAGTAGCTACACTCTCACATGCACGGAGATTGCTTACGTTAATGTATTATGCAGGTCCAGAGCTTGTAGATGATCACATTTTCTGCTCTCCTATGAAGGCAGCTCGTTTCTTGGATTTGTTATGCTTTCTTTTGATCACATAGTTTGGTCACATAGGTTACGTACTCTCAGTTATTGAGCTAAAGGTTAGCTCTCTTTCTAGTGGTGTAAGCTGTGTTATTAATGTTGATGACTTGCCTCATCTTTTAGTTGTCCATGGAAAGCCCTTCAGAGAGCATGCCCATTGAGTACAAGTTTCCTCGCATGCCTCATTGGTTCTTAAATGTTGGGAGTCAAAAATTGTACCTGGCTCTTGCCAGAATTCTTAGACTCGTTGGTCTATCAATAATGATAGGGAACAAAAGCTACATATCTTTTTTGGGCCTCATTGATAATCTTTTGGAACATGTAAGAAAACTCATTTCTGAATTCATAATGAAAGGATACAATAAAGAGAGCGGGCAACGTTGGTATTCCCAATGAGATTCAAGACCGGCTACTCTGCTAGACAAGTATGACAGTTTGTGTTAAATGAAATAATATATGGATTGGCAGATCATCCAATTAGTTCATGTTTGAAATTGTTTAGAATTGAGAAAAATGTTGAAGAAGCGCTGAGAAAGGAATTTGTTTGTGATAGAGATCTACCTTCTACTTCTAGAAGGTCATCCTGGAAAATTCATCAAGGGAAGGATGCCAGAGAACACATAATTCATTGTTTTGGGAGTATTATGCATGAGTATACATCATTTGAAGTATGGGAACTCCCTGCAGATTTAACTTATTCTCAACTAGAATATGACTCAAAAACAAATATGTCATCGTATATTTTTAGGGATTCTAGAATGCTCCACCAGAAAGATGTGGAGTAGATGGTGGTCAGCTGTTGTATTTGTCAAAGGCACAAATACATGACGATGGCTCAAGGAGGACTTCTAGATGAAAATATCTTCGTTCCACCTTGAGGATAGGGTGACTCTTTGGAAGGGGAATATTGATACGCCAGGGGGGCCTACCTTGTAGGGCCCATGGGAGCTATTATTCATTATGTAAGGAGGAGGAATCAAGGGGAATTGATGTAAGCAACTTAGAACAAAACTCAAAGAGAAAACCAAGCAAATCAAAACTCACTTTTATATAACTTTGAGAAACTTTGGGAGAACACAATAGACTAAATGAACCACTAAAATTCAGAATAGAAATGTAGGAATCATCCAAAAAACCAAAGCAAGTTAGCAAAAGAAACAAACATAAAACAAACAAACACTATCCTCAAAACATCCTACTAGAGGACTCCTCACATGCACCGATTGTAGGAATATATTTTAAAATAAGGTTTAGATATGCGGAATCTATTTAGAAAGGTTCCTAATCAAGGGGGAGCGGTTTATAAAGGTTCCTAATTAAGGGGAACTATTTAGGAAGGTTTTCAATTATGTTTATTAGATGTTATGAATGATTTAATTAGGGAGGTTTAAATTAGGAAGCTTCCAATTATGTTTATTATATGTTAGGACGGATTGGATTAGGGATTTGGAAGCTTCCAATTATATTTCTTATGTTTTATGGCTACTTAAGGGAGAGTTTGTCTAGATTTTGAGGTTATGTTTTGCTGAAGTTTATTCTACGGTACGTTGTGAGTTTCCTAGCTGCGTCTAGTGTTTGTGGAAGAGTTGATCTACCTCTCAAATAATAGAACAATTGTATCTTGCATTGTTTTTGAAAAAGAAATCCAAATTCAACCTCTAAATTGGTATTACTGCATTTATTTCTTATCTCTTTTGTTGTTTTATTTCCGAGCCGCATCACTCTCCTATTGAATAAGACAATTTCCTTTTCCATCAACATGGAATTAAAGCGGGTTAATCCTGTTTCTAGCCTTCGCTACTCCCATGTGCTATCTTGCACCCTTCTTGCAACCCTTTTGCAGATCCCAATCCTAATTTCCTTGCACACGCTTCATCACAAGGCTTCATAACCCAACAACCTAAGGGTCTAGAAAAAATAAAAATGCAACCAGACATTTTCGAGAAACATGGGATCAAGGTTTAAGATTAGGGTACATGTCACCTTCTTTACCCAAGTAGTAAGAGATGGACTTCTCTTTTCCTCAAGGGGGAAAACCAACATCAACAAGAATTATTAGTTTACATTGTCAAGTCTACCTGCTTGCCTTGTTGTCATTATGTTTATCATTGGTCTTCTTTTTCTTTGCAAATTGACTTTGAAAAGGCTGCCGACTATTAGAGAATCTTCAAAACAGTACTTAAAACTTTTCTAATCCTTCTATCCTCTCTTTTAGGTATATATAATAATGTTGAGGGGTTGGTTATGAATCAACATTGACAAAACTTATAAATTTAACTGTCCTACATCATCCTGTCTTTGTGAAGCCTCTATGTACATTGGAAATATTTGGATTGGAAAGTTGAGTTGAAAAAGCTGGAAAATCAAGAAGAAAGTGTGCAAGGGTGGGTGAAAATTAATGAAATTAATAATTAAGCAAGCTAGTGTTTAGCCTCGCATTTCTGTCACTTATTCATACCTGCTTCTAGTACAGAAATCCTGATTTATTCCTTAACAGTAAGAGAATACCTATTTCAAGAATATGCCCAGGCATCTACCTAGACATTTTTCAACTTGTTAGTTTGCATTATAAACGGAAACGCATCATATTGTGTAATTGTGCTTGTCAGCTGCAGCTTTGGTTCAAAATCTTTTTGATTTCACACTCACACATTGTTCTAAATTGAACTTATGTCTCTTGAGCCTGATTTCTTGTTCGTTACTGTATGATAACCTGTATTTGAGGGTTATTCTTGTGTTTTGTGCTAGGTGAATGAGAGGTACTGGTTTGGTCCATCTTCTATTACAGTAAAAAATGTGGCTTATGCACGTGTTAGAGATAACATGCACATTAGAATCAGAATTCTACTCAATGCACCTTAAATATTGTACACTAAATACTCAGTAGCCTTAGGGAAGACTGTAGATGGAGGTTCTAAAATTGGCACCGAGTCCATCATCCTTGTGAGAATATCTTTATTTTATGGATTAAATCATGTTTCTCAATTTATTTGATTATTCACATAACACAGCTTTTTTTGGTGTCGATGGTATGCTGGTTGGCTAGGAATGGTGAAATATAAGAACACATCAAAGATCTAGATTCTTCAATTTTGATTGTACCCTTCCATTAACACTAGGAGAAGTAACTAGATCATGTTTCCTGCTTTCATGACAGGTTTGAACTTGCAGGGAAAGCATGAAGTTGGTTGTGAAGCACCTGTTACTCAATCTGCTTAGAAACTATCTTATTAGAGTCTCTCATGTTGTCTAGAATTTAGCTGAACTGTTAGAAATCTATTCCTGATAAGCATCTTATGGTGAAATGATGCCTGCCACTGGAATTAAATTTTCCATGAATATTCAGGTATTGCAAGCATTGGTATAGGATTACACCACTACGAATCAATTCACATTGGTGGGATAAAGTATTGGCACCTCTGAAGGAGCTGGAGTCTAGCGAAACAGGAGCTATCGTTCATTTGGAAGAACTTCAAGAAAATGTTTCTGATGTTATGAAAGAGAGTTATGAAATCCATCATCCAAAGCCACAGCTCAGTAAAACATATGAAGGTTCTGCTTCTCAAGGAGGCCCCGATCATGTAAATATGGAGAATAGAGTGGCTTCCAATCAAATCAGAGTTGCAAATGATATTCAAACTCCACGTAAAAAACCAAATCTTTCCACTAGAAATTCTCTCGAGGATATGGAACTGGAAACTAGGGCACTAACTGAACCACTTCCAACCAATCAACTGGTATTAAGTTGAAGTAGTATCATGCTGAATGATCTGCAATTTTGCTTGCTCAAGTATTTCTTATTCTTCTTCATCAGGCATATAAAAGTCACCACCTTTATGCGATTGAAAAATGGCTGACCAAGTTTCAAACGCTCCATCCAAAGGGTCCTATCGTTGGTTATTGCTCCGGTCATCCCGTGTATCCCAGATCCTGTGTTCAGACAGTACAGACAAGACAAAAATGGGTACGTGAGGGATTGCAAATTAGAGAAAATGAAATTCCAGCTAAGGTGAGATACATAGGATTATGGAAAATAATAATTTTTTGGTCTATTATAATCTTTATCAGTGTTGAGAGATGCTCAAAATTTTCCAGGTTATAAAGCGTTCAAAGAAGACAGAAAATGATGAAATATTCGATGTTGGTTTTGCTGAAGATGGAGAAAAGAGCATTGAATTGTTTGGCAAGTGGCAAGTGGAACCGTTGCGACTTCCTCATGCTGTAAATGGAGTCGTACCCAAGGTATGATAACACCTCTTTTTTGCTTCTTTCAACCGTTCTATACATACTTGTATTTTATTTTACTTGAATATTAAGATGTGGAGGGATAGATCAGAAAGAAATAGACACTGGATGGATTATTATCGTGCTTGACACTTCCATGAGATTTTGTCTCTGCATGTATTTGTGTTGGTATTGTATGTTAATGGAGAGTGAAGTTGCCCAGGTCTTGTATATACTTGATTTTGCTTCACTTTAGTGGATGGGGATAATGGAGTAATTTGTAACCCGTTAATTTTGAAAATGATATAAATTATAATTGGCACGACTATAGTATCTTCCTCTTTAAAAACTTTTTTCTATCCATGCTCAATCTGGTCAGGACTCCCTGAGTATGCAGAATTTGCATGAAGAAGAAAAAGAAAATCTATTAAATTCCATTGCAGATCATGGACTGAAAGAATTATACAATAGCACTTGCTTATGAATTTCTGTTTGAATTACCTTTTTTTTTTTTTTTTGAAACATGTTTTTATGAATGTTATGTTTGAATTACCTCAAAGGTCCATTTGGGGCGGTTTTCTCATAATCTTTTTAGTCACGCCTCTATATAGCTGCATTATTCTTATTTTTTTTTACTTTTTTTATGAGTAGTTTTTTTATAATCAAATCAGCTAGTATAATAAAGTTATTTTTCAGATAAAAAATAACCTGTAATACACCAATAAATATATATATATATATTTGAATAATTCTACAATTGTTTTTATAGGCAACTGTGGCTTGCCCAATAAACCTGAGGGTTGTGGAAGAGGTGTGTCTTACCTGTTTCCATGTTTTTGCGCCTTGTGCAAGTAATATATCTTCTTGCTTGTGCGTATGTTCGAAAATACAGACAAATAAACTCTGAATTACTTCAATATTTCTAGAAATCTATTTTCTTGTGCGTATGCTTGAACACTAAGAGTGAAATAAATTTGGATTACTTAAATATCTCTGGTTGAAGTTTGTGAAACCTAAATATCAAGATTCATTGGCCATTTAAGCTATTATCCAATTAAACAATTATTGCCATATTTGCTCCATGTTATGTAGCCATAAGCATATATAAATATTAAAATCATTTTATCTTAGCTTTTGATAAGCACTAACTTTGTTTTCATTTACTGTAGAATGAGTATGGTCGGGTGGATGTATGGTCTGAGAAGTGCCTCCCGCATGGCACTGTGCATTTGAGGCTACCCAGATTGGCTACTGTTGCACGGAGGCTTGAAATTGATTTTGCAAATGCCATGGTTGGTTTTGAATTCCGTAACGGCCGGTCCTATCCTGTTTATGAAGGGATTGTTGTTTGCACTGAGTTCAAAGATGCTATCATGGAGGTAAAAATCCCTGTACAATATAGGTTTTGTTTGGGATAACTTTTTTGTTGCTTTCTAAAACAACGTTTTAGTACAAAAATTTCGTGAATTAGAAAATTTTATGCTAGAAAGTCATTTTAGAAAGCAACAAAAAAGCTGTTACAAACAAAATCATCGTCTAATAAGTATTAAGCTGGATGCTTTTGGAGTTTATTTCTACATAATTAATATATTTCTTTTGATCTTTTTCTGTTCTGTTGTGAATCTTGTAGGCATACGCTGAGGAGGAAGAGAGGAGAGAAGCTGAGGAGAAAAGGAGGAATGAAGCAGATGCTCTTTCAAAATGGTTTCAATTACTCTCATCTATCATTACCAGGCAGCGCTTAGAGAGTTCTTATGCTGGTTCCTTCGCTTCAAAAAACTCGAATGATCCTCCTTCCATCCTCCGTCCTCTTAATGGCGGCCAAAGTATGGAGAGAGAAATCCAAGGAGATGATATAAAAGTTGGTAGATCGCCTTATGAAGACTATGAGCATGAGCATGTTTTCTCTTTGGAGAATCAGAGTCTGGATGATGAGAGTTTGGTTCGGACAAAGCGATGTTCTTGCGGATTCTCCATTCAAGTGGAGGAGTTGTAATATATAAATTGGTATGAGTTTTGTTCTGAACTAGCAGGAAGCTGCCTAAGCATGGGAGATTAAAGCTTCTTTTGGGACTATTTTCTTATAATTTTTAAAGTAGTTTTTTAGTATAGAAATTTTCTGAAAAAAAAAAACCTAAAAGAATGTTTTAAAAAATTGTAAGAAAGTTGTTCCAAACGAAGCCTGTGACGACTTTCTTTTAGCTTTTTAAAACAATTTTTTATTATAAAAATTTTAATTTTTGTATTATAAAACTGCTTTATGAAGCATTAAGAAAGCCGTCCCAAACGATGTCTAAGTTAAATGGAAGAAGCATCAATGCTTAGCTTGGAGCTAGTTCTGGTTCATTTTTTGCTGCATCCCTCACTTCTAGAATTTAATCCTGCTATATGATGTGATATGGAGAAATAAGTAAGGATATTCTCATCAAATTTGATCGGAATGTGTTTTAAACTATCTGATTTGTTTTAAGATGAATGCATTCAATTTTATATTGTAATTATTTCAAAGCAAATTAATGGCCATAAAATTTGTCATGATCAAATTCAAGGTATAATATTCAGAAACAGAATTTTTCATCTAGTAGAATTTGTATACTTTGTATTTTTAGGTGTTTTCAATCATTGTTTGAAGTTTAAAATGTCCATTGAAAAAAGCTTTGCCGTGTAATTATTATTCTATAATATTTATGTTTCTATCACGTAATTATAAGCAAATTCAAGAATTTTTTTATGTCTGTACTTTGTAACTCATTTTGGTCTGGTGGTTCTGAGATTTGATTATCAACTAAGAGGTTTTGAATTCGAGTCTTATGTATATGATGTGCATATGAATTTGTTTTAATTGACCTAAATATACCCTCCAAAAAATGTTCGAGCGACTCCTTTTAACTCAGACTTTGTGTGAATTGAGCTGGAGTAGGTTGATTTCTGAGGAAAATGAAAGGTTGAGGCAAATTTGGGGAGTTGGTGCAGCTCATCCTTAAAAATATTTTTTAGGGTCATATAAGCAACACATTCTCAATAGTTTCGTTTAGGATGGTTTTCTTACTACTTATTAAAGCTATTTTTTAATATAAAAATTAATTTATTTGTACTAAAAAATTATTTTAATAAGCAGTAAGAAAGTCGTCATAAATCAAACCTTAAGTGTATGATATGCATCAGAAAGTATATGTGATGTTAGCCCAACATTTTCTCCTCTATCGTTCTCCTTTAGACAGCAAGCCGCATGAAGAAATAAATTGAAAAGGTATCGACTCTGAATAGGAAGCATTGTTATTCAAATATTCTCTGCTTGCATCGAAGTTTTAGGGTTTGAAAACTGATTAATGTTTATTGGCTCTTACATTGATCTCAAATTTCTCGTGCTCATTGAGGGTGGGGGTGTAAGGGGTTTACTTCTCATTTGAAATTTTTTTTTTTTTTCGTACAATGCCCTGACATTTGAGTTCCAAATAAAATCTTAGTGATAAAAATAGTTGTCTCAAACAAAGCCTTAGTGAGCTTACTCTATGTTTGTGTTCGTCTAATTTAAAATTTTGTTCATTCAAGTTCGGCTCATACTCAAAATTATTTGTGGTTATCATATATATTCGTGTTTGCTTCATTTTGAATTCATTTGTTCGAGCGCAGCTCGTGCTCGGCTTGAATTTAACTCAAATAAATTAAAAAATAACTCATATAAAATCAAAACAAATACATAAAAAATTTTATAGTTGAAATTTTTATGGCTACATTAATAAGTAAATAAGATAATACAAAAAATGCAACATGTGACCAAAAATTCAGATACATTAGAACAATCACAATCATCACTGGCCCACATTTTACTTCCTCTTTCCTCCCAACCGCATTAGGACGAAATTTGCCAAACCCCCTGCACCCAAATCTGCTATAAAGGCAAAAAACCAACGCTAGTGCATACAAAAAAGAGCAAGCATCTCACTCAGAATCTACTTGGATTTCAATAAAGCCAACTCCTTCCCAAACACCTTTTCCCACAGACCAAACGCACAAATACTCTCTCATTGCTGGAAACAACTCAAGCTGAAAGACCCCAAGTTAAAGTTACAGTACTTGCACAATCCTCCACACTACATAAAGCTCCTAAGCCCTCAGAAAAATCACAACTTCTTTCAGAAAATGCTCATTAGTTCCCAAAGCTTCACCTCAACTCTCCCAACCATGGTTCCTTCCTCCTCAGTCACCGTCGACCGATATGATGAGAAAGTATGTAGAGAAATATTTGCGAACCAGAATCAGCCGAATCATCTTGTTCTTGTCTTGGCAGGACAATCTTCAGATGAGAAGCGGCAGATTAAAGAGCTTTATCGAGCTATCCATGGCGAAGAACTTGTCGAACTCCTTCTTAGGATTAAGGAAGCCAATCCAGAAAGTGAAGTAATTATGTTACAGTACTTTACATGTTACATTATAAAAAATGCAACTTGATTGTTAAATAGTTTGCGATTTTCATGTGCAGCCAGTTTACTTTGGGTTGTGGCTATGGATGATGGAGCAGCCGGAGCGCGACGCAGTGGTGGCGAAGGATGCCGTAGAACGGGGAAGTGCCGATGACTACAAGGCGATCGTCGAGATCTATGTGCGCAGAAAGTCGAGCCATCTCTTTGCCAGCAAGCAGGCTTATTTTGCTAAGTGCAGAAGTCATATGGACAAAGATATCCTTTCTGTGGAACCAGAACACCCGGGACCAAAGGTTGGTGTGTTAGAAGAATGAAATATAGTAATTATGCGAGACATCGTAATAATTATTTAAGTATGTATATTTAATTATATAAACTATTAAGTGGCATGTATATTTAAATTATTGAAATTTAATTATTATATGAAATCATATTGGTCAAGAAGAGATATTTTGATCAATCTTTTATGGACCGTTTGATCAAATAACTCATATAAGCGGTTATTATAATTAAACAGTAGGAAATCAACTACCCCCCCCCCCTCTCTCTCTCTACGGGGAGTTAGTTTGTTTCATAGAGAATTAACTCATGAAAGAAGAAAGTGAAAGGGAAAAGAGAAAGAACCTGTGGTTTGGAATTCAACAAATTTAACATGAATCAATGTATGTTTTATTCCGATTAAAAGATTGTGAAAATTATTTTGTTTAAGATCATGTGTTTTTAAGACTTATGTAAATTTATATTTTTCATTTTGATTTATTTTGCATAGTTTATAATGAGAGTTCTTGCAAGAGTTAGAGAACTCATAATCCATGTTGCGAGTTCTTGTAAAAGTTAAAGAACTTAATCTTAAAGTAAATTCTTTTAAGAATTTGAGAACTTGAATTTTACATTGATTAAGTTCTCGTAAGAAGTTTACGAACTCTTGAAGTTTTACATGGTGATCACTCAATATTAAAATCAGGTTGAATTGTTGGTGACATTTTGCAATGTCAACAGATTCTTGCAGCTCTTGCAACTTCACATAGATCTCACCATGACGAAGTGATCAGCCAACACATTGCCAATTGTGATGCTAAGAGATTGAATGAGGCATTGAAGAAAAGTGATGGAGGAATGGATGAATCTTCTATTATAGAGATCTTCAGCAAGAGAAGCTTACCGCAGCTGAGGCTGGCATTCTCTTGTTACAGGCATATATATGGAAATGATTATATTGAGGTGATTGAGTAGTATTTATGCCTTCATATAATGTGTTGAAAGTATAATTAAGTAGTTGGGTAGAAAATCTAAGTAAAAAATGCTATGGCTTAATGGTTTGAACCAAGATTATCTGAAGGGGGTTTCCACTATAAGAATGATGTCAGGCCATTCACTCTCAGAATATACTGAAGCACAAATTCTCTTAGATATCATATTAGATGGAGATGGGGAGGAATTTGTGGCTAACATCACTACTATATTAATAGACAAATCTTCTGAGTACACTACAGGAAATTCGCTATTTACCGGCGGTCATTTGACCGCCGAAATTACCGGCGGTTTTTCATAATAAACTGCTGAAAACATCGGCGGCAAACTGATCGTCGGACATATATACCTCCAGTTTTTCTTCAGGCGTCGACATTAACCAGCGATTTGACCGTCTGACCGCCGATTTTAAGTGACTTTTTTTCCGGCTGTCAAGCCACCGGAAAACCGCCGGAAAGTTTGACCACCGTAAAAGGCTGTCGGAATTCCTTTTCTACGTGGTTTAATTTATTCCGGCGGTTTTTGAAACACAGGCCGACTACCGGAAATTTTCAAAACCGCCATAAAACTTACTTTAACTGTCCGAAAAAGCCGCCGCTAATTGATGATTTTCCAATAGTGGTATAACCTGAACTAATTATCACTTAGTTTTGAACAGCCACAATCATTGACACTTCACTATGTACCAAGTGCATGTTCAAGTGTCCCTAATCTACTTTTCACTTCATTGGAGAAGCTCTTCTACATATATACTACTATGAGAGTTTTTTCTATGTCATGAGGAGCTTCATACAAACTTTGCTTACCCTTATTATGAGCTATAGCTTAGTTTCTACATGAAACTAATGACAAAAAAATAACTTCTTTAATGGTTTCCAGCATTTGAATAGCCACTTCACCAACTAAAAAAAACTATAAACAATGATCATATAAGTGCCAATTGAACATAACTTTTTAGAGCCCCTAAGTGATCAAATAACTAACTATTCATGAGAAACTTTCAGGCACTTGAAGATAGAAGTGGGAACTTTGAAGACTCCCTCAGAGTTGTCATACAATGCATGTGTACCCCTTACGAGTACTACTCTGAGGTACAACCAGGAATAGCAAGGTTAAGGCTTCGTTTGGGACAGCTTTCTTATTGTTTCTTAAAGCAGCTTCCAAGTACAAAAATTAACTGGGAAGCTGCTTTAAGAAGCAGAAAGAAAACCGTCCCAAACCAAGCCTAATTCTTTTTTCTGATGATTTGATATTTTGTGATTTAATTTATGTCTTGGACTTAATTTTGTTAGATGATATATATGAGTTTGGTCGCTGAGGTAGACAAGAAGGTGGTTTTGACAAGAGTGATGATAGGCAGTGTGGAGGTCGGCATGAACAAGGTGAAGGAAGCATTTCAAATGAGGTATAAGGTGAAGCTTGAAGAAGCCATTGTTGAGAGAGTTCTTGATGATGACAACTACAGAGACTTTCTCGTGGCTTTATCAAATGCATCAGGCTAAGTTTTTTTTAGGCTTAATGAAACATACAGTGTGGCAATCTTTTTTGTTGAGTGGTTGAGATATAACATTTAGCTTCTTGTATGGTTTCATAAATTTTATCAGATCCAATATAAACTTCGACGCAATTTCAACATTTCTCCCATGACCCCCTGCTTTGTTTTTCAAATATCAACTACAATTTTATTTGACTATTGCTTTCTTACTATTCTTCAAGAATTTATGTGATGAAAAGCTGCTTTTTACAATCAAAGCAGCTAAGTTACATTAGTCACAACAAATTCACAACCAACTTTATAAAATAAACAAATCGCATTGACCTCTTCAAATAGATCATATAATTTTATTTTTGTGTAAAATATTTTATTGAGGCTTAATTTGGTTTTTTTAAGAAAAAAATTGCGAGAATATTCTTTTTATTTCGTGAGATGTGAGAGATTTTTTGTTGTTTGATTTAAAATATTTTTAGGAAATAAAATAAACTTATAATTATGCAATCAATTTTATGAGGGTTGTGAGATTTTATTTTTTTATGAATGGTTACGAAGTTTACATGTTTATGTATTTTCTTATTTAATATTTTTTTTTCTCTAAGATTTCGTTTGGGACAGCTTTAGATCACAATTTTTTTTATACTGAAAAGTAGCTTTACAAAGCAATAGAAAATTATCTCAAATGAAACCTAAGTGACATTCGAAGTGCGTCTTACATCAAAGAAATTATCAATTACTAGAGGAAAAAGATTTTATGGAGGAGGTGTTCGATAAAACAACAGAAGACAAGTGTTTCTATTAGAAAGATATCAATGCATTGAGAAGAATTGCAAAGAGAAGCACTTGAGCAACTCTTTGATACCTTAAATATATAAGATCAATAGAATGCTTGCTTCTTCACCAATGATAAAAAGTGGCCATATATTTTCTTCTTGATTAATTTGTGATAATAGTATGATTATTTAGATCAATAGAATACCTACCAACCTTAAGTTGGCCACAGTTGACCAATTGTATCTTAACATGCTTATCAAGCTCTAGTCTACTCAATTGACTTAGCTCTATTTGAATTAGAAGTTGGATACATTTGACCTCAATTTAGTAGTCAACCTAACCATACATAGTCTGGTCGTTAGTGATCTTTGGATTTGATTCGAAGCCTAAATGTTTAGCCTAATCCAAGTAACCGAGCCAAGCTAAATCCTTAATCATTTGATTAAATTTAATCAGCACAACCATCCCTTAAGGACTCGTCATTGATCCTTGGAAATCACCTAAAACCTTATTAATCTATTGATATGCTTAGTTTAGGTGTTCTAAGTGAACAAAGTCATGCTTAAAAGGACTTGATCCTAACTCAATTAATTCCCCGGTCATAGCAATTCTTGTGGAATAAGACTACTTTATACATGTTCTTAACCTCTCTTTAGTCTATTACATATTTTGACAAGGTCTTATTGACATGTGATCAATCCATATTCTTTGAGCTCTCTTTGAACAAATCTCTCAATTCATCTTATCCTATACATCCAATAGTTATTTGGAATGCTATTCATAAATTTATGCACCAAGTCTAGGCGATCCCAAGCTTTATTATTACTTTAGTGACCCCCTAAAGCATTCATATCTAAGGTTAAAGATAGTGGTGGTCAAGGTGGCATTCCAAGTTATTGCAAGGCATAAGAAAGCTACTATTACATTCATCTACCTTAGGTGAGACTCCATATCATGAGAAACTAAGTGATTACAACCCCAATTGAGGTAACCAATTTGAAACTTAAGCCATCCTTATGCTTGCCTGAGATGTACATTGACATCATTACCATGTTTTTTTTTTCTCATCCATGCTTATACAACTTATCTTGCCAAATTATGAATTTAGGCTTTTGAATCATCTAAAACAACTCTTGCATTGCCTATATATGTCCTCTTAAAGTTTTAAAGCATCTTGATACGATAGCCACTATGCTTCATACAATATGATCTAATATATTAAATTGATGTGTTATCGATGAGCTTCACGAGCTTCGCATGAGGCACCCCAAGATCTAAATTAGAAGATTTACGTTTTTTTATCTTCTAAACATCAACCAGAGCTTACTATTTTTATCCAGTAATATAAACAGTGAAAAATATATATACATTACTATTCATAAAATATTTACACATAGATCCAATCCAAAAAATAACATATACTATAGTCATAATATTTAATCAAAAGATAGTCCATCATTAAAGCATACCATAACCATAAAAATAAAGAAAGACTAATAGATGCAGAAAGAAAATATAAGCATGATGTTCACATCAACCTCACTCCATTGATTCTTTACTTTTATTTGAGGACATGTAAAATCACATAATGAACATAAAAGCTCAATAAATTATGAAAACCTACAACTGAAATCATACACAAAACAAATATAATATGCATGTAAAAAATCATATTCATATGTCATTCCTATATCAAATGGATCAATCTTATAACATGCATCATATATCATATGTTCATATATGTACCATATCAGTGTGGTTTCATATCATCAATTTTATTATGTTATTCAATCAATCAATCAGTATCAGTAGTCATCAATTTTATTTATCATTAGTCTTATCTATCATCAAACTAATTTATCATCTGCCATCGATCTTATTAATCATCTATTTTATTTGTCATCGGTCTTATATATCATATGTCATTTATATTATCTATCATATGTTTTATTTATTATTTATTTTATTTGTCATCTATCTTATCTATCATCAATCTAATCTATTATCGATCATATCTATCATATGACATTGGTATTATTTATCATCTATCTTATCAATCATATCTATCAGCAATCTATCAGCATTCACATATAAGTCATTAATCTTCACAATCATATCATTATCAATCTCATCTGTCTCATCTAGCACATCAGTTTATTCATTTTGCCTGATTTTACATATATCATATCATTCATATCATATATATTCGAATAATATACACGGATGTACATATGATATGCAATTATCATAACATGTGGATTCATATATTGTGCTCATTAAAATGCACGTATTATGTCAAATAAATAATAATCATATGCATATCGTGTATCTCATATCCATATTTAATACATTAGCTCTTAATCATGTATCTCATATCTCATATCCCTCCCTTTGATCATAAATCATTTATTCGACATTTTAGAGTTTTAGTGGCCTAATGACATTAGAATTAAATGATGTTGAGCTCATTGGATTCGTTTCATGAGTTGCTCGATTTGATGATAATCAAATAGGATTTGGAAATGGTTTCTGTCATCAATTAATTTTCTGATGTTTTTAAATAAGCTTCAACTTTTTGATTTGATATCATTTAGACTATAATTGAAAATTTTATAGTTTGTATGAATTCATTTTGTTGGGACGTTTAATTTAATTATAAATTTATTGAAATCAAAGTTCAGAAGGTTTTAAATTAATTTAATAAAACTTTAATTAAAATATTATCTTCATATGAATTTTCGAGAGATACAGCACTAGTGACTATTGGTCATTGTTTTATATTGGTATTAAATATAAATTAAATAAATTACGGCATTTAAAGAAACTACGCAATATATTTTTAACAAATTATCGAATATTTGGATGCTCTTGTACGTGCGTTTATTGCCACACGTGTAGCTTAATCGTGTAAATTAAAATATTTGGCCAAGAAATGATCCCCGCCCTCGGCTCCCTCCACCGCCATTTCCTTATACCCCGTGGAACGATTGCGAGTAACATTAGGGTTTTGGGACGAGCAGCAAGGATGACGAAAGAACAATTGGCGTCGCCCGCGACCGTGGAGTGGCCGGCGAAGAAGGTGAGGGAGACGTTTGTGAGCTTCTTCGAAGGGAAAGGTCACGTCAATTGGCTTTCAAGCCCCGTGGTTCCCCTCGACGATCCAACGCTTCTCTTTGCCAACGCCGGGATGAACCAGTTTAAGCCCATTTTTCTTGGAACCGTAAACCCCAGTACGCCTCTTGGCAAGCTCACACGCGCCTGCAACACCCAGAAGTGCATCCGTGCTGGCGGCAAGCACAACGACTTAGATGACGTTGGGAAAGACACTTACCACCACACCTTCTTTGAGATGCTTGGAAACTGGTCATTTGGTGATTACTTCAAGAGGGAGGCAATCCCCTGGGCCTGGGAGCTTCTGACACAGGTTTTTCTTTGACCTAGTTAAATTTTAGTGGTGTATGGTAGTAGCTTGGATTATAGTGAAATGGGTTATAGTGAAATGGGCTTTAGTAAATATCGGAAATGGATTATAGTGAAATGGGTTTTTTCTTTGATCTAGCTTGGATTATAGTGAAATGGACGTTTAATTTAATTATAAATTTATTGAAATCAAAATTCAAATCATAAAAATCTTTTATTTTTTGGTTACTTAACAGTTAAACTAGATCCAAGTAAGAGGATTTACATCCCTTGAATTATGCCAGGGGTAGGTGATGCAGCCAATAAAAAGAAGCACAGTCCTCATTAGAAAGGAAGGTGGATTTCATCATTATAAAAGTAAATTTCCTAACATAATTGGGGATTCACAATGAGGAAGTCACCCAAAATTACGGGAACTATTACCTATATCTACTAGGGATATCACTCACCCAAAATTACGGGGACTATTGCCTATATTAACTAGGGAAATCACTTACCCAAAGGGCATTCACTTAAACCGGTTGCGTTAGTGAAATACTCACCACTAGATACTTCATCAGTAGGATATAGTGAATGTTGGATTTAAATCTAGTTGAATTATAGCTTTATGCAATTCATGATTTAAGGAAGCCTCAAAAGATGATTTGGTTTAACTCCTGAACTTGCTAAATTTTGTTCAATATTTGAAATATGGACTAATTTCATGTGGTACACTTTCTGCTGTGTAGGTGTATGGTTTGCCTAAAAATCGTATTTATGCCACATATTTTGGAGGAGATGAAAAGGCCGGTCTTCTTCCTGATAATGAAGCAAAAAACATATGGCTAGAGTTTTTACCAGCTGAACGAGTGTTGCCTTTTGGCTGCAAGGTTAGTGAGGCTTGAAAGCCAATATAGTTTCATCTATTTCATGAGATAAACACCTAACATGTTTGCATGGGAAAGCCTTCATGGATGTTTATTATCAATGGTTTCATTCCTTATTATTTAACTATTGCATGCCCCTCATTTTAAACTCTGCAAGTCTTAGGATGCGATGAAATTGGTTTGCCATTATATCTTTTCTAAAACTGTATTGTTACTCTTATTTTTTTAACACCACCTAATGCTGCCATAACTCTTAAGGATTAACTTTTTTTTGTGCATTCTTATATTTTAAAATAATTATTATGCTTGTAGAAGCATCCATTTTTGTTTTTATCCGTTCCTTCAATTTATTTTAAATTAATTGATGCAAGCTAGATTCTGAAATCAAGTAAGGGAGCACTAGTTAATGGGCTTTGGCCTTTTGGAAAAAAAAATTAGGGAGCACTAGGAATGCAAATTATGACACTTCCTTTCAATATCACATAAACAAACACAAATGATGGAAACTAAGTAGGAAACAAAGCTTAGAAAATAGTTAGGAAGACACAAAAGAAAACAAACAACTAAATTAAAATACCCTTAGAACAACCATGTATGATCACCTCACATGCAAATAACAAAATTAGAAAATGTGTTCAAAGGAAAGGACAAACCAGAGATCCAACACAGGAATTATGATCTAGCACAATCAGCGCTCCTCTAGTAAATACCAGCAAAACAGGGCTCAACAACACTGTTCAGCTCACAATTTTTTTGAGAAGAAAGATATAGATGGAAGGGTTACCGTTGAGAGAAAAAATATAAAGAAATCCAAGACGAATTAGTAGAGGGAAGTTAGAAGACAGTTCTCAAGCTTATAAGAAACCCTCAAGTTCTCATAATAGTTTAGAGAAGAAAGATACATATGGAATGGAAATCGTGGAGAGAAGAAGTAGAAAGAAGCCCGTGACGAAGTATCAGGAGATAAGGAGAAGATAGCTTGCAAGCTAAGAAAACCCTCAAATTTTTTACATGATCACACCCTCCAAAATTTTTTTGCACAAAGGAATTCAGCCTTAATTTATAAGAGAAAGAAGGGGGGAAGGACATTTATTATCCCACATAAATGTGCCATCAAAACAGCCACTAAAACCCCTCCAAATCAGCCTATTCATGGATAAGTCAAAGCAAACAACACAAAGATTAAGAAGGGGAAGAAACAAGCAGCCAACAGCAAGGAAACCAAAAAAATAGCAGGGAAATCGAGCATCTAGCAGAGAAACCAAGAAAATAACAGGGAAACCGAGCAACCACATGGGCAAACCAAACAGCCACCATGGGAAGACCAAATAACCACATGGGAAGACAAAACAACCACATGGGGAAACCAAATAACAGCATAAAATTCAAACAATCAACAGGGAAAACGAGTAGACAGTAGAGAAAATGAGAAGACTACAGGAAAAAGGAAAAGACAACAGGGAAACTGAGTGGACAACAGAGAAATTGAGTGGACAACAGGGAAAACGAAAAGCCACAGGAGAAAAGGAGCATGAAAACACAAGTGGAAAGCTAATGGAGTGAACCTACCTAAGAGCACCAAACTCAAGTATGATCATGGATTATTTTTATTCATAGAGCTATACAAAATAAACTTACATAGCATTCAAAAATATAAGAAAATTAAAAATATATATATATAAGACATAAAATGATAAAATACGATTGCATCACTTATTGTAGAGAAACAAAGTTAAACTTTCTATGGGTTGATACGTTGAGATTATGGAGTGTAACTTAGTAGCTTCCAATATATGAAATGATAATTGGAATTCTTTTGGGAGCCAATTAGTTAATACTTAGCATTTATGGTGCATTTGTGTTAAGGAAAATCATAGGTTATTGTATGTTAAAGTTGTCCAAATATTATTTTCTGTCTGGTATAACCTGTGTTGTACATGATTAAGAAGCATTGCAGTACTTTTTTCGCCAATATTTATGCATGAATCTGGTGGCTTTTGGCTTGCATAATATATGGAAATAATGGAATATTATCTAGAATGTTGCTTTATGGTGAGGATGAGCTCAAAAGGATTATGTAACTGACGAATAGCACAGTTGATGAGAGTTCTTCTTTTGTGGATGTTGCTTAATTATTTGATGGCTTTTGTTGGCTTTGCATGATAATAGTCCAGATAATTGGAATATTCCTTAGAAATAAGATATGGACTTATGACAAATGTTCACTCAAAGGATTTTGTTTTCTTTATTTAACGTGGATGATTGGAAGAAAATAAACCTTCTTGGTTTGGTGAAGAATCGGGCAACAATACAAATATATTTCAATTTCTAATTCAACTATACGTGTTAAGGGATTTTCTTCTTTAAGGTTGCAACTATTTGTTCAATCCTTCTTTGAGGCATGGTGATTCAGAATAAATTGAGGTTTGCGGATGTTGATCATTTGATGGAGCGGCCGAGTAAATTAGGGGCTTTGAGAGATTCATTTCCAGGAAAGAGAGGCTCTAGTCTCCTTTTAGTCTCTTGGTCTTCTCTTATCCTCAAATGATAGGATTTCACTTATCCCTAGCCAAGCGCAATGCTTGTAATCATATTTTGTTTCAACATTTATCTCATTGTTCTTAGTTAATTCTTATATGGTATGAGAAAAAGCCAAGAAAGAGATCCAGATGGGAAGAGGATAGGAGAGTTAGCAAATGAGTAAGAGAATTCTTTCAAGGATGTTGATATGTACCCAATAAAGAGGGCTTGATGTTTTTGGTCAATAGAGGAAGAGGATCATTCGAGGATTGGTAAGGAAAATAATTCATTGTAATTACTTTTTTTTTCAAAGAATTCATTGTGATTACTCTTACTACGAGCTTATGGAGTTTTGATATTCAAAATAATAGGCTTTTCTTTTTTAGAATGAGGATTATAAACTGCAATTATACCCTAAAACCTATGGCCTACCCTTTCATATGGGAGAGAGGGATGAGGAGTGAAGAGAAGAGGGAGAGAGGGGTGGGGGAGGGTTTTACAACAATACAACCGACTTCTTTCATGAAATGTATGCATATATTAGCGAGCAGGCAACATGGATTCTCCCTCACATTAAAATTTGTAGGAATGCAAGTTTTCATGAAGAAGAAAGTGGGGAATGCCAAAGGTGAAGGTACCCTTGGCCATGGGAGTGGTTGGTCGAATTTAAATCTCTTAATCATGTGTTGCTTTTTGTGAAGTAGACTCTTATGAATCTTGTTATTAATGAGATGATGAATATTAGTAGTTTGACACGCGTTTTACCAGTTAAAGTCCTTTCATATTGGGGGTAAACATTCTTGTTAATTATCAAGCAACGAGGGCTTGAATGACCTGAGATTTCCTGGATACATCCTGGTGGGACATAACTTTGATATAA